CTGCTTCTTCTCATAACACTAGAAGCTTTGTGGTTAAAGAAAGACAAATTGCTTGCTAGTTCTCAGCAATCTCTTTTACAGAGTCGTCATTGTCTAAGTGCACATAAACAGGATAAGGACACTCATGGGTTACCACCAAACTACCATTATGAACGGGACATCCCAGTTCTGGATGACTGGTTAATAGAGAGTTACTTTGATGCTATTTATACTTTGATCTATGATGTATAATATTGCTACTTTTTACACCACTGCTACATAGTTTATTAATACAATATGCTTGACAGTATTCATTATGCAATGATGAATGTTTTTGAACACATTACATTAAGGAACACATGCACAGTTACTATTGTTATTACTATTATATGTGTTGTGAATGTGTTTGAAAATCTAGCGTTAGGAGTGCTTCAATTATTTGTAGGCTACACTGATGTCACATGTAGGCATGGGCCGGTATAAGATTCTGACGGTATGATAACCTTGCATAAAAATATCATGGTATTGTGATTACTGCTCTTAACATTTTGGGAAACATTTAAAATATTTTGGAATAGTAAACATATCAGGATAAATAGATCAAATAAATTATTGACTTTTGCTGTCTTCATGTGTTTTACAAACACAGATTTATTTACCATTCAAACAGCAATTTTGGATATCTTTTCTGCTGGAGACACTGTTGTCTTAAAATAAACAAGATATTAAAGTAATATATATATATATATATATATATATATATATATATATATATATATATATATATATATATATATATATATATATATATATATATATATAAATAAAAAACAAACAAATAAATAAATAAATAAATCGTACACATACCTTAGGAACGGCATTACCGAAAATGTTGGCAGTTTAAAACCTTGACTTATCCGCGGTATACCTTAAAAACGGTTATGGTCCCATGCCTTGTCACATGACAGTAAGACTCATTTATATGTGTAATTTTGATCAAATCAAGTGTATAAAGTAGTTGCTTTTTTCAAAAAGGTCATGCATGTTTCATGTTCACAAAAATGTTATACACTTGACAACAATCCTAAACAAAAAAAAATAGCATTGGTGGTGTGCTGGTCCAAAAATAGCCTTTGTTTACATGCCTGAGACAATGTTTTTTTCAAGCAAAGACACTACTGCAATTGCTTAATAACATTGTAATGGAAGAGTGTGCACTTAAAGGGATAGTTCACACAAAAATGAACATTTCTCAATGTTTTCTCACCCTCAGGTGGTTCCAATCCTTTATGCATTTGTAAACAAGAAAGCTAGAAACCTGCAAACGTTGACACCCAGAGCATTTGTTTACCTACTGTGGCTGTCAATGGCTACAGGTTTGCAGGTTGTTGTTTTGTTTTTTTTTTTCAAAATATGTCTTTTAGTTTTAATAAAAATAATTCAACAAAGTTTGGATTCACCTGAGGGTGAGTAAAATGTGAGTACATTTTCATTTTTGGGTGAACTATTCCCTTATTTGTTGTTATTATAATGTAGTAACAGTTTAATAAGCAATAGGGCAATGGAACGTAAATTATAAGACGTATTTAAACTGTAGGACAACTATTCTCCTTTACAGCTTACAAATAAAGTGTTATGTAACGGTAGATTAAGCAGGAAAGACCCACCTTGTACGTGAATGAGTTTTTGGGCAATGAATTGGAAAGCTGCTGGTTATGAGCGAGGTTCTTTGGGAATTCACAAAAGCCTTTGGTTGGGCTTATGATGTCGTCGGTGATGGGACAGATACGGAGGTCATCTTCATCTTCTTCGTCATCATCATCACTCGCATTAGAGTTTTGAAAACAGACTCTGTTCTTAACACATCTATTCCTCGAGCCATCGCGAGCACTGCCCACCTCCTCCATGCTAAACATGAGCTCCTCTTCAGCCATGATGCCCCGCTGTGTTGTCACCAAAACTACAAACAAGCAGAAGTGTCAAAATCTGTACGAGCATGAATGAGTTGAGCTCATTTCGGATGAGACGAGAAACGATGGATCAAACACAGGTTGATAAGATGTGTTTACAAATACTAGCCTATTATTAGTCTGTTCCTGCTCGTGCATTTAATTAAATCGTAAACTATTCGTTAATACGTCAGTTTGCTATGACTAAAACATTGTATTATCTTAAAATCACGATTATTAAACTTTGATTTATTTTGTTGCACAATAACGAAAAGCAATTAACATAGCATAAACCAATACATATACAAAAAAGTATAAACAAGAGCACAATAATAAGCAAAGGAGCATGTCACATACCTCAACGTCAGAATGAAAACATGTGCTAGATTGAAGGCATAACGACAGCAGACGACGGCTGTTTTCGCTTATCTCGAATCTTCCTCACACCCTTTTAAAAAGGAAGCAAATTCAGCGATGAATTGCGCGTTTGGACGGAAGTTTGAGCTGTGGTTGTGTCTCAAGCACTCCGGACAGTGACAGCTTTACTGCGCCTCTGCAGAAATGAGCACTACGTGTCTTGGACTGCGAGTAAATGTTCCCTTCCTTGTGTTGATTCCTCTAGCCCCACATGCCTCTGGACAACGACAAAGCTGCATTTTTAGCCCCCTAGTGGGCTGCCAAAGCCATACATTTATGTAGTTTTGTTTATTTCATTCAATGAAATGATTGGTATCTGAGTATATAAAAACACTAAACTAACATGGCTATTTAAAACGCACCAAACAGTTTTGCATAAAGCAAATAAGGTCAATTTGTTTTTCGAAGTGACCCGTTTGTCACAGTCAGTCACATGGCCTTTTATGGGGGAGCTCCTGTTGTTAATCCATCACACTCTACAATATCTACTATGGTAAGGATGTGGCTCATGAATATTAGTTAGGTTTTCTAGCTGCTATTTAAATATTCATAAGCCAAGCCTTTAAATCCTCCACATTCCAAATCATATAGGCTCACTCAGGTGGGCGAAGTAGGCAAGCGTCATTACTACGTCATTAATATTCATGAGAGGACCCATAGCCATAGTAGACTGGGATATTTGAGGGGCGGGGCGAGCGTCCTCGCGGATGTGGACTAACTGCACGTAGCCTCTATGTAAAGAACTGCACTGCCTATCCGACGTGGTGCGCAAACCGAGGATATGTCCGTGTTCTTGGTTTTCAATTTATTGCCAATGTCAGCTTCAACCAACGTGACGCTTAAGTTACAGTTTACGCTCGTTTTGTTCGTTGATACCATGCGTAAGGTTATCGAACTGGGTTTGTTTACTGTACGTCGTAAATAGTAGTTCACGTTAACGCTTCACTACTCAACATCTAAATAACACAGATTTAAAGAATTCAAAACCCGAATTTGTAGATTTACATAATTAAAACCTGAATTTGCAATATATAAAGTGCATACGTTAGCAAATTATTCGCGGCTGTGTGATTTTTTTAATTAGGCTTATATAGCCAATATTTCATTGCTTTAGTCTTGTGGTAGCGTGGCCGAGTGGTCTAAGGCGCTGGATTTAGGCTCCAGTCATTTCGATGGCGTGGGTTCGAATCCCACCGCTGCCAATAAATTATTGTTTTTTCTATAAAATAAAATCTTTCACGGAGCTGTAGTAACTCACACATTAATCCAATGCTGAACGCATATAAAGATGTAAACACTTAAGGACTATAAACTGCAGTGGACATCGTGGAATTTGTCATTTTTATTATTATCATATGTATCTATTTCCTGAAATGAGTCTCATTTAATTCTTATACAATTACTATATATGCAATGATGTATTCCAAAGGGCTTATCACACTACACCTAATGTAATGATAAAATAAAAAATAAATGTCACAACTTACTCTGTTTGTCACTCGTGGAGAGAATAATTAATCTGTGACTTCAGACAAATTGTTTGTCCCCCCTAGTAATATTTAATCTAAATCTTTTTTTTTCTTTTGTGGTAGAAAAATGGCCCTTTGTCAGATTGGGCAGAATATCTGTAACCACTACTCTAGACAATCAATCTGCTTTGAACAAAATGTGAAGAAGCTTCTTTTCAATATCCTGTTTCAGTAGGAAATATGCCACAATGCGCTAAAGTAGGTAGGAACATCCAGTTCATGGGAATAAAAGGGGTGTATTTCAAATGGCATACATTGACCTCAGAAAGACACTTAGGGGTGAAAACAATCAAGGCAGGCATATTTAAGTGTTCCAAACCACAGTGCCAAAATACCTTCAGAATGAAGGACTTTAAAGGATACAACTGATGGACACTTCAGACCCCTATTATCCTTTGAATTTGATTTGAGTCAAACACTGCATTCCACTTGGAAGGACTCCTCCCTGTTATGGCTTAATGCTTTGCAGTAAACAATCAAGTGATTCAGATGCTCACACACTTAAGGTGCATTCATAGCGTGTTGTAATTACATAGAAATTGTAAAGAGAATTTATGACACAAACACTCCTTTACCTTCCATTAATCATTAAAAGGACGCTCCACATTTTTGGAAACGGGCTCATTTTACAACTCCCCTAGAGTTAAACAGTTAAGCTTAATCATTTTCGAATGCATTCAGCGAATCTCCTGGTCTAGCGGGAACCCTTTTAGCTTATCTTAGCTTAGCATAAATCACTGAACCAGATTAGACAAGATGGTGCAAGTTTTATTCAGTTTAGTGGCATTGTTTAGGTTCTGTGCCTTCAATATGGTCAACTGATGACACGTTGTGAATAGGCTCTAAACCAGGGGTCACTAATCTCGGTCCTGGAGGGCCCGTGTACTTGCAGGGTTTAGGTCCAACTTGCCTTAACACACCTGCCTGGGTGTTTCAAGTATAACTAGTAAGACCTTGATTAGCTTGTTCAGCTGTGTCTGATTAGGGTTGGAGCTAAAATCTGCAGGACACCGGCACTCCAGGAAAAAGTTTGGTGATACCTGCTCTAAACACAGAACATGCTAGGTTAGCAAGTCCATATCATTGCCAATGACCAGTGGATATGATGTGACCAGGTTTTCTTTTCTTCATGCGACATTTAATGTACAGCCTAATTTAAAAAGGTAAAATTAATTTTTAAAAATCTAATCCAAGGAATATTTCATCTCCATATATTTATTTGGTTAACAGCCCTGTCCTAAACATGATGATGTACCAACAGCTGGTCATTATTGAGGAATAACTCCCTTGGATGACACAAGGGTAATTTATTTAGCATTAACAACTAGCTGACTGTTTGGTATCACTTATAAAGATCTTTTAATGACCACAATATCATTCTAACATATATCGAGACCCACAAAAACACCTTTTAGTGTCTCAAGTTGTCCCTTTTCTCTTTCACCGGTTTAAACACAATGACATTTAAATAAAAAAAATAATAATTCAAATATGCAGCATTTTTTAAATCTAAAAATGTAGATTTGTCAGCCAGGCAGGCACACTTTACCTGCAAAAAGAAGTCCAACTATTGTAAAAAATATTGATAAAACAAACAGTACATATGAGGACCCAACAACAGTATTATTGGGTAATTTGTAAGGTTGTCCTCCAACTTGATTGATATAAAACCCAACTGGAAATATGAGAGCGGCCATGCAGAAGAGGACCACTGCAAATAAATAAATAACAAACAAAACAACATCAGGTCGGTAAAACAATAAACAGATTTGGATTATTTGAGCATATCAGATGATCAACCTACTTCCCATGAAGGCAATCCAGCGGGCATACTTTGTTGCCTCTCGCCGCCAATGGGAGATCACAAGCAGGCCACATGTGATGGTGAGCGATACGATGCCCAAGATAATAAAGAACAGGGTTGTGACCCATTCTGGAGGAAGGCTTGGGGAGATACATATCCTGTTTCGACCATGGATGGTCTGGCATTGCTTGACTAGACCCACAGTCAGAGCCCCTAGATGCAAAACACATGAAAATAAAAACAAACAAACAAACAATTTGGTCTTTATATAGAACAACTTATAAGACTAGAAGACACTATCCATACAGCAGGGGTGTCTAAACTCAGTCCTGGAGGGCCGGTGTCCTGAAGAGTTTAGCTCCAACCCAAATCAAACACACCTGAATCAGCTAATCAAGGTCTTACTAGATACTACAAACTTCCTGGCAGGTATGTTAAAGCAAGTTGGAGCTAAACTCAGCAGGACACCAGCCCTCCAGGACCGAGTTTGGACACCTGTGCCATACAGGAATGTCCTGGGTGAGAAAATAATAACAGAAGTTTAATTTAAAGCCCACATGAAATCAAAACTACCCAGATTGATTTTGTTAGCTCACATTGGTAAACAACTAATCTGTGCATGTCATTAAAAAAGGTTTGCTCTTGTAATGTAAAGTTTAAATCTGATAATGCACTTCCTATTTCCCAGAGATGGGTTGCGTAAAAACGTGCTGAATAAGTTGGCGGTTCATTCCGCTTTGGCGACCCCGAATTAATAAAGGGACTAAGCCAAAAAGAAAATGAATGAATGAATAAATGAATGCACTTCCTATTTGTTTTCTGATAAATTGTCAGATCTATTTTACATCTGTTTTTATTTCATATTTAATTTTCCTAGAAATTGTGTCATAATACAATAAAAAAGGTCCCAGCTTCTAGTTCATGTAAACTTTAATGTCCTGTTCCCAAAAGCAGTGGTTCCCCAAAAATCTGAATGGTTGCACGACAATAAGGGAGAGTAATGTAATGTATTTTTTATTTAATGCCATGTCAGCAACCAAGGCTATTTTCATGGCTGAATTCTTTCAACAATAAATATACAATTAAAAAATCAACAAACAAAATAGAACATGAATTAAATAAGATTTTTTGTGTGAATACATGATAAAAAATTCTAAAATCTTTTCCGGTTTCACTTTGTTAAAAATGTCCTTAAAAGAGTTCATTTCATAAAAAAGTCTTCTGGAATCAGTAAAAGCAGGACGGTCCAGTAAAATGTGTTTTATAGTAAGGGGCGCTTTGCAGAACAAACACTGAGTAGGGTTTCACCTTGGAGCAAAAAACCATGTGTTATTCTCGTATGCCCAATACGACATCTGGTAAAAACTACTTGATCAAATTGAATCTTAAAATGTCTTACAATTCTGTGTGAAATTTCAGGGTGGATTTCATGTAATTTATTGTTACAATGAGGGGGAGAGAATTTCCAAAATTAATAGTTAACAGTTACATTTAAAAACCAACATGCAAATGAAACGCCATCATCAACTCAGATCTAATGATTTTTTCATCCACTGACTCCTGGGGTCACAACACAGCAATAGCATCAGTTGCAGCAGATAAATCTTATGGCACCACGTTAAAATTTTCCAAAAGTTTTCGCCACTCACATACATTAAATTCTAAATACAGGTCACGACTGAACATGTAGGACGTTCTGCGAGTGGGGGTCTCCAATATTAAACCAAGAATGGATTTAGTGTGCTCCAATATTGTTCTCATACAACTCATTGGGCTCTATTTGAACTATCTAGGCACAAAATCGAAATTAAAAGCAAGTAAGGGTTTTTGTGAATCCACTTTTGCTATTTTAAGGATGGCAAATATGGTTTGCGCCACGGAACATGGTCTAACAGGGTTGTGCTTATTCTCCTGATGAGTTATGTGTGTGTTTTGAGAATAATGTGCAATGTGTTCGCGTTTAAGGCGCACAACTAACATGCTCTGCGTTGGACTATTGCACAGTCTATTTTAGTTCCTCAAAATAGCAACGCGCCAACACACCTCCTTTAGACACTTGAACACCCATCAGTCCACAAAGCGGCGCAAATGGATTCACTATTTAAACAATGTGGCACAAAGAGAAAAATTAGGGTTGCGTTGGTCTGAAAATAGCAACACAGCACGCCAAACACGTCTTACACCTTATTGAGCCGGGTGTATGATAGGGCCCATTAGGTGAAGTTAATTTATTTATTCATTCATTTTCGGCTTAGTCCCTTTATCAATCTGGGGGTCGTCTTAGCGGAATGAACCGCCAACTTATCCAGCCTATGTTATACGCACTGGATGACCTTCCAGTTGCAACCCATCACTGGGAAACACCCATACAGACTCATTCACTATGGTCAATTTCAGCTTACTCAATTCACCTATAACACGTCTTCGGACTTGTCAAGGAAACCCACGCGATCACGGGGAGAACATGCAAACTCCACACTGAAATGTCAACTGACCCAGCCGAGGCTTGAACCAGTGATCTTCTTACTGTGAAGTGGCACCCAGGTGAAGTTAATGTTTAAATGAAAGTAATGTATAAATTACTATAAAAATGATATAGTTTTTAGTCTGTGGCATTTTTGTGCTGTCAACATGATTGTGTTTATATAGGTCAATTGGTATGTGTTTGTGTGTGTGCTGTTGCACAATGTTTGTATATTTATAACCACCTCAGAGGATAGCGGGGGTCACGGGTCAGTGGCATTGTTATTTTGGGGGTCATGGGCAGAGATGTTTGGGAACCGCTACCCTAAAATATTTACAAACTGTCATGGTGATACTGTATCAGTTACAGTCCTAAACCTGGCTCAGTTTAGAGCTTTAACCATAATGCTACATCATCACGAGTGTTGGGTGTGATTAATTACAATGCAACTACATACTCTAATTTAATTACCGTACTTATACACTAAAATGTTTTTTAAATAAATATTTTTTGGCTATTCCTTCTGAACTATTAAAATGTTTAAATAAAGCTAAAAGACATTGTTTGACTCAAATTTTAAAAGTTCAGACAGATAATCTGTATTGTCTATATGCATTAAGATTAAGATTTTAACAATTACAATGGACACCCAATTTTTTTTGGGTTCCTGAGCATTTTATCTGAGTGGACGATTGTCATCCAATCAAATGGTGGTAAGGCTCATCATGTTGTAATTTGAAAAAAAATACACTACACTGAGGAGCAGCGTGTAGACACAGACAAAAGCCACATTTACATTGTTTTTACAGATTATTTTTTATATGTTGGCCAATATTTCATAGATTGTTTGTAAAAAAATAATAATAATAAAGAAAGATTGCACGTACTTTTTAAAGTCTAAAATCTTTTGTAACGTCGCCAAGCTTTACATTTTTTCAAATGTCTGTCTATTAGGATGGACAATGGGTTCAAAATATGTTACTGAAATTTAATCTCCAGTAATGCTGATTGAACGTTTATAAAAAAAGACTATACTGATGTACTAATTCATTGTTGAAACAATTTCATATGCGAGTATACACAGGTCTTGAAGTTTTTGAACATAAAGCAGATTAGAGATGAGTTATCAGTTATTAGAGATGAGTTGCTAAAACTACTATAGAAATGTGTTGAAAAAATCTCTCCATTAAACAAAAAGTGGGGGAAAAAATAAACAGGGGGGCTAATAATTCTGACTTCAACTGTGTTGAATCTTTATTATTATTATTTGGTCTCATTATAGGAGCCTCAAGAACTGTGAAAACATACTTTTACATTTTTTAGAAATGTAATTTTTTTAAAAATTAGACATAATTCAGGTCTGTAGGGGTTAAGTCTCGAGTCAAATAACTAAATTCTTGAGTAACTAAATTACTATTTGGACATAGTAACTTTTGAAGTAAATTACTCAACACTGACCACCACTAAAGGTGAAACATAAAAAATTCAAGAACAATTTGAATGTGATGATTGAATAATTCCTTCCTGGATAAAAAGTGTCACATCATCAAATATTCAGAATTCCACACTAAATGGTGTTATTTATCTTAAGATGTGGAAAGTGAGAGTAAGTACTACAAGAATAAGTATTATACAACACACTTCCACAAATGTACAAACAATGGAACGAAATATACCTCAAATCATTGTGCCTTTGAATGTTTTGTGACCCTGGACATCAGAAAACCTTTAGCTTTTTCAAAAGTATTTTTGATCAAATAGAAATATGTATATAGCTAAATAGGATGACATTCTGAAAGCTTTTCCTTATCTCTAAATAATTTCAAATAATTGAAGGCTAATCAGTTTTTTATTCTGGGGGAAATTTACACAAACAGTATTCAAAAGCCTGATTTTTCATATTTGTTTTTCACATTTGCTTCTGTCTGTTCATTTACACAGTGGGAGTTATTCTAATGCTTTCTTTACTTGGTAAACCATAATGTCATATGCATCTAATGTCATCAGAATGTTTTCTTTATGAAGGTCTGCTGGGCTATAAACACTGCCAAAGCCGTGGGAAACTCCACTTAAAGACATTACACAGGATATCCTGTTTTTACCCTACACATCTTTAGAGTGAGGCGATAAAGAACTCAATAATACCCCTTGAATCAACATCGACCACCAGTCTTGTCAATGTAGTGCACACTTCTTAGGTAAATATTTAGTTTGAGGTTATTAAAGTTGTAAATAACACAGTTGCATTGGAAATTAGTGTTAATTCATCTATAGTTGAGTTTGTTTTTTTGAGTTTATGTCTATCTTTTTAATGTCTATGACTAGATAGATAGACATACAGAGAGTTTATCAAATAAAATGTATAGATAGGTAGACACAGATGGAATAATATGTTTCAATATAGACAGACGGTTTTATCAAAAAAATGTATAGACAAATAGATACAGTCTTATGCAAAAGTTTAACCAGCCCTGATCATTTTCATCATTGCAAGTCATAGCCTGCTGGCCTTTCAAATCAGGGATTTGATTTGGACATATTTTATACCCTAGAAAAAAAAGCATTAGAGTTCTGACATAACTTTTATTTAATCAACAAATGCTAAGCAATTTAAGTCTTAACAAAAATAGACAAATGCAAAGATTTGGCCACCCCAACAGAACAATGACATCAATCTTTTGTACAGCCACCTTCCTGCTGTAATAACAGCCTGTAGACACTTCTTATGGACAAGCATAGGTCCTTGAATTGTTACTGAAGGCATTTTGGGCCATTCTTCCTAGCAAAATTTATCCAGATCAGTCAGGTTTAATCGGTACCCAGCATGAATGGTCTTTTTTTTTAATCAATCCATAGATTTTCAATGATGTTTAAGTCTCAGGCCATTCTAGAACATTGTATCATGTCTGAGCATGAGTTCCTTGGTAGAGCTGGAACTGTGCTTTGGGTCATTGTCCTGCTGAAACATCCAACCCTGCCATAACTTTGGCCTCTTGACTGATTCTTGAGCATTGTTCTTCAGAATCTGCTGATACTGGGTGGAATCCATGTAACCATCAACTCTGACAAGGTTTCCACTTTCCAGTACCTGAGCTTGCCACAAATCCACACAGCAAGTTGGACCCTCCTCCATATTTTACAATAGGGAGCAGGTTTTTCTTCTGGAATGCTAAGTTCTTTTTTTATCATGCAAAGCATCTATGGTTGTGGCATTTGTCCACATTATTTTTTTCCAAAATGATCCAGGCTTGTCCAGATGAGCCTTTGTATACCTCAAACAACTCTTCCTTGGCAGAATGCAGAAAAGTTTCTTCAGCATCTCCCTTCAGTTGAGCTGTTTTTTTTTTTTTTGTAAAGAGTGCACTAAACTATTAATTGATATACAATTACATTTTTAGCAGCAAAATGTTCCTGGAGCTCTTTGGAGGTGGTCCGTGGTTTGTCTGTGACCCATCTAACCATTCTTCGCCTTTGTCTTTCAGATATTTGTCTTGGTCTAGCACATCTTTTTCTCACTCACAAGAACTGTTTCTGTGGCCTTCCATTTTCTTACTAAATTTCTGACTATGGAGATAGACTATAAACCTTTGTGATAGCTCTTTACATCCTTCTTCCAATTCATGTTGGTGATTTACCCTAGTTTTTAGGTCATTATAAAGTTTTTTAAGGTTCCCATGTTGCAATTTCTGGTTCACAACAAGGAGAATCACAACTAGCAATTAGCTATCTTAAATATCCTTTTCATGATTGGCTGCACCTGTGTTAGGATTGATTAGGTTCAGAGAGTCATGCCGCAGTCACAGTAGGGTTTGAGCTTGTGAAATTCTATAGTACGGTGCTGCGAAAAGGGACGGAATTAAACAAGATGATTTGACATTTAAAAAAGCAAGTGACTGCTCGTTTTAAATTTCTGTGCAGAGAGGTCATGTTTTGGTCTTTGATTGGTCTCACGCAATCATGTGATGCGATTTCACAGGTCAGAGTTCACCAAGCTTGAAATTTCCAACGCAGCGAAAAGCGAACTGCGAAACTTGTCGCAGGAGCTTGCGTTTCCAGTCTGATGCATTTGAGTGCATGTGAATTGAGGTCTATGGGGAGAAAGGTGTAGTGGCCGCAGCCTCACTCAAATCAGTTTGTGTTGTGATCAATCAGCAAGTGACTGCAATTTTTGAAATTCTCACAAATAATTTTACACATCTCAACACTGCTACACTATATGCATTTCTGTCTGAAAAACATGACATTATCTAGCTTTCACTAGAAACCGAATGGCATTTCACTGTGATCTTCTCTTATAAAGAAAGAGCACATAACTATGCTGCCACAGAGGGGTGCCCAAATTTTTGCATAAAACGATAGATAGATGGATGGTTGGATGGATGGATTCATGGATAGATAGATAGACAGACAGACAATAGATGGATGGATGGATAGATAGTTTAATTGATTGGTTGATTGATTGATTGGTAGATGGATGTATTTATGGATGGAAGGATGGCTTCTGGCACAGATAGATATATAGATAGACAGACAGACAGACAGATAGATAAGTGGATAGATGGACAGACAGAAAGACTGATTGTTTAATTGATAGATAGATAGTTTAATTGATTGATTGATTGATTGATTGATTGATTGATTGATTGTTTGATTGATTGATTGGTAGATGGATGTATTTATGGATGGATGGATGGATGGATGGCTTCTAGCACAGACAGATATATAGATAGACAGACAGACAGACAGACAGACAGACAGACAGACAGACAGACAGATAGATAGATAGATAGATAGATGGACGGACGGACGGATGGACAGACAGACAGACTGATTGTTTAATTGATTGGTTGTTAGATAGATAGATAGATAGATAGATAGATAGATAGATAGATAGATAGATAGATAGATAGATAGATAGATAGATAGATAGATAGATAGATAGATGCAAAGGTTTTCTTCACTCAATGAGTACTGTACTTTTTTGTTCTCTGCTGCATCTGTTGAACAAAACAGTAACAACTGGTGGTGAACATCTGTTCTGAGACGTTTTGTAGAACAGGATCCTCATATTAAATAGGAAAACAAAACGGGATGACCGAACAAAATGCTTCTCCTTAACAAAACGAACGTTTGCAGACCCTGCTGAAGCCCAAAATCGGTTAAAAGTCAGAATAAAATATTGGGGGATCTAATGTAAGACCATCTGCATCGACAGCAATCTATTAATATGATTCCCACATTTTCATAACAGGGCAATTTTCCAACTAATTAACTGCTGTGAAGCTCTCATCCCTCTGGAAGGCAATTCCCAACAGACTTCATTAATACAGCAACAAACACACTGAATAATCAACAACACATTTCCCTTAAAAGCATTCTCACTAATGCAAAACATCTAATGACTGGCTGTTTATGGCTAATGTCAGAAGCTTTTATATATTTTCATGTTTTACCCATGAATGGTTGTAGAGAACAGAAATGACCATGCTATCTTGACCTGAAAAGCTGTGAAAGTAAATTGTGCATTTATAGATGTATTTGAGTAAGATTGTTCGTATGGATTAAAAGGATGGATGTGTTGTAGACATGATTTTAGGCTCAATAGTTACAAAACACTTCACATGCAGATACACGTGTGCTTTACCTGTAGAGTGACATGGTAATTGATTGAACGAAGTTTCTTACCCTCTTGACCTCCTGTATTGATCCAGTCTGGATTTGCGATACTTGCAATAGCAAAAATATCAGCTGCAAGAAAGAGACATCCTGAAATAATGGTGAGTTTATCCATTTTCACACTTCAGTCAGTGAACTACATGAGTTGAGGTCTGTTATTATTAGATGTTTGGGACTGTGTAAGATTGATGTATCTTTCACTCCCTCTTTTAGAGGGAAACTCATGAAGAAACTCAGTTCATCACAGCAGTATCTAGAAGATAATATCTGAGGATTATGATGCAAACAGCAGGAGAATGACATTCAGCATAGAACATCATCCCATTATGAAGCGTCATCCCTCGCGTACTCCACTGACAACAGCCTGCATTTTAACATCGCTGTAGAAAATCCCAAGTATTACGAGGTTACATCCATGCTGGATCTTCCTTCTTGATTTGTGGATATCATTGAAAAGGGAAAGACTCCACAACGAAGTGTCTTTTCTCACGTCAGTGTCGCGTGCGCTGATAAACGTCGTGCTTCATCGACAAGTGCCGTTGTCCTTCTTGTGTTCACACTCTTCCGCGTTTTAGTTTAAACTAATTTCGCGTAAAATAGCGTCCGAGAAGCTTTCAAAACACAACCCTGCTCGCGAGATGTTTTCCCTTTGTAAGGAATAACGGAGGGGGCAGGAGAACATGACGCAACGTGTGACGTCACCCGCCAGATTTTGACAGTTTTCTGTGTACTCTCGTTGAAAATGTATGTGGACAAAAACAACTTTCAGAAGTTTCTAGGAGTACAAATATCTAGAATAATAAGTTATAATTTTTTTTTTGTAAATGCAGTGAGTGTTCAAATTGGACAACTCATGAACACTTAAGAAGTAATGCAGTGTTCATCGGCTAAAAATCGATGCTTCAGTTCCCAGCAATTCATCGCCATGCTAGTTAAACAGCACTTTAAACTTTTTCAAAATTGTGCTACTTATTTTAAATTTTAAACAGGTGATGCCTTTCAGCACATCTGGGGCCACATAATCACTTTAGTGAGTACACGAATCACAGGTTTGTAAACATTGAGGATGCGCGCGCAGCGAGGTTGCAGAAAAAAACAGGAGCGCTTTACAGTGAGGGAATGACATCCGATGCGGTACAGAGTTTGTCGTTGTATTAGAGAAGTTATATTGATTATATATTATATATTTATTATTAACACAATGCTTTCAGCGTATTATAACAGCTCGTCACCCAGTTTTAAGCATTCTGCAAAATTAACATTAAAGTGGACGGTGTTCATAAAGCCCGAAATATACAGCTTTCTTATTAAAACTTTAATGATTTTACAAGAGGAGTAAAGGCCTACAAGTCTTTTGATGCCAAATTGTTCTGTGTGGTCATGTGCAAGAATTAATGTTCCATGATTACCAGATTCAAAACTATGTAGTGCTAAAAAACCGAGGTTCTGCCTAGCCAAAGGCAAGAAAAGACCAAACTGTACAAGGCCTGGGTAATCATTAACAAGCAAAACTGACAGCATTCTGACAGCGAACAGTACCTGTACAGCAGGGTGTGTGAACTTACATTTTATTCCTAGCTTACAGTGTCTGCAATTTAATTAATCATATGTAACTGTTTTTGCTGAAATCATTACTGCAATTAAAAACAAGTAATGTGTATTATTCTGTATAGCGTGATCTTACCTGATATAAATTGAGAAATGCGGAGTCGAGCATTTTTATTAGGTCCTCACTCCATTCAGCTCTTATGATGGCTGTTAGCCAAAGACGTCTGCGGTTGGCATTAAATGCAGTGTGGTGTACAAAGACGTCTGCGGTTGGCATTAAAAGCAGTGTGGTGTACGGTAAAACTTAAGTTTTCTATTTATGGACTTTTGATTTTGGCATCCTACCACTTGTTTGCTATTGCAAACAGTCTTTTTTTGCAACCAGTTTGCACGGTTGAACCCGTCTGATGTCATGTGTGATGTAGGTTGGTAATTCCCCTATAGCCATCCATCATTGCCAAGGAATTTCTCTAGTTTCAATCAGATATAACAGGCCAATCTCCTGCTGCACAAAGCACCCCCAAACTACATTCAATTTTCTTTACACACACTGGGTTCAGCCTTTCCCCAGTTTATTTAATATTTACAACCAGACACAAAGTAAACTTGCTTTTTGTCAATAAAGTGAAATTTGGACCAGTTTTCTGACCATACAACATGCTCCTCCTCAACAAATGCTAGCCAGGCCTTTTAATTTTATCTGCTGATGAATGTTTGGTCACTGCAGCACCATCAGTCTAAATTCTTATAAATCTCAGGACATATTCTTACATGCTTCAGCGACAAACTTGTGCATTGTGGAATAGACTGCTAATTGACTTGGGTTACATTATATCTTGTCTGCAATTTATCATAGGTGGACAACCAGCCATTTTGCAAGGTGCTGGCCTGACCTAATTCATGACCTAATTGATCCCAAAGGGATTTATTTTGGTTAATGTCAATAAATTACCTGATCCATTAGATAAGCGGAGGCTAAACTCTTTATTGATTTAGTTTTATACTGTTCTGTGTTATAGGCTTGATATGTGAAGATGCTCTGATTTGTCATCAATAAGACAATGCTCTACATCAGGGGTCACCAATCTCCTGGAGGTCCGGTAGCCTGCAGGGTTTAGCTCCAACTTGCTTCAACACACCTGCCTGGGTGTTTTAGGTAAACCTAGTAAGGCCCGGATTATCTTGTTCAGGTGTGTTTGATTAGAGTTGGAGCTAAAATCTGCAGGACAGCAGCCCTCCAGGAACAACTTTGGTGATCCCTGCTCAACAAAGTGCAATCTGAAATGATTCATTACTTGACATTTTTAGGGTAGCACATTTAAGTTGCCCAGCTGTAAATACAGTCAAATTTATATGTGAATCTGTGAAGAAAGAAGTTATTTATTTATTTTCATACAGTAAACTGCTAAATTCAATATGACACTCATAGCACTGGGATTGGGCTGTATATTTGCACTGCTGCCTTGTGCCTATGCAAGAATCACAATGGTGCTGATATCAACGTCTCTTTAGGGCATAGTCTTTGCTGATATACAGCCATGTCACATTGCTAGGGATATTGCATACTACATACTTGATATCCGAGCATACTTGGAGGAAAAATATGCATACATACAGGTATAGGCATCTATCTATATCAATTAGGACAAACTAAACTTACCCATCATGACATTTACAATTTTGTTAATCAAATCTGTACACAAAAATCATGCTTATAATACACAAGACATTTACCATTATTTTATATTCACATATCAAAAACATCAAATTAATTTAATGTCAGCCTCATTCTTTGTTGTTATAAAGACATTAAGGGGTATGTGGTAAGATGATTCAAATAATAATAATTAAAAAAAAACTAGTTTCAGGAGTGTTTGATGGTGTTGGTAGATACTTTATTAATTTACATCTATACATTTCAAATGGACAAGTGTTGAGCGCTTTTCTTGAGATTACTCCACCTTATAGAATATTACAAATATCAAGACCAACTGTTGATGACAACCTTATTATTATTATTTTTGGGGACAGAAACAATGAAGGTATCATAAACATGTCCTTGTTTTTGTGAAGAGACATTTGAAAGAGAAAATGAGCAAGAATGCCCATCAGATTTCATCAACAAAGGGTGTGTTGACCAAGTTCCCACTGGAGGCCATGGTCTTTTTACCAGACATGAATTTCTTTGCAACCTGAAAAACAAGACACAAAATTCCAGTCAATCCCTTAAGACCTCAAAATAACAATAAGATATGCTGACAATAAATAACAATTGAAGCATAGCATAATTAATCATTTTTTATCTCAACTCTAAACAATACCAATAGAAATACAGCCATTATGTAGGATCACAGAAAGCGTTTGTAACAAAAACATTTTTGTACAGAATACTCATACAATAATAGGTCCTTTCCCATGAGCTTTACTCCAGTCTATCCTGATTAAAAGTGTGATACTCTTGGGTTACCATCCCAGAGCATTTACGTTAACACTGTAAGAGACAACAGTTGCTTACGTTGACGACATCAGCTGAAGACACAGCATTGATTTTCTGGGTCACAGCCTCAGGGGTATGGTAGGTACCCTCTGACAGCACATGTGTACCAATAACATCCATCAATCCCTCAGAACTCTCAATAGACATGAGGTAATCGGCCGTCAGCTGATTCCTGCTCGGACATGAAGACAATTCATGTAGAATTACAGCCTGAAAAATATAAAAACTGCACTCTAGTTCTCAAGTGTCTGAGCTGATAAAAACTCACTTGGCTTTGCTGAGATCTGCTGCTGCAAGGTTTCCTTGAGCAATGGCATTCACCTGACCGACAGCTGCTTTGATTACCTGCACACAACAATTAACGCTTATTTAACACATTTTCTTGAGTTGACTGCCATGTCAACTTCTCTGGCCATGTCACAGCAAAAACAGATACAATTTTAGAAATATCACTTTTCTAAAATAAAAAGGTTTACAACAATTAGAAAATATCAACAGCAATGAATAATACATTAAAGTAAGATAAAACTACCATTTTAAAGGGCTCAAATTTGAAAATTATTCCTTTAAAGTCTCTACAGATAAAACAAATTGCTGTATGATAACAATAAACGGCATTCCAAAAGTAAGCTTAACAGTCTGTATTGATATTTTGGAGAAAACTCTCCTTTGAGTAAGTGTCCATAAGTACAGTTGGTCTTGTGTGTCCAATACTAAATCTTGTATAAACAACTTCATCTTTCTTGAGTGAAAAAATTGTTTTATTTTCTTCCTACTAAGGGCTGGATTTTGAAATGTTTTTTTTTAATGTTGTTTGCCATTCATTTATTCATATTTTATTAATAGACAAGGCAAAGGCAAATGGCATATGTTTCATGTGATAATCCAGTTTTGTGCACAAGTCTAATTAACATCTTTAGATAGAAATATCTTCTTAAGGCCCAATTTGTTTGTTTGTTTTTTTACCTGCATTTTTTATTTCTCTTTGCTATTTGGGCTTATTGGAACCTATTTAGAATAAAATTTTAAGTATCATCTTTGAATATGATGTACTTTTAGAGAAAAACGATGTTCAAATATGTAGACTAGAGGTCCGAATTTACATTAAACACTTTTTCACAAATTTTTTTTTTGTTATGCATATTTAATATAGCAAGTTAAAAAAAAATCTTTGACTATCAGAGAGTAAAAAAAAAACATTTCCCTCATTTTGGAAAGTTAAAAATAAGGTTTGGGACATTTCATATGCTGCAAAACTATTGCAGGATGACACTGTATGTCTGTAACAAAATATAAAACATTCAAAAGTATTTTAAATAGCCATTTAAGAGCTAAAAATGTGCTGTTCACGTATGTAGACACTCAGGCCCTAGGAGGATATAGCTAGTATCAGGTCCAAAACTGAGAGATTGATTATTACTTAAACAATTAAAGACTGTATACTTATTACTTGTTTATCAATAATGGACTTTAGCACCAGGTAGACACTACAAAACTATTCTAGAAACTGGAGTGCCACCAGTGCCCAAGAACCTTAAAGCAGATGCTTCCTATGAATCAAACCAATAGCTTCAGTCTTGTTAGCGTATATATTAGTTAATAATAGATTTGTTTCAGTGCCCCCTAAGTTTTTTTTAGATCTTAACCTTCCTGAAGAGTGTAATATAGCTGTCAATGCAAAGTTCATGCATTTGTTTGTCAAAAACAAAGGGCACGAGTCAATCAACAGACAAGTCAGAAGAGACTTGGACATCTGACCAATCTGAGCAGCACAGAAGAAAGAGATTTAGAAAGATAAATACTTCAATAAACAGTTCAGATACTGTGAAAATGAGATGCTGAAATGTAAATTCTGAGTAAATGCGAGTGTTTTTTGACCTTGGATGGTTTTAAACCTTTTTATACAAGACCTAAAATTTAAACCCAGAGTGTAATGTAAATCACACGTACATCGTTGACAGCGTTAGCCTGGCAGATGGTGTACAAGCCAAAAAGACCAGAATCCGTGTAGTTGGCATTAAACGCAGAGGCCTGCAACAAAAAAAGACAGGCCCGGTTATGAAGAATGCTTCATGAAAACCCTTTGTGAACTGAAGGCCTCATAAGGACATACTCACATCAAAGGGCAGAGCGGTGACTTTTGAGATGGCCTGAGTCAGTGTGCTGGTGCTGCTGGAGCCTCTCTTGACTCGTGGTCCTGCTCCGAGCACATGCTGCAGTACACTGAATGCAGTGGCCTCAGCTGAGGTTGCACTTGCTCCTTCAATTGCCACCAACGCATGAACCAGGCCTGCTCCAGTCTGATGCCTCACCTCACCTGCAAGACGGAGGCAGACAATAACATTTCTTAACATTATCTGAAAAGCCAAAATCTTAAGTGTAGCTTAAAAAAATGTTGGTAAGACTTTACAGTAAGGTTCCATTAGTAAATATTAGGTCACTACATTAGATAACAAACTTACTTCTGAAGCATTTAATAAAGAGGTGATCCAATGTTGTTTCAGGAGTTACTTACACTGTTAGAGGGCCATGATACCCCCTTGTTTCAGCAGAGTGTTTTCACACCTCTACTTTGGAAAAAGTCAGAAAAGTGGGCGTGTCCAGCTCTGTTTAGGGGGGAGTGTCGGAGGAAGAAAAGAGGCTTGGTGTGGGAGTGTCTATTTGGGCGCGCTGAATTTCAGAGTCAAAACACACACCCAACAGGGGAGAAAGGGACTGTTTACAAACGAGATATTTGATTCGAGGATCTGCTCTAAGCGTTTATTTTCATGCAATGTTTGATACCGCACGGCGAATGAGAGAAAAAAAACTCAGCATTTCCCGGAAACTTAGATGCACTTGGCAGGTAGTGTCAGAAAGCCGCGTGTGTTATTCCGGTCACAAAATCCTACTTGAGGTTATAGTTTGGTTGTACAGCTAACTTGTTTACACTCGGTGCAATAGTTTGTTCGATACAAATAAAATACGAACTGAATAAACAAAGAGCATTTTTTAAGAGAATACTACAAGCGAATCCGGATCTCAGCGTTTGCAGATGAGAACAGCTCTCAGGTAAACAATAATCCTTCTTAGACACGTAAGTTATTGTTGTCGAGCGTCGCCTACACTGTTAATCCACACGTGAGTCTGCGCTCTCACAGAGAGAAAATGAAAACAAAACTTAACTGCAGCAAACTATAAAAGCAATACTTCACGCTTGTTTTGCCAACACAACGTGGCGTCTCTGTCGTCTGAACACTACGACAGTAATGAATATTAATGAAGTTGCACAATAGAGCGCGCTGATTGGTTTGACCCAAGCTTTACTCATGCATTAATGCATCACACTGTAAGACGTAATAAGACACACTCTGGCACAGACGCCCAGTCTGCACGCTGGAATACAGGCTATTATGTCATGACCGTGACGCAGCTTCAAAAATTAGTTTCAAACCGGAAGTACGAATTTGCTTGAAATAACGCAAAAACAACCATTTTACACTTTTTAGTGAAATATAGGTGTCCTAATAGTGTTTTTAGCAGTGTGGGACACATATACGACTGTCAACAGCTCAAAAAATGTGTTTTGGTGTTTCGTGACCCTTTAAAGAGTTAAACTCTCCTGCTCTAACATGGGTCAAGTTTCAAAAATGATTTGGCCAAAACAGAGTAACCAGGAGAACAGAATCAAATGCTGCCCATTTAAGCTGTTTGACTAGTAATGATGTGCTCTACCTCCACGGTACAGAGCTTTGGAACCAACAGTGCCCGCTCCGCTGCGGATGTTCAGGAACTGCTCTCCAACCTGCTTCAGCATGTCATGATCCACTCCTACAGTGACGTATAGAAGACACATTTAGCTGCCTTTTTGGGCCAAATTAAATGTTCTTTTTACAAAATATATAATTTCATAACATACCAAGACCAACCAGGGCCATTCTTGCACTCGTAAAGTTGTTCTGAACAAAGGTATGCATCTGTGAAAAGAAAAATACAGAAAACCTCCAGGTTGAATACTTATTTGCAAAGACTAATACTTGATCATTTGCTTGATTACTTGAACAAGACTGTTATTTATCGTCATACACATGCGGTCAGCTACTTTACAACAACATGAAACTTTAAAGATGGAAGTGTGCATTTTTAACATGTTAGTGTAACTGTGTTTAGTGTTTTACTGAGTGATGAGGCATTATAGAAATGAGACTTAATCAGTTGTTATAAAAAAATAAGGTTTGTTGTAGCCATTAAGCTTCAAATAAATGCAGAATATCAAATGAAGTGCCTTTTATTCAGCAAGCATCTATGAAATTTCCAGTGAAAATAACTAGAACATGATATATGCTGTTACATTGACATAACATTGTTTACTCTAGAGCAGCGGTGCTCAATCCTGTTCCTGGAGATCTACCTTCCTGCAGATTTCAGTTGCTACCCATATCAAACACACCTGCCTGTAATTATCAAGTGGTGTTCAGGTCCTAATTAATTGGTTCAGGTGTGTTTGATATGGATAGCAACTGAAATCTGCAGGAAGGTAGATCTTCAGGAACAGGATAGAGCACCCCTGCTCTAGAGTTTTGGTCTATTTAGAACATAATGTTATGTCAATGTAACAACATGTATCATTTTCTAGTTATTTTTTTCTTTTTTCTTTTCTCAAGAAGTTTTACAATTACATTAGGTACATGTCAGAGGTCACACATCTGTATACACTCAAAAATATAGGCACAAATTCTGTACATCCACTCTCACTTTCAGCAGTATATGCTTTCCTTTTGTGCGCATGTACACTATTGTTATACATAATAAAATAATAAATAAATAAATAAATAATAAAATAATAATTTTAATAAATATAATAAAATAGGAGGAAAAATTAAGTAAAAATAAACAAGTAAAATAAGATATACATACACATCAGCAACAAAACTATATAGATGTGATCCTTCCGATTTTAGGTTAATAGAAATGTTCAGGTTTATGGGATGTTGCATAGTTGGTCCATTTTTCCCAGAATGAAATAAATTGATCCATTTCTGATTTACAAATGCGGTAATTTGTTCCATTTTTAAATTTTCATTGCAATTTCCATCCACGCATTTAGGACAGGACTTTCATGTGACAACCATCCTTTGGTAATGCTCTTTTTGACAGCTACCAATAAAACCTTCATTAGATATTTATCCCTCTTTAACCATTCAAGTTATTTTCACTGGAAATTTCATAGATGCTTGATGAATACCATCACAGCATAAATGCTAGTATGACCACTGCCACAACATAAATAATAGATTTTTAAATTTTTTTTAATTTCCTGCCAAACCTGTTCGGTAGTGATTTGGCCAATCTTGAAGTCTGGACAGTACAAGGAATTGGACAGGGCATTCTTATAGGCTGCAGCATGTAAATCTTCAATAACACCTGAGGGACAAACAGATGAAGAATAGAAACAGAAAATTATCATGATGACTTCCATCAATCCCCAGTGCAAGTTAGTTTAATCCACATCACAATTTGCTTCTGCTATTTTTCACTTAGGAGTCAGGCTGTTGATTCTCAGCACTAAAACCAAATTGAAGACAATAAAGATAATGGTTTATTGCTAACAAATGTGCTATATTTTAGTCAATAATACCTTTTTTTTACAAAATAATTATTATGTTGATGGTTATTTTGGACACAATTCACACCTAAACTGTAAAGATGATGTATATTAAGTTGAAGGCAAACTTCTTAGCCCTCCCATGACATTTTTATTCCTTTTCAAATATATTTCCAAACACATTTTTAAACATCCTAATTTTAATAATTAACTTATTTTGTCTTTTCCATTTCAGTTCTTTTCCAGGATGACTACTTAGTACAACACGTACTAAGCTTAAAGTGCCAAACTAGATGTGTTTGTTTAATTAGGCAAGTCACTGTTGTGCAATGACTTGCCTAATTAAGCCGAGTTAACCTAATGAACCTAACCTAATTAACTTTTTAGTCTAAAGTGGGCATCAAAATGACAAAGCTGCATACCAATCTGTGGCGTCTGCTTGGCGAGTTTCTTATCCAAATTCACCCTTCCCGTGAGGTCTGACACTTCCCATGCACGAAACTCGGGTGCCGTGGTCACATTGATCAGATACTCCATAACAGTGTCACTGTGAGAGAAAACATGGACAACGTGTGTTTAGCGAAATATAAGATCACACTAAGATTTTTAAGGACCAAACTAATGTGTTTTACTTACATATGATCTCTCAGGCAGTCTACAGTATATGACATGGTTTCCCTGGAGCTTGACACGCTGCACAAAAATATATTATATGTATTTACTCACAATGTATTCCACTTGTGCATTTTAATATAACATAACATATAAAGACAATTTCACAGCCTGTGAGGACACACAGATATCATTGTAAATCCAGAAAAATTAAGCTGACATTTCTCTAAGGCAATGTTTCTCAAACTTTTCTTACCAAGTACCACCTCAAAAACAAATAGTCTCTACAAGTACCACCATAATGACCGATATTCAAATACAGTAGTATAGGAGGCCTAAAAAAGCAGCTAAAGCTCTGCACAGTTCAAAAACGTGGCAGATTAATTCTTATTATTAAGAATATTTATTATTGTCAGCCACTTTAACCGTTATAAATAGTTTGAACATTAACACTGTACCGTGCTCACAGGTAAAAAATAAATAAAACGTCAACATTTAAATTAAAATGTGCTTTTAAAAGTTAATTAAAAACGCTGATGTCCTTAAAAAGTAAAAAGAAAACTGCTGTACTTAAATGTAAAGTATAATCATAAAGCAGCCTATTCATCAAAACCTGGAAATGTTCCTTGGACCTCATAAATATAGGCTATATGTCATCATATTCATATATAAACAGTATTTGATACAGATTATTAGTCCAAAGAGCACTGATATATTATTTACCCCTTGAAGCTGTTTGTTTGATTTGGATGTGAATGTGATGCCAAGTAATTTTCCAAATGCTGCTCAACAAGAGCTGACAGAACAATAGCTCTATTTGGACAGAACTAGCTTTCCAAACGACATGTTTATGATAAATGAATGTAGATGTCAGTTGTATAATTGAACTTCCATGTAAAGTAAAACATCATAACTTGCTTAGTGTTTAAATACGTAACAATTTTACATGGTGGCTTTTCAGAACGGCTTATAATAAACCTACTGGATAAATATATTTTAACATTTAATTTTCTTGTTATGCAATTGACTGCAGAATTAAAAATACTCTTACCTGAAACTGATATTAGAGTAGCCAGTCTTTATCACCAGCAGCAGTTTTAACAAAGTGACACAACATCTGATATATAGATGAAACTGGCACTACACTGAGTGTAGTGACACTTCTGGTGGCATATCCGGTTTTCAGAGTTACGTCAGTAGACCTACATGCAAGTGATCTTGTGAAATGTGCCAGTAGTTGTCAGTATAAGCACATGTTATAAGCACACTAATGTTATAAGTTTCTCTTTGCTTTAAAATTTAAAAATAAATAGGCAAATGACACCTATTATCTTATATGCATGTGTTTTTACAACACGCATTTTAATATAACTTTATTCTAATATAACTTTATAAAGTATATTATTTAAAATACCTTAAAATAAATAGCAATTCCATATTGTATAGTCCATATTGTAGCCAACAAAGGAACCACCATGATGCAATAACATACGATAACTTGGTCACGATAAGTTTGATCTCCCCAGACATGTATTGTCAAATGACTAAATATTATGTGTAGTTGCAGTAAATACCGGAAGTATAACTATGAATACATAAAATTTTATGCTTATAAATTTAATTCTTATGGAGTAGTCCAGCATATAAACTAACTTGCGACGCAATAATTCATGTTAAAATGTTTTGCGCGGGTCGATTAGTGTCATTAAGCTTCGCCGTGTGTCGATGTCACTGCTGAAGATGTCACCGCAGGGACATGCCACTACTGAATAACACACAACAGTGAAAATCGAACATGCAACCAGAAGTGTCACTAAACTCAGTGGTATGTGCCATGAGCATCTGTACGTCAGATGTCAATAGCTATGTTTCCATCCACCTATATTTATGCGCATTTTGCATATTCGCATAAAAAACGGTTGATGGAAACACCAAGATGCGCATAATTTTTGAAAATGTGCATAAAAAACTTATGCGCAGAACTGAGAAAGATGATCTTTTTTTGATCGATAGGAAAAGATGCGTATAGGCTACGATAGAAACACTTTTACCGCACTTTTACCGCACAAAAATTGCAAATTACATTTTTAATGTTGATATTTGGCGCCAGGTAATCATAAAGTAACAATTTTGTTCGCTTTGACTCGTTGGAAACGCTGCTTTATTCCCACGTCTTTTATGCGATAATCCAGATTTGCACATAAAGTTCATTCGCATTTTTGGATGGCAACATAGCTAATGTCACTTCATGTTAAAAATGCTTCTCACAATTTACATGACTTGGCTATTCTTCTTGTTTTCATTTTTTTTATTTTATATTTTAATCAAAGGATAGCAAACACATTTACATCCATTACCGTACGTTCACACCGAAAGCGTCAAAGTAGCCGGAAGTCATTCATTTTCAATGAGAGCCGGTGGCGATAAGCGGCGAGGAGCAGCGTGGCGCATCTTCGCCGGTGTTGACGTCAAGGAGAGTCGAAATCAAGTCAACTTTATGGTAATGAGCTATGACGCGGTTTGGCGGCAAGCAATCAGAATGAAGAAGTCCACCGCTTGACAGAACTTCAGAGAACACCGACCTGTGAACTTTGGTTCCGACCACAGTTGTTCCCAAGGGTTTGATTATTGTGGTTGCCGGATTTTCAGTTATTTACAATGTCTTCTTACAGGGACATGTGTTAAATAAGTTACTGGTGAGGTACTGATGTGCATTAATGTATATATTTTTATCTTTAAAAAAGCTGGACTCTCATGCCACAGTACAAAACAGTATTGCTGCTTCAGTATATTTCAGACATATGGACACATTGGATAATTAAATGGAGCAAAGCCACACCACAGGCAACTTAATCTTCCATTGTTAAATGAATTTAATAAGAAGTGCGCAACATTTTCACGGCCCCTTTAAATACGAGATCAATGTAGCGAACTTTGACGCTCTCGACGCTTTTGGTGTGAACGCACAGTTATTGGTACACAGAAACCTGAAACCTGTTGCACTACAGATTGTAGAGTAGTTCAACAGAACATCCTACAATGAAACTAGTCCTGTCCGAGTAGGGCTTATGACAGCTTTCAATTCTGTCAACTGCCAAAATAAAAACAGAATATACACCAAAGGGAGATGTTGTTTTTGTGTAACACTGAAAAACTGACCTTAAGCTTCCCCCAACAGCCTCAACACCACGGCAGATCCTAAAAGCAGATGCTCCCTTGGTTGTCTGGAATCAACAACAAGAGAAGTGAATGCTAACAGGATCACTGCGCACTATCAGTACAGAAGTCAAACACAGAGTCGAGATGGATGGATTGTATACCAGACTGGCAGCCAGACGAAGCAAGTGTGTGACACCAAGGTTATCAGTGGTCTCATATCGGCTTCCGGCCCTGACAAGAACACCAATCCGAGAAGCAGGAGAATAGTTTTCCAAGGAAGCAATCACTAAGCCACTAGGCAATTTCGTCACCTAGAAAAAAGGGAGGGAAAAAGCAATTACACCTTCCATTTATATAATTTGGTTATAATATCAGACTTTTTAAGATAAACCAACTAAACATTAAAATAAGAAACTGATTTAGCCAAGTTTAACAGTGATTTGAATAATAAAGTGATATGGATCAATCTATCAGTCAAATCTTATCTAAAGCAATATAATCTATCGGAAAGTGCAAAGCAACGTAACAGAAGACTTGAACTGGTATTATTCAAAGGCGTCTGACTAAAGCTTTATGTTTTAATTATTAGTTTTAATCAAACATCTCAGTGCTTCCCGCACATAGACTTCACTTGGGCAGGCCGCCAAGGTATATTAACGGCCGCCCAAATATATTTGATGACAGTTTTTTTACTAATAATATCATCCTTTTACACTTTTTTTGTATACGCCCAAGATCAAACATCCATGTTTGATTAATCAGTGGAAAATCTTCTCTCGCACCTACGCATTTTGTGCTGCTCATTGTGTGTGTATGAAAACTGTCAACAACACTTCCTCAGACAGTCATGTGCTCTGCAGAAACCCACAGAGATGCACTTTTTTGGAGCCTAAAAATCTGTCCGGCCTGTGTTTCTAAGGGCCCTATCATACACCCGGAGCAATGTGGCGCAAGGCGCGGCGCAATAGTCTTTTGGTACTTTTAGCTCAGCGCAAGGGTCATTTTGAGGTGTTGCGCCACACTGTTTAAATAGCAAATGCATTTGCGCTCAAATGTGCGCCAAAGGCGTTCTGGTCTAAAAAAGCAGTCGTGTTTTGGCGCGTTGCTATTTTGAGAAACTGTAAATAGTCAGAACAACCAGAACAAAGTCGGGCTATTGTCTGGCGCAAAGTGTGCCTGGTTTACACACTACACACAAGATGCAGAGCAATACGCAAATATCTTTACATATGAAAAAGATATAATATATAAAGGATATATATATATATATATATATATATATATATATATATATAATAAGGATATATATATATAGGATATAAATTTAAATTATTCAAATATTACAAAACTCATTAATTTCTAGCCTACATTAATTTAAAAACCCCTGCCTTACTTTCTTCATCTCGGGAGGCTTTTTCAGTTCATTCAATTTGCTTTTGTATAATGTTATTATTAATAGCAATATTATTTATTATATCCATATTTATATTTGTTTTATTAAAAAGAGATTAGAAATAGATTTGTCCACCTGTCAGGTTTTAGACCATCTGGGGCATGGCAGGTGTATTTGGAAATAACTCAGTATTTTGAGCACACTTGGTTATTATCGTTTATTTTTTCGTTTGCTGGAAATTAAAACTGAATTTAGAAATAGTTTTGAAACAAATCTTTGCGCCTAACAAACAAAATTAATTATTTATAGGCTAATTGATGTCTGTGCGGTAAGGTTTCCCTATCCATGAGAACAAAAGTGAAAGTGAACTTACTTTACGTCAAAATGCGCTTATGGTGCGACGCAGCTGGCTCTTAAAGGGAATGGAAGATGAGACTCTGATTGGTTTATTCTCAAAACACACTTATAACTCATTAAGAAAATAAACTCAACCCTTTTAGACCATGCGCCACGACGCAAATTGGATTTTCCCGTCCTTAAATTAGCAAAAATGGGTTCTGACACGCCCTGAAAGCATTTGCGCTCTGCGCATGGACCGTCAAAATAGAGCCCTAAATCTCCTAAAATGTCTTGAAGTCGACTTTTACTTTCTGTTGTTAATTGTATGCATTTTTGCATTACTCTTTAATTAAAGACTTCTTTCCACTTGGCTTCACAGCTGACAGCGGGCACAGCCTCGAGACCAAGAGAAAAAGTAAATAATAGATTCTTTAATCCGAACGATTCAAAAACTATACTGTAACTCGGAGAGGACGAAAATGACATCTGAACTGGCTGCATGTACATATGTACATCATTAGAAATATAATTTAAATAAAGCACACTTTTTATTCTAATTATTATTTCATTAATTATTAATAAATATCCATTTTGAGATTTTGTATGTTTTATTCATTTTATGCAATTTCCTCCTGTAATTTATTCTTGATTTGCTGTATATGTTAAAATTTTGTTGATGTTAATCGATTACATATTTTATACTTCTTTTAAATGCTTTGGCAGTACTGTACTAAATGTCATGGCAATAAAGTAACCTGAACTACCAGCGCAAGCATATTTCAGACATGTGGGAAGCACTGTATCTCATTTTGCACATTTGAGACCATGATTCATTTTACCTATTGGCAACATTTCTCATTGAACCATATGACCATTTTTATTTATCATTTTTACAAATATTTTTTTTCTTTATTATTAAAAATATATATAATTTATTTTCTCTTGTGAATTTTCAATTTTTAACAAAAGTTTCAGTTTTAAAGGTTCAATTTGATGTTCATGTTAGTTTTTGGTTTTTGATTAGCACAAACTTTTGGTCAAACTAATATGAATTTAGCCAAACACCTAAATAAATGTCAATATTATTTAGACTGCTATTTAAATGTTTGAATTACCCAAAAACATTTATTTATACTCTCAACATATAGAAGGTTTGTAGAAAAAAGTTACATTACCAATAAACTAATATTTTAAAACCTTTTTATAGAGATTTAGATTACATATAATTTAAAATGAATAACAAATTAATGAAAAATGTAAACTCTTAGAATTATATACATATATAAAATCAAATAAGTTTAATATTTGTGCACTCGTTCAGTTAAAGCTCAATGTGATATCAGTACAGCGAAATTTTCAGCACTAACAGGTTGTTTTCAATCACTTGGTTCTGATAACAAGCGAAATTCAGATGGAGGGCAGGAAGGAATAAACTAAATGAGCGACGTAAAGGAAACTACATATTTCTGCGATTTATACCGTATTTCAAAGGAGAATTAAATAGAAAATTACCACATATGTTGGGCATGATCCTTACATCATGAAGAGGGCAGAGTTTTCCACTGAACGAAAATATATTAGCCTGCCATCGAGGCAGTAGATACTGTATAATTGTGTTAATTGAAAAACACTAGTAAATACTATAGTGTTTGGAATCATACTAAAGATAATCACTTGAATTAAACTATCATAGTAATTATATTGTTGCTGTACAACTGTAACTAATTATTTATTCATAAACAAATAATAAACAATTTATTCAATAGGTTTCAGTTTTCAACGTTATAATTATACACAATATCACAATGCACTAGTTTATACTAACATCATTTATTACACAAGTTTATCAGTTTAATGTGATACAGTATTCTGTAGCATTCATTAACAAAAAGTTGTTCAATAACATGTTCATTACAAATTAGTAGTTTTTTCCCCCATGCGAATATCTTCCAGACATCACGATAATAAGCATACAAAAGCAGGGCATCATGGTCTACATTACTATAAATTTATTTTGTGTGCCACAAAATGTTTAAGTGTGCCACAACAAAAACCGTCTAGTTTTGTTGCAAAGGTAGCATTTCTTTTATGTTTTGTCGATGAACTTACAAACCTTTACAGCTGCTGCGCCTATAGACATTAACGTTACGGTTGTTAATTCCACCGAAATGCCAGTAAAAACATGGATTACTGCAAAACAAGGCCGCTATTTCATTGTAGCGATTACATGGGAGGGTATGTAATTTATATTCTCCTGGATTAAGTATAAGTGTGGTGGTGTTTGTATCTGATTTTTATTTAACACATAGCTAGTACATAGCTTGTATATAATTACTGGTGCTGTAAAACAAATAATTGCGTTCAAAAAAGTTTGTCCACATGGGTTTAATACATGTTGTCTTTTCTTCTATTTTATTTAGATAGTTTCTTGAATCCCCCCCCCTTTTATGAGCAAAAACCTTTGGAAGTCTATATAATCTGTTCAGTATTTCTTATTTTGGCCAAGTTAAACAATTATAAACATAAAACAGAAACAGTTTGATGTTCTGTAAAAGCCTTTTGATTCCTATGTAGAAGAATCACTTCCTGCCCTCCATCTGAATTCCACACATCAATGACATCATGTGAAAACAACCTAAAGTTTTATATACAGTTACCTGAAAACAATATGCTGAAAATCACGTAGTGCTTATTAAGATTATAGAAATCTTGAAAATGTGAAATATGTCTGTTTGATTAAGTAAAGACATGGTGTAAATATGGGGAATTTAAAACCATAATTATCTAATATCAACAACACTATAAAACGATTCCTGAGGAAGCACAATCTCTAAAATGCGAGCAGAAACCCTCCCCAGTACCCATACAAATATACAAACATAAACGTCTTGGAACATGTGAGGGGCACCTGCTGAGACCTTGATGCCCATCAGAGGGATGGTCAAGGGATAGTTACTTTGAGAGGCCGCATTGAAGCATCTTTGTAGAGCAGGGGTGACCAACCCTGTTCCTGGAGATCGACCTTCCTGCAGATTTCCGTTGTAACCCATATTAAACACACCTGCCTGTAATTATCAAGTGCTGTTCAGGTCCTAATTAATTGATTCAGGTGTGTTTGATCAGGGTTCGAGCTGAACTCTTTAGGAAGGTCGAACTTCAGGAACAGGGTTAAGCACCCCTGCTGTAGAGCAAAAGACAAATCATCATCTACTGACCTGCACTTCCTGTGGCACAAACTTTAGTGGCTCCCCAGCTGCAGCAAAATCCACCTTACGGGCAGCCTGGGCTGCATAAAGCCTTCTCTGAAAATTAAAAAAAGACATAGCTCTGACAAAAGATTCCATCCAAAATAAGCAGTACGAACACAAAGGCAGAGCGAGGTATACAATGTAAACCCATTATTGGAACAAACAATTCTAAATAACAATGCTACAAGCCTTTTTTTTGTTTGCATCAGGATTGTAGATAACATATCACCAGAAATGCGTGTAAAAATACATACATATTGTATTACATCATATCAAAGTGTTTAATTGATCACACAAATAGATCAGGAAAACTGTTACGGAGCAACAACCACAACTGTTGACATTGTTTCACAATAAATAAAATGTTTATTTAAAAAAAAAAAACTCTGATTGAAAATATAAACAAATAAACATCTAACATTTCACTGAATTAAATGGTCGAAAATTGGGGAAAGTCTCTTTCTGCAAAAAAAGCTTCTGAAATATAAAGCGGGCACAATTATTTAAATGATTCAGCATTTTATTACATCACTATGTAATATTTATTTATTTATTATGTTAATTTCAACAACAACATTGTATTATATTTAAATATATTTAGTCCCCATTTTCACAGCCTTCTTTATAAAGATTTGGCAAGGGCTCCAATAACTTAGATGATGAATGAATATTTATTTGCACAGAACAGTTTATTTGATTTGATGATGTATTCTTTTATTATGTAGATTGTGTACGTTTTATTTATTATACTTTTTGTTTCATTTATTATTTAATTCTTCTTAATTTTTACATTTATAATTAACAAAAATGTCTTTTTATATTGCCATGTTCCGGTAATCTACAAAGAGTCATAAACGCTATTATATAAGGTCTAAAATTATATCATAACTCATTTCAATTATTTAATAATGAAAAGTTCAATATAATAAGGTATAAGCATCAACTTCATATGCAAGTCAACCAGCCCTAATTTCTATTATTTACCAATGGTGTCAATCATTTAAATGAATTTTATTTGTTCAATAGTTTAATATTTGATTATGTGCTTTTAAATGTATAATTGTATTATGTATATATTAAAGACAACTAGTTGTATTTTTAATTCCCAATTTCTTATTACTGTTCTGTTTATTAAAGTCTTACATTTACTGTTGTACTTGATGCTTCATAATAAACAAACATTTATTCTACAGCAGTGTTTCCTGTAACCTACAAACAGTCTTATGTGTTATTATTTTATTAGATCTAAAATTATATTATAAATTGTTTGAAAAAGTCTTGAGTTGCCTTTCCTACATCTTGTATTTACAACCTGGTGATGTCTATTTTTCAAAATGATAATTATTTAATTAATCTACAAATTAATTCTCAACTAAGATATCATCCATTTCAAGAACACACTGTGTTGAATACATACAATAACTTACATTGTCATACTGCAGACCTGAGTGTTGTTGTCACATAAGGAAATGAGAGCTAGAGGGTCCATGGGAACATTTGAAAAGAAAGAAAAAACTAAAACTACATTGATTTTTTTTTTATCTATAAAAGATGGAAAATACGATAAAATTATATACAAGTATGAAATCAATTCTGTACAAACTGACAACAAACATTACAAAACTCAAACAATGTCCTTGATCTTTAACGTTATACAAATACAAGTTACAAGTTAAACATTTCAGAATGAAGAATTTTTAAATAGTATATTAAAACATGGTTATATTAAAAAGGATAATAATATGACATACTGAGAGCTGAACTGACAACCGTTTCTCTTATATTTGTATAACGTTATGTGAACTAAAGTTAAGGCCGGCGTCCATTCAATATGACCTGAAGCATTAAACAACATCCAAAACCACACAGCAAAATCTCGACTAACCATCTTTAACCACGTAAATCATAATCTCACCGATAACTGGCTTATTCCCCGAATTCCCCTCATATTTTCTCTCTCCTTCAGACAGACCACGGCAATATGGCTGACCTAAGGATGTCCTACCCAAAATCCTTCACTCTCTGCCTCTTCTACAGCATGTCCACACTACAGTTAAGCGTGAACTCACACTGCCACATGGCGACTCGGAAGATTGACTACGAACTATCGCAAAGTACACGCAGCATTGTAGTATTTGAATATGTAAATATTGCGTTGTAATATTTGATAAGTTTAATTTAATTTGTAGTTTTCCATAGATCTCAAAACACTTACTAATAAGGAATGTTACTATAGTATATTACAGAGCTAATCAAAAAATGCTTGTGCTTTTGAAATATTTTACTCCATATAAAAATATGATCTTTTAAAATTAACATTACATACCACGTTGTTTTATGAAAAAAAGGAATTTAAAAAATATCAAAATATTGAACTTTACAACACAGCTAAACTTTACAAATTGGCTTTCAATACATTTATTTAATAGGGACAAAATGTACAACAGACCATCACAAACAAAAATTATAATAATTAATATAAAATTACTTTTTAAGTTTTTTCTTATGCTTTAAACAACACATACATGACAATATAGCAAACAAAATAGTGCCAGGGTGATGGAATGCAAATAATAATGAAAATAATAATAAAAGTACAAAAATTAATAAAACAAACAGACAATGTGTATAAATAATCAAATAAAATTCTTACAATTACAAACAAGCAGGACCTTTACGTTACATTATTCAAAGATTTTGAAACTAAAGCACAAAGCGAACAGTTGTTTTGATGGCCTTTCTATTAGCAATAAGCCAGTAGTACAAAAGTTACAGTTTTTCTTGTTTGCTTTGACCTAGTTATAGAAACTAGGTTTGACTTTATTTTCATTTTCACTATCCCAGCAGAGCAGAAGACAGGTCTTGCAAATATGTAAACCCTTTCTCATTGGGTTGACACATTTTCCCCACCATTTTTCAAAACAGTTAACACGGATGTCATTCAAGGGGTCCTAACTCCATTGTTTTAGCTATGGTAACCAAACAGAAATCATTTATTCCTAACCATTAGAAACTACCAAGATCAGTATGAATTCATTAAAGTATTGGTTTGACACTCCTTCACACAAGTCTTCAATTAGCAATGCAAACATTAAAAACGGTGGAAGGTTTGTGTACTTCAGTGCTAGCATGGATGGAGGAGGTCAATAGTGGCTATGTCCTATACTCCCAATAGATTTGACTATAAATCGGTTTAAATGTGTTTTCCTTAATATTTACAGTATTTCATTACTTTTGTCTGTTTTTACAGTTTTCAGCCACTGTTTGAAAATTGTCATGAATTCAATATAAATTTAATCAAAGCACATCTTATTCTGGATCCAATTCTTTGCAAAAAGGTAAATTTGACAGCCCAAATAGAAAGACAACAAACGTTGGCAATAGTCTACAATGGCAAGCAATGGTGGTGCACTGACTTCTGCATTTTGTATTTTGTTGTCCATTGTGTAATGATTAATTGAAAGAGCTCATATACCTGTTTGCAAGTTGTGTTGTTTGAAGGTAAAACTAGCTTTTGTTGCATATTTTAAATGTTTTGACACGATATGTGCCTTTTGCAAGCATAATGTGTCATTTTGACCATGAGTGCCGCTGTTTAGGCCTGTGTGTTTACTGTTTTCAAAAGGTGGAGTTTCAGTTGACAACTGCATCAAAGCAATCGAGAAAAACTGTAATTTTCAGTTCCTTATAAAACAAAGTAAAACTGTTTTTTTTTTTTTTTTGGGGGGGGGGGGGGGGGGGTTGTTATTTACACTTATAATTATGAAACTTAATCAACATAATACATAGATTAATAACAAAAATATCCAAAAATATCCAAAAATTGCGTTAATCCAAATTAAAAAAAAGTGCATTTTTTGATAAAGACAGATAGCTTAATAATACCAAAGCTTTTTAACATAACCGAAGTGCCAAATAATGTGGGGTACAGACAGTTTCCAAATGCGAAGAACAAAAAGAGCAATTTATATCAACATCTTTTTTGTATACTGAGAAAATGTTTATCCGGATATAATTTATGAATTGGTTTAAAAGATATTTAAACTAATTAAAAATTTGTGAGGTAATGACCAAATACTTTCGCATTTAGGACTTTTTACAAAATGTTTCGACAAAGTCCCCTTTAAAAATTCTACAGGAAGTGGTTTTCAATGTGAGCATGCGCAGTGTGTCGATCACAAACACGTGTGTGCCTCTGCAGTTCGTGGTGAAGATCTCAAAGCTGCGCTGGTCATTAGAGTGATTTTCTTTTGCATAATTTCTAAACTTTCTATATTTTCTGTTTGGTTAAATAGTGTCGTCCTCCGTGAAGCTCTAGCCGAGAGGACCGTGTGTTGTTAAGTAAAATTACCGAGTGAAACAACAACAACAAACAAGATGGTGAGTATCGCGTGGGATTTCTTAGTTAACGTTAGCTAGTTTCTCGTGTTTTTTATCAATGAATTCAACATTTATACATTTTGATTTTGACTTCTGTAAGTATGTATACTTTGATATTTTAAAGGCATCGTTGCGTTTGTGTTTTGTACATTTGCGTCGTAGATCTAAATTCAAACGTTGCTAACCGGATGATAAGAGTTAGGCTGTCTTTATGTAAATGCGTGTCTTCTAATATCGTTTTACTCCTTTGTCTGTGGTTTTTACTCAGACTGAAGCTGAAGTGAACCCTAAAGCCTATCCTCTGGCAGACGCCACGCTTTCCAAAACCATCCTGGATCTGGTGCAGCAGGCGTCCAACTACAAACAGCTGAGAAAAGGGGCCAATGAAGGTGAATAACTCGTGTAATGTTAGATTCACCATAAAAGACTAACAATACTTCTCACTCCTAACATTAGGATACTAGTTATAGATATTATTAAAACACTGCTACTTGAACACTTACAAATTAATCCAATTCAAATTCTCAACCACATTTCAAACATGCAAAGTCACATAGCTTCAACCAGGTGTTTCCAAACGGAGGTCTAGTAAATTAATAAATTTATGTAAATATTTTTGAGTGTAAATTAATCAGTGTGGAACAGAACACAAGAGAACAAATGCAGATTCGATTAATACAATTCAATAATGAACTCATTTAATAAAATTATTTAGTGAATTGTTCATATTCAAAAATGCTTCTCATATTCAAATAAAGTAAAATAAAATACTAGTATTAGTAAATGATTAGTAACAAATCATCACTGTATAAACACTGGAGTCCTTCATACTAGGGTGATTACATTTTGGGGTTTGTGGTTCCTAAAAAGAATGAAAACCTGATTAAAGCTGATGAAGTGTTAAGTCGTTCGGTTTAATCCTCAATTTAAAATGTTTAAAAAAATGAATAATTGAACATTTGAGCGTGCGTGCGTGTATCCGCGCGTCTATGGAATGCAAAAAAAGAAAACCGCTTATCTGCTCTTAGTGATGGAATTTACTAACTCATGCCTAAAGCCTGGTTTATACTTCTGTGTTGAGTGATCGGCCTGAACCACGGCACATGCCTTGATCGTAGTCGTGCATTTATGCTGTTTGTGTTGGTTTGCAATAACACTTTCGAAACGCTAGATGGCAGTGAGGTTTTTGTTCCTCTGTGTCGAGCTGACCAATCGGAGCGCCCCCAAGGGGTGGCCAGGGGTCACTGCGACCCCTGTGTAATCTGTGTAATCTGTTCGACCTTGTGGCCACCTCAATGACTTTACTGTTGGTAATATAAATTTAAATGTACTTGCGTAAATGTACAATATTTTAATAAATAAATAAATAGCAGCCACTTTTCTCAGGGCAAGGTTGACATTTGCACGGGATTGCTCATATATATGAAAAGTGTTTTTAAACTAAATACCGATTTTTACTTGGTTTGCGCAAGTACTTTTTGAATTATTTCAAGGAAAAAAATGCAATATTTCAAGAATAATTATTTAAAACTACATTATTTCATTAACCAAAAATCAAAAATATAACATTACACTGAATACTTTATTAAGTTATTTTTTGTGTGCCATCTAAAGATTTGGTATGTCCTCTTCTGGCCACCCCTAAGAAAATTTATTGGGGGCGCCACTGTGACCAATCACAGAAATCACACAAACTCGCTCCATCAGACTCTCACAGCTTTTACCTCCATCCACACTCTTAAGCGCTACCAAGCCGACCAATCACAGAGCTTACGCTATGCGTTTTGAAGAAGACTTGTCGACCATGCATAGTATGCACCGGAGCATATGCGTGTGCTTGACGCAGAAGTATAAACCAGGTTTAATACACCAAACAATTGTTAATAAACTAGATTTGCGCAGGCTGCGTATTTAAATACTTTGAACTTAATTTATAAAGCGTAAGCTTACATGTTTGTTTTAACTGCAATAGTGATTGGTTCAGTTGATTTTTAGAGTTTTTAAAAGCTTAACAACTTGGAATGCTAAACTACAGTAGTCTACAGCTGCGTCCCAAATGGCACACTATGTACTTATGCACTTACACACTTGACAGCAGAGTAAATGTATGTAGTCTCATCCCAAATGGAACATCAAGGGTTTTTTACCAAGTAGAAATTCAAACCATTTTCCTGATGACATTTGCCGGTTGCCAAATTGGTCAAAAAAATGACCACCAAACAATACTTGCCATGAGTTGAACCGGATTCACCATCGGGAGGCGCTAAAATCACTCTCGTAGGAGAATTTTGCTTTCACAATCCAAAATAGTTATCCAACATGTGCGCCCGATACCTCCACCCCTTCTGCTACCTGAGCAAAACTGCAATCGTTTTGTGTGTAGTGTCCATCATTCTACACTTCATTTTAACGGTTGAATAAGTGCATCATCTGGGTAATTAAAGTCCACTTAATATTTTTATAGTTTTTAGTGTAAATGTACTACTTACGCTATTTATACAAAATAATGGCGAAAAGTAGGGCAGAAGTACGCGATTTGGGACGCACCTTATATCAATAAAAAATTATTACAGTTTAGTGTAATTTGTCTATCACTAGTCAGCAGATGGATGTGCAAAAGGAATTTAATTTGTTTTAAAATATAATCTTAATGCATTTTTAAGTGGTTAAGTAAGAATCTCAGGCAAAAATAAAACACTGGTTAAAAGTGTTTGTAGAAATCTTCTAGCTCTAATTCGTTGTTGTCTTTCACAGCCACCAAAACTCTTAACCGTGGCATTTCTGAGTTCATTGTGATGGCGGCTGATGCTGAACCTCTGGAGATCATTCTGCACCTGCCGCTGCTGTGTGAGGATAAGAACGTGCCGTATGTGTTTGTGCGCTCTAAACAAGCTCTTGGACGTGCATGCGGGGTGTCACGACCTGTCATCGCCACTTCTGTCACCATAAAAGAGGGATCTCAGCTGAAACCTCAGATTCAGTCTGTGCAGATGGCCATTGAGAGACTCCTAGTTTGAGTTCATACCTTTTTACATTTTGGTTTTATAAACAGTGATGTCTTTGTACAGTCAGTAAGGATTTTTTTTTCTTTTTTTATATGTTGAATGAAACTGAGTGAGATGCTCAGCAACAGAAACCTGAAATAAAATTGGGTGAAAAAGAAATGGCGTTTTTCATTGTGTGGGTTGGTTGTTTGATAGATAAACATAAAGCATGCTTAACATTGTAGCAGTACTTGGGCATTGGTATAATGCATAATAAGCAGCCTCCTTGCTTGCGTTACTTACAACATGAAAAATGCTTTGGTTTTCACAGTAATGTAAATATAAATCTGCAATTAATACCAGCAGAAAAAAAATTATGAAATAAGATCATTAGTTTTACTAAAACCATAAAATTCGCCATACTAGAATGTATGCTGCACAAATGTTTGTGAAATATAGGTGTAAATTAGGATTAATCGGCTTTAAACACTGATATAAAAGCAGCTTAATATAAAGTCTAGTAGTTGTGTGCAACAAAAATGTATGTTATAACTTGACAATTATTAACCAAAAATGATTATATTTTGGTTCTGAAATTGTTATTATCTAGAACAAATCCAGTTGAAAGTGAGGATCTTTATTATGGCAACATGCAAAAAGAGCCAAAGGTTAAAGCTAATTTTATGTATTTTAAGACAACTTTTGTCTGTAGGATCTTACAAATTAAAATTGGTTAGGTTTTTTTATTATAGCACAAACTGTCTACCCACAACAACGCAATATAAAAGGTAAACAAAACGAAACCAAGTGGTAAAAAAAATCCACAAAGCAATGTACAGCATTTCTACATCTAATGATTTTAAAAATAATGGGAAACTTATGATTAATACATATATGAGATTTGTTGCTTATTAACAATTTCACTGTAGAAATAATCAAAATCGATACAAAAATGTGTTAATGTGCGAGATGACATGTTTGTGTATGTGAAAATTTCCCAATTTGAAAAGAGATTAACAACATATTTAAAACAACTTTTGTTGGATTCGTTTTTATAATAAAAAATAATATATTTAAATTTAAAATAAAGTTTTGTCGTTTTGTCAAAAAAAATATTTTGCTTGATCCTTCCAGAGACTTAAAACTGTCAAGGTTTTATTTTGAAGAAGAATATGCGCGTTGCACTCGAGTGAACCACGTGACTGAGGAGCAAAAGTCCACAGCAAACTCGGGAGGATTTTTTAAAAGTGAAAAAACTACTGGTCAAACAACTATGAGTGACTCTTGTTTTATTGAACAAATGCGAGGTCGAACGTTTGCTCAGTTACGACGAACTAATCCCCAGACTTGAGTCTGTCATGGGAAAGTTTTCTAAAAGGGACAGTTCAGAAATAATCCAGCCTGTGAGATCTGTGGTCCCTATACAGCCATACAATGGGTATGAAAATTCTTTGTTTGAAAATAATGCTATGGTTTAGTTAAATAATTCTGTATAAGTAAACTTTTGTTGCATGCATTGTCAGGTTTTTGGGTGTGATGCCTTCATATGTGGCCGCTGATGGTATTCTATGCACTAAGATGGTAACTTTCTACCAGCGTGCAGAGGGCTCCAGTTTACCTTCAACTCAAGCCACCGTCTTACTTTTTCACCCCGAGCGAGGACACATCACTGCGGTGAGACACACAAACCACATCTGTCTGTCTCACTTAATTTAATTGTTATTCTGGACAAACTACATAAATATAAATGATTCCGATTTTGACAAATTGTCAGAAATTATGAGTGGATCTAATTGTCAAAAAACCTCCAGATCCGTGCACTGACATTGGCAGCAAAAAAAAAAAAAAAAAAAGAAATCTTTTTTCTAAGCCAGGGCTGCTTTATGATTCATAGTTATGCATTTAAATATGATCTAATTTGTATTTTTTTTCTGTTAACTAAAGATGAGGTTTCGTCCAAATTTGAAATAAAAATGCCATTCAGAGATTTTTTTTGTTGCATAAAATATTTAAAAAATGCCATAATTTCTTGTTTAATTAGTTTTCTGATCATTTATCATTTTCTGAAATTAGCTGTTATTTCAAAACAGGATTTGTATTTGAAATTCGAAAGCAATATTCTTAGAGTTACAGAATAAAAATTTAACGTTTTACTAAACATTAACATTAACACACACCTAGTAAATTAATTGCAAACATTGTTTAAAAAAATTGAAACATACAAAAGACAAAAAACTACAGTTATGATGAGTCAAAGTATTGTTGAAATGGCAACAGTTCCACTAATTATCACCTGCAGAAAGGTAACTAAAATTATCTATAAGCATAGTTAAAGTCAGAAGATGCTGGATGGAAGCTCAGCTGTCAGCAAGAAGCCTCCTCAAAGCATGCTTGTTGAGAAAATGGAATGTGCAGAATAGGCATGGGCCACTCCGACGATATGATAACCTTTGATAAAAATATCATGGTTTTGCGTATTGTGATTACTGCTCTAAAACATATTCTTTTTTAATGTCTGCAGAAAAAACACTTTTTTAATGTCTGCAGAAAAAACTTTTTTCCCTTTTACACACTATTTTTTTATTTTAAGAAACATTTAAAATATTTTGGAGCAGTAAACATGTCAGGCTAAATCATTCAAATGAATTATTACTTCTGCTGTCTTCATTCAGGCCAAAAACTTTTTTTTTTTTTACAATTTAAAATGGCATCTTAAGATATCTTTTCTGCTGGAGAGACTGTTGTCCTGAAAACAAACAAGAAAGTAAATAAAAAACATACACATACCTTAGGAATGATTTACAGCTTTAAAACCTTGATTTTTTTAAAAGCGCAGTGTACCCACGGTTATCGTCCCATGCCTAGTACAGAATTGCTTAAGATAAAAAAAAATTACTGTTATTGTTTTGGCTATTATCCTTTACCAAGTATAAATTTGAATACATCAGAATATTTAGATCAGATTAGGTTCCCTTATGCCAAAGAGAAAAAAACCCTAAATTGAGTGCCTCAACAGGCAGCAACCCCAAAAACATGAGTTAGTGAGCAACAGCATAGTTTTAGTAAAAAAGGACTGTGGTAATAGAGTGGCCAGCTCAATCCCCTGATCTCAACACAATTGAAATATCGTGGAGTGACATAAAAACGTAATTTCTGAAGCAAAATTCACAGAAACTGTTGGATGTAGTTTTTTTTCATTCTGGGCTAAAATGCCTGTTTCTAGATGGCAGGAGCTGATTGAATCTATGCAGTGCAGCAATTATTAAAAAAAGCCTATTATCTGACTACATTGTACACCTTTAATTTAAACTAAAGTAAAAAATAATGTATTTACTGTGGTTTGGTTTAGAGAGAAAAAAGTTGGTACTGCTGTTTTTTTTTTTTTTTTGACAGATTAATATTTATTTTCTTTGCCGTGTGTAACAATACACACAAAATGTATGTGTGAGTGAGTTTGTGTTGCCATCATAGATTTTTACTTGTGTGTGTTTTGCAACTAAATTTACAGGTGATTTTTGTCACAATTTTGAAAAAGTTACATCACATATCAGTGAACCATAAATTACTTAAAATTTGTTAAAAATAGTAGATTATTGTTGTGATATACTAAAAAGCAACGTGGCGAAGCAGTGGCGCAGTAGGTAGTGCTGTCGCCTCACAGCAAGAGGGTCACTGGTTAGAGCCTCGGCTCATTTGGCGTTTCTGTGTGGAGTTTGCATGTTTTCCCTGCATTAGCCTGGGTTTCCTCCGGGTGCTCCGGTTTCCCCCACAGTCCAAAGACATGCAGTACAGGTGAATTGGGTATGCTAAATTGTCCGTAGTGTATGAGTGTGTTTGTGTGGATATTTTCCAGAGATGGGTTGCGGCTGGAAGGGCATCCGCTGCATAAAAACTTGCTGGATAAGTTGGTGGTTCATTCCGCTGTGGCGACTCTGGATAAATAAAGGGACTAAGCTGACAAGAATATGAATGAATGAATAAAAAGCAACATGTTTGATACCTTAAAAACATGTTGTTAACACTAAATGTTTTGGATTTTTGACCACTGGTTTTCTGCCCTTTGGTTTTTTGACCATTCTTTGATCATTTAACAATGTTTGACCATTCTGCCCATTGCCATACTACCCTTTAATTTTTAATGGTCCAGCTCATGGCTGTAGAGTAAGTATATTAGTGTGTCTGAATTGTATGATTCCACTATATAAATGCTTTTAAGTCTTTAAAATTGTTTAATGGCAGATCATGGATGGGGAAGCCATCACAGCCAAACGAACTGCAGCAGTGTCGGCCATATCAGCTAAAGTAGGTTCTTTTGAAATAGACCCCACATTTGTAATGATGTGAAAAATAACGCCACTTCTTAATCTGTTACTCTCTCTCCAGCTGTTAATGCCAGCTCTTTCTGAGGTGTTGTGCATTCTTGGTTCAGGACAACAGGCTAAAAGCCATTATGATGTCTTTACAAACGTCTTCAAGTTTAAAGAGGTAACTAGTCTGATCATGAGATATACAGATTTGAATGATTTTTAATTGTAACTGTATACTTTGCTGAAAGAATAGTGTTTTTTTAAATAACAGTGTCTACATTTTGTGGAAAACACAATGATCATAAAATAAGAGAACAGCACTAAGAATTAGGACAACACAATATATGCTTTTCAGCATCAGTATCGCGCAATGTGTGCATCCATAGTAGTCGCATCAGAGGATGTGCAAAGTTGACTTTATATGATGGGATTATAGTTGACCAGGAGCCACAGTTTAACTGTAATGGAGTGAAAATTTATCGTTTGCAGGTTTTTAAGGCCTGTAACTGTGTGAGCATTAAAGCACAACACAATATCTAAAGCAGTGTTTCTCAACTGGTCTGTCGCGACCCAAAAGTGGGTCGTGTGAACATTTTCAGTGGGTTGCGAAGTGTGTGGTAAAAAAACAACAAAAGTTTAATTTAACTTATTTTGCTTATACTGGACTTTTATTTTGAAATGCATGCACAACAACCCTACTGTTTGATATGTGAAATTTCATTTAATTATAGCAACAAATATGTCGAAGCGCAAGTGCGACCCCGAATATGTAAAGTGTGGATTTACATATTTTGACGACAAAAAAAGACTTAAAGCCTCAGTGTGTCATATGTAGCGAGGTGCTCTCACAAGAGAGCATGAAACCTTCTAAATTAAAACAACATTTAGAAACCAGACAACATGTTTTATTAACGGTTCAGTTTACTTCATGGTAACTGAACCTTTCCTTACCCTAACCACTGTTTACAGTGTTTGTCGTTTTTACTTTGTAATATTTCTATAATTTGATACATTTTGTTAAATGACAGCAATAAAATATTGTTCATTTGTAAGTCTTGGTGATTTTCTTATGATTTATCTGACACTACTTGTGTATGTTAACAAATAAATACAAATTGGTTATAATTCCTAAAATTGTATTATAGTTCCTAAAAATTTGGGTCGCGGCTTGATGACCATGTAAAAATGTGGGTCCCATGGCCAAACCAGTTGAGAACCCCTGATCTAAAGTATTCAGGCAGAAGAAATTGTACTGTTTGTAACTTTAATAAAGATTTGTTTTATTGAATTATTTATACAACCCCAACTCAGAAAAAACAGTTGGGACAGTATAGAAAACGCAAATGAAAAAGAAAGTGATTTACTTTGACTTTTACTTTGTCATTTCAATTTTTAATATACATTCTTTCCTGTCATCTAGACCTGCAACACATTCTAAAAAAGGTACAGAAGCAATTTAGGGCTAGTAATCTGGTAAATTGGTTAAATAATGATGTGATTTGAAAAATGTGATGTCAACAGTTGATTGTTATTATGGTTTGGTACAAAAGCTGCATCCAAGATCCAAGGTCTGGTCCTTTAAAGCAAAGAGGATCACCTGTTGGCCAACAAAATAAGAAAATGGTTGAAATGTTTTTTTAAAAAAAGTTCCTAAAAAGAAAGATTGGAAGACATTTTAATATTTCACCTTCAACAGTGAACATAATTAAAAGAATAAAGGAATCTGGTGAAATTTCAGTGAGTAAAGCTGTGCTCACACTGTGAGATTTCAGCCACAATTTTGTCATCTGAAACAAATTTGGGAAATCCTAAAAGATTCCTGAAATCTTAAGCTAAAATCGATGAACTTTGATCATTGGTTTGACATGTTCACAGACAGCTGCTTAATGCCTGTTGCTACCAGATTTTCCCTCCAATGAAGTTCTGGCAGTGTCAGAAGATTTTAGACACATTCCTACAGTGTGACAACAGCTGCGACAAGCATCAATCCAAGAACCAATAGGAGCGCAGAATCTGATGAAGACCATACAAATGACCGCGGGGAAATGTCAAAACTTATTTTGACAAAACAAAATTATTGAGGCATGCTGTGCATGCTGTGTGCAAAATTCCCACTACTGATTGTTTATGTTTGCTGCGAGGAATCATTTCAGAATGCCGGATAGTGATAGTGTCAAGGCTGGATGATGTCAAACTCCGGAGGGAGTTTTCTACCATGTTTGGTGCATCTTCATTGTCGTTCAGTCTGACATTATGACGGCTGAGATCTTACAGTGTGACATAGAAGTTATTTTCGTGCAGTCTGAAATGCTACAATCGTTCTGAATAATAAAAAAAATTGCACAGTGTGAGCCGGCCTTAAGGGACAAGGGCACAATCCTAAGCTGAACTACAGTGATCCTTCAGGCAACACTGCATCAAGAATCGTCATTCATCTATAAGCGATATCACCACATGAGCTCAGGACTACTTTGTCAAATCTTCGTCAAGTACCACAAAACGAAGTTAGATCCACAAATGCCAGTGAAAACTGTACTATGCCAAAAGGAAGCCCTATGTTAACAGTGTCCATAAGTGACGTCAACTTCTCTGGTCTGGGATGGACAATCACACAGTGGAAATGTGTACTGTGGTCAGATGAATCAATATTTCAGGTATTTTATAGGAAAAATGGATGCCCTATGCTCTGGACCAAAGAAGACAAGAATCATCCAGATTGTTACCAGCAACAAGTCCAAAAGCCAGGGTCTGTCATGGTATGGTGATCAGTGCCATTTGATCACTTCTGTGCTGCACTTATAAAAGTACAAAAAGATTTTGGAGCACAATAAACTTTCCAGGGATGCCCATGCATATATCAAGAAGACAATGCAAAACCACATTCTGCAAACAGTACAAAGTCCTTGCTGTGGAGAAAGAGGATACAGGGACTCGACTGGCCTGTCTGCAGTCCCGACCTACCTCCAATAGAGAATGTGTGACGCATTTTGAAGCGCAAATTGCAACAACAGACCCCATACTGTTGCCCACCTTAAGGCTTGTTTACAGGAAGAATGGGACAAAATTAGACCTGAAACACTTCATCACTTGGTGCCTTCGGTCCCTAAACGTATTTTAAGTGTTGTGAAAAGGATTGGCAACATTGCAAAGAGGTAAATGCTTTACTGTCCCAACTTTTTTGAAATGTGTTGCAAGAACCAAAATTGGACTTTGTGCTTATTTTGAAACATAAGAAAACTATAAAGGAACACAATAAATAAGGTTTGATATATTGTCTGCAATGAAATATAAATCAAAGTAAATTTAGACATCACTACTTTCTGTAATATTTGCATTTTTCATACTGTCCCAACTTTTTTTTTTACAGGATTTCACTAGGCTCCTAGCTATAACTTTGTTGACAGGGATTTTTTCCTGAGATTCTTTTCAGCAAGGTTTAGATCAGGACTCTGAACTAGCTGATTCATTTATTTCAGTGTTTTTAGCTACAAGGAACACCTTTACCCACAATTATAGCTGATTGGGTAATTAATGCAAAGAAAGAAACACATGTTGTCATAACACCTACATAAACATTTGCATTCACTTTGACTTTGCCATGTAGCTGTAAAAGAGGCTCAACTCATGTTGCAGAATCACTACCAAACCATGACACGTAAATGAAATCCATGAAAGACATTTCGATCTATATATATATTTTAAATATATCATATAAGGATTTTACACTGTGCCTCACAATATATGTAACTGATGAAATAGGCTTTAAAAGACTCATGTTAGGGTGACATTAAGTAGTGAAAAATTGTAGGTTGTTCTCTTATTGTGTAATTAGACACTGTATGTCAGAGTCATTGAACATTGTTCATTTTGTGTTTCGTCCCATGACGGCCTCAGGTCCGCATTTGGAGTAGAAGGAGAGAAATGGCTCAACAGTTTGTTAATGATCTCCAAGGCCCTGTTAGAGTTTGTTCTTCAGTGAAGGAGGCTGTGATGGGAGCTGATGTAATAGTCACGGCCACAGGTGCAAGTCAACCCATACTCTTCGGAGAGTGGGTCAAACCAGGTGCCCACATAGCAGGTTAGTTGACCCACAGTCCGGAGGTTTTTTTGGTGAGATATTGATGTTCAACTAGTTGTGTTATGATAAGGGGATGTCAAAATATACTGGTATTGATGATAATTATAATATTTAAAGTCCACTTGAACTAAAGTTCCCGCTGACTTCAGTTTTGCCGTCAGAAATAAATGGAAATTCAGAGCAAAAATGTCTAATTTTGATTAAAGATTACCATGACAAGCCATTTTTTCTGTGGATCAGCTTGCACGGATACACAGTTCACCACAAGTAAGTAAATGTACACTTCCTTTGGCAAATCCGTCCTCAAGTTAGAAGGAAGATTGGGTGGCTTTTGTGTCCCTCATGGCCAGACGTCGTATTCTACTGCATTGGAAGTACCTATTCACTCCTTGTAGATTAATGATGGTTTTCACTTCATAAAACTTGAAAGAATTAGACACTGTCTAAAGGGTTGTTCCCCTTTTTTGTAAGACTCTCTTCTTGTATATATGAAAATGTGCACTCCCTGCATACTGGATAATAGTTCATTTTTACATTCTTCTCTAATGTGTGAAGGCTCATGTGACCTGTGACAGCATTATGGATGTGACATTTGCAGTAAAAATCCAAAACATAAATTCACAGAGAAAGTATGTTAACGTTATATTGAAACATGTGTTTAAATTTTTTAAAACAACTAACCACAGAGTTAAGGGATCAGGAAAATATAAATCTGTAAACGTTTAAAAAATTTTTTTTTAATTAAATCACCATGCGTTACGGATGTGATCAAAAAAGTTAGCTAGTTTACAGTCTACATACTTTCTAGAAATTCTGTGAATTAAACTGCTCAACTCAAAAGAAATAATGCTCATCAAAAGTAGAGTCAGCTCTCTATAGAACAAAAATGTTTGATTTTATGTGAAATTGGCACTTGTGTGACTTTAGTAAATCAAACATAATTGTTTGAGAACATTGACAAAGACATTTTTGAGTCTCTTTAAAGTCCTGTTACAGACAAGCCTACACAAAAAAACTTGAAAAGGGTTTCGCTATTTTGGTAAAAACTTTTTAATGTTTTTGCATGAAATTGCTTATATATATATATATATATATACAGTATATATATATGTATCTATGTATGTATGTATGTATGTATATAAAAAAAATAATATATATATATATATGTGTGTGTGTGTGTGTGTGTGTGTGTGTGTGTGTGTGTATATATATATATATATATATATATATATCTATATATATATATATATATATATATATATATATATATATATATATATATATATATATATATATATATATATATATATATATATATATATATATTGGATCCCTGTTTATTTTCCATTTCTCTCTACATGTCAAATTGTATAATAATATTCTAAAATGTCTGATATTTTGTAATTTTTGGAAAATTGTAGTGATAAAATGTTAGGGGGTGTCACAATTCATTCATTCAATCATTTTCTGTTTGGCTTAGTCCCGTTATTAATCCGGGGGTCGCCACAGTGGAATGAACCGGCAACTTATCCAGCACGTTTTTATGTAGCAGATGGCCTTCCAGCCGCAACCCATCTCTGGGAAACATCCACACACACTCATTCACACACATACACTACAGACAATTTAGCCTACCTAATTCACCTGTACCACATGTCTTTGGACTGTGGGGGAAACCGGAGCACAGAGGAAACCCACGTGAATGCCGGGAGAACATGCAAACTCCACACATAAACGCCAACTGACCCAGCCAAGGCTCGAACCAGTGACCTTCTTGCTGTGGGGCGACAGCACTATCTACTGGGCCACTGTGTCACCGGGTATCACAATATATAAAATATTATATAAGATAAATATTGATTTGAATATTGATTTCTCTAATAAAATTAGTTTCATTAGTATTCTACAAATAGTCCAGGGTTATGTCAAACACGACATTAATGCCATATAAATTTCTGTGTGTGTGTGTGTGTGTTTTTCATAAACTCTTGCACATCAATCCATCTTTATATGCAATTGTTTCTTCTGTGCAGTGGTGATTAACATAATTTAATAACACAAAATTTGTTACTATACAAACAGAAAACGATATTGTATAAATCTATTGTACATGTCACATAACTTTGACTTTTTTTAATCTCATGTTTATTATTACTCAAAACATGTCAATTGATATTGATCCTATTTTCTGTGCTGTCATCCTGTTTTCTCAGTATTATAGATCGAATTTTAAAGAATTCATTTATTATAAAATGTTTTGACCTTCTAATGTTGAAGCACATTGTCATAACCGAATTATGAGTTTAACTTAAAACATTGATTAATTTACTGACTTAAAATATCATTTCTGTGATCATTTACTGGTTCCAAAAGCAAACAAAATTAGTTCAACTTTACAACGCAAACGGGTTTCAAATAAGCAGTTGTTCGTGCGTTGTATTTTTGTGTGTTGTGTCAGCGGTCGGCGCGTGTCGGCCAGACTGGAGGGAACTGGATGACGTGTTGATGAGAGAAGCGGTGGTCTATGTTGACAGCAGAGAGGGGGCGACGGCGGAGTCAGGAGACATCATTCTGTCTGGAGTAAGCATCCCTTCCTGAGCTGTAAAACAATTATACGACTTAAGCTCAGGCATAATATTTTACATTATTTCTCCAGGCACACATTTTCGCAGAACTTGGAGAAGTTATAAATGGATCCTTTCCTGCTCAGCGTGAGAAGACTACAGTGTTCAAGTCACTGGGTAACTTGTTTTTCCACAGCTGCGATCCAAAAATCTGGAACAAGAAGTACTGAAGCATTCTCACCACTGATATAATGTCACAGTAGTGGAATGTTGTTGAAAAAGCCTCTTGATGTTTAGATTTCAGTCATCTCAAGAGACAAAAAGGAAATATTTCTATTTATAACTTTTATTATGCATGCTTAAACGGCTACCGATCATTCGTGGCCTCTTCTGATCTAAATTTGGGGGATGTGGGAGTTTGATCATTGTAAAAAATGCTTGGTTCCACGCAATTCCTTCATATTGTTCCAACACAAATATATTAAGTTAAATTAATTGTATTTACAAATTGAAGTGGATTGAGCAAAACAACTTTAGAATTGTGTTCTTTCAACTCATTTTGAATAAGCAGTTTAAACAGAGCAAAAGTCATTTAATCAGTGTATGAAAATGTTGGATATTTCTTGTCATGGGGCCATGCTTTAAAATTAATTTGATTATATTATATTTGAATTTAAAATGAGCTCGGATTAAAAATCTTTTCACCTGTAAGCATGCATTGTGCAGTATTAGCCACAAAGAAATGCATGCAATGAACACATTTTTCATTCATATTCCACAAGTGGTAAAAAAATAGATATTTTCAGCACTTCTTTGTATGCTAAAACTAATTTAAAAAACTGTAAAGTTTCAAAACGGACTGTAAATTGCATGCATTTTTTACCATATTTATTTTAAAATAGAGACAATCTGGTAACACTTTATAATAACTACACACTATGAATCATTTACTAAGCATTAGCATCTTTTGAATTCATTATCTGTTAAGCGTTAATTCGACATTAATAAACGTTATAGTAAGCAGTTTATAACTGCAGCTACAAATGCTCTATTCTTGACTTATAAGCACACTTATAATGTGCTTAATAATTGAATTTTCATACTTAACTAATTTATTTTTCATGACTAAATTAAGTATTGCATTGTTTACAAACCATTTGTATTTAAAGGTTTTTAATATCATTCAGAATGAGTTAGTAAATGATTAATAATCTATTTAAATGAACATTTATATATTTTATTATTCAGGGATATAGTAATGCAGGGGCACCCCGGCCACCCTTGTGTAAACTCTGGCCACCCCTGTGGCCACCCCAATATGATAGTTGCTGATATTATTAATTTAAATGTATTTACTTAAATTCACAATACTTCAATAAATAAATGAATAAATAAAATGCAGCCACTAAATTATTGTGGATTGATCAGCGCCACTGACGAAGCTGATTCACTGAGATTGCACACTTTTTATTAAGAAATTATTATTTTTGAAATGAGAAAGTTGTGTTTCATCTGATTGAAAACCACAAATCCAAAATAAATAACTAGATGCATTTTGAAATCTGCTTTTCTAAATTTTGTTGGGTTTATTAATTCCTTCATTAATCATATTCATTATTCATAATTCATTAATGTTAGACATGGCATATATTGTATGTTGTACAAGAAATAACTTACCTGAAAGAGGTTTTAGACTAAATATTGATTTTTATTTGGTTTGCACTTGTACTTGTGGAATAAATTACAATATTTCAAGAGCAATTATTGGAATTCATTAAAACTTCATTATTTATTTTACCAAAAACCAAAATATAACATTATTCCTTATTCACAATATATACACAATTCATAATTTTTTTGTGTGCCACCACAAGATTTGTTGTGGCCTTACTTGGCCACCCCTAAGAAAATTTTCTGGGGGCACCACTGTAGTAATGGTTGCTATATGTAAATAAATGCTTTATTATTAAGTCAACTTCATGAAGTTTTGTGACCTTAAAGTGAAGACTATTTATGCTTTATAAATTCCTTATAAATGACTATTAAAGGCTCATATCAAATGAACAATAAACGTTTGCAATCTTATCGAAAAAAGAAAATGACTGTAAACTTTAAGCATCGCCCAATAACACGAGTGTCAAAATACAACATAAAACTGGACAAAACAACATCAATATAATAACTTACCAATACAATAATATGCGACGTTTACCCTGTATAGTCATTTATTTTAAGGTTGCAAAGATTTATTTTTGATTTGAAGTAGTTTCATTTGTAACGAATAGGTATGAATAAGTTGTTTGTCATTTTTCCTGTTTAGAATAGAACTGAATCATTCATTGTCATTTATAAGGGATTTATTAAGCACAAATTGCCCTCATTTTTACGGAACCCCTGAAGCGATGTAGTGGAGGAGAAAAAAAAATTGGCTGGGTGAAAAAAAAAATGGGTGGGAGGAAAATATACATTTCTAAGTTTTTGCGTTCTCTCGCAAAGTTTTGCGTGATCTCGCAAAACTGTTTCTCCACAAACACTTCCTGTTCACTCACATAAACACCTCCCGTTTTTGCCGAAATTCTCCCTTGAACAACTGCTTTGTCAATTATGTAATACTTAATTTAGTAATGAAAAATAAATCGTTAACAAAGTAAGAAAATACAATTATTAAGCAAATCATAAATAGAGCATTTGTAGCTGCCGTTATAAACTGCTTACTAACGTTTATTAATGTAGAGTTGATGCTTAACAGATAATGAATTCACTATATGCTAATGCTTAATAAATGATTTATAGTGTGTAGTTATTATAAAGGGTTACCGAAAATCTTACTAGAAAATGACAATCTTTCCAAGCTGCTTGCAATTTCAGCTGAAAGCCTAGGATTCCTGCTTTGGTGCTGTCACAGTTCTTTTTTTTAAATCACGAAATGCATTTTTGTGCAATCCAAATCTTGCCTCTCTAATCCTAAAAATGAAACAGTACTGTTTTTGTACAGTAAAATAGGCCTACTACATTTTGGTTCTTATCACACATTATTTAGCGTATTCAAGACAGTGAAATGTTATTTGTAAAATCACACACTGATGTAGTCATTGATGTCTTACTGATGAAAATGAATTCAGAAGGTGCTCATTTCTATAATAATCTGTTTTAAGGTTTTTAGGTCAGTGGGTTATGAATGCAATATGTTTTCTGAATTACAATTGTTGTCAGAGGTTTATTGAAACAAGCTGATTTTGAGCCGTTTATGAATGTTGTTTTGGTCCGAGTGAGTTTAGGAGGGGAGCTGGCTGAACTGTTTGGTCTAGAGTGGTTGGCTCATGTAACCTTTGATTTGGCCCACCATTCCTCAGAGAAGAGAGGAAGACTGATGTGGATGGTTTCAAGATTGTCATTTCAAATTGAATGTAACGTTTGTTTGTTTTATTGTTAAAAGCTAACTGAAATGTTTCAATTAAATGAAATTCATTTTGTTTAAATGTAGATACGGTTACTCAACAATGCAGAGACTTAGATGAGCAAATCAAGTCCAAGGCAGATTGTGCTTGACTACAGTATTCAGCAGTTAACTCTGCTGGGGTATAAACATGATTATTTATTTATTTTTTGTAATAATTTATAATGTAAAAAGTTATAGTGCGTTAGCTAATACGATTCAAAGTTATGTTTTCTATTTGTTTTGAAATATAAGGAAATTACCCATGACAACTTTAATGCAATATAGTTTGGTATATTTACCTTCGCCCATTGCTTATTATGATATTTAGTTTTTGGCCCTTCATGTAAAAAAGTTTGGGCAGCCCTGGTCTAGAGTCAGGTTGATATTGCACATTGTGAGAGCAGGTTTGCATCAGTACTGCACAATGCTTGTTAGTGGATGAACAAAGTAATAATAGGGTTCATGTATGCATGGACATTGTGTAAATTGTTTGCAGCGACAGTGAACAAATGATCATAGTCACATTTAGTGAATGCTTTTTATAAATCTGTCCCATGTCAGAGGAAATCGAGCTCTTTGTTTTGATTAGCTGGACATTTTGTATTTTTAACTGCAGGAATGGGGATCCAAGACGCTGTCTCAGCCAAACTTGTGTTGGAGAAGTTGAAGAGCGAACACTGAAGAACCGAAGGCACAACTTCCTCTGATCGTACAACTTTCCGCTGTGGATTCAATGATTACAAGAGCATAAACTGCACTTACTGTTGTACACTATAAAGAGATTAATGTGTAATCGAGTTTTAGTCCAAGAATAAAAAAAAGTTAGTTTATTCCAGTCATTTAACCTGACCTCAGGACAGTGTAAGTGCTAAAAACACAGAGTTTAGCACTAAGATGTGATTAGTCTGCGACTAGCCTTGGTCTCTGAAGGTAAGAGCATCAAACTGAGCTGAGAAAGCGGGCCAGTAGACAGCTTTGTTTATTACTCTTGCAAACTACTCCAAGTCAAACTTTGTGACTTTATTTTTAAAGACATGAATTAAAAAAAAAAAAAAACATCTGTGTTAATGATTCAAGTATAGCCTGGGATTAACTTTAAATAAACCCAGAACTGAAATTGTGTTGATTACTGGACTTATTTTCTTAATCTAAAAGCACATGAAAATACATATTGGGTTGTCATCTAGAAAACCAACAAGAATGACATGTGCTGCATTCAAAACTACTTCCCTACTACTGTGTACTCCACACAGCATAAGACAAAAGATTACTAATTCAAACGATGTATAGAGTATATACAGGAGTTACAGAAAGAAATTCAGTAACATTGCCGACAATTTAACCTGCAGTATATTTACTAAATGCTGATTGCAAGAAGGGAATCCTAAACTAAAACTATTTGAAAACTGAATAACAATGTTAATCCAGCGGGTGGCGCCTTTACAGCAGCAGGAATGACAGCGTTTCCCTGGTTACTGCAGTAAATGAAGCAGCGTGATGTCAAATCTAGCAGGATTTTTTATTTTATTTCAAACTACACAGCATCCTGATATTCAAAGATTCAATTCAGATATACTTCAGCATACTGCTACTGAATTTTATAGCTTGTAAAATAGCATTTACGACTTATTTTAGGATTTGTGTTTTGCATTTAAGGGCTTTAAATTTCTCTAAATTGATTAATCAATTTTTAATACTTTAAGACCTTGCGGACACCATTTACCTACTCAGGGGCCGGTTTTTTAAAAGTAATCCACTAGGATTTTGGATTAAACCTTTAGTTTGGGGTTTTCAGACCTTTTTTGTAGGATTTGGATCACTTTGATCCAAATAATCTGGATTAAACTGATCCCATCTGAAGCGTGGTTTCCCAATGCCCAAAATGTAATGAAAATTTAAATTCATCAAACACTACTACATTTGGATCTTGCGGTATCTTAGACCATATCCTCATTATTGATAAGGTTTTATTTGTATTTGTTCATCCGTCAGGCTATAGTGATAAGGTAGGCTTTAACGTACAGCAAAGTAGAAAAACGGAGTTTGGCATCATAAAATAATCCTAAATAGCTGTTAAATTGAACAAAAACAATACATTTTATTCGGTCACTAATTGATATAGATATATATATATATATATATATATATATATATATATATATATATATATATATATATATATATATATATGATAATAATTACCAGAAATAGGCAAAGAATGGCAATCAGAGTTTTAACAATTGCAAAAAGAGACTGAGAGGGCAGAAGTACAACTTTGCAGAGGAACAACTGACTCTGATCGAACTGCAGCAAACCAAGGCCTGACTTGAGATCCACTTCCTAAAGGCTATGCTTAAACAAGCTGATCTCTCCACATCAGATGGGGAAGTCTGAAATTATTGTGGAGTTCTCAACATTGTCTTTTTTTTTTTAATTCAACACATCTATATTTGGAACTTGTTTTATATATATATATATATATATATATATATATATATATATATATATATATATATATATATATATATATATCCCTAATGTAAAGTTTGTGTTGTAGGTTTCAGATGAGCGGACTGATGGAGGAGGATGGAGTTTTTCTTTGTTTTTTTTAAATGTGTGTTTTCATTTCAAATAAATATTACGTTATATTCACCCCACACTGGCTATTCTACTTGTTGCCCTTTGTAAAGTTTCACAAACTAATTTCAAGAGGAGCATGTGATATGATCGACTACAGCTGATCCTTATCTCTAATAATAAGCTAGCCTAATGCTATCATTCATTCATTCATTTTCTTGTCGGCTTAGTCCCTTTATTAATCCGGGGTTGCCACAGCGAAATGAACCGCCAACTTATCCAGCAAGTTTTTACACAGCGGATTCCCTTCCAACCACAACCCATCTCTGGGAAACCTAATGCTATCAGCTCATTCTAAAACTACAATAAATTCCCTGCCTAAACTTCATTCCTTATCTTTGTTTTTGGTTATCTCCGGTTTCCTCCCACAGTCTAAAAACATGTACATAACTTAATCGTAATAAAGTCACTAGCACTTTAACGCATACATAGCAAAAGGGGGCACTTGAGAAACACCTGATCTCGTGTCCCTCCTAATGCTCATTGAGCAGGTGGTAACCTTGGGCTCATCTATCTCCGAGCTCAGGGTTCTCTCCCGGGACAGCATGCCAAACCTGCAATCATAGTTGAGCATTATCTAAGTGTGAACTCTTGAAACATATCTATAGTTCTACATTGTGATTTCCTATCCTGTTTGAGTGCTGGTTATCCAGATTTAGTGATCTTGAAAAGTTTCTATCCAGATCAGATTAATCCAATGCGATGTTGCCTTGAAAAACTGGCTTAAAAAAAAAGATGACTAAATCTGGATCAATTTATCCGGATTAAACCATCAAAAAAAGCAGGCCCAAGAGATTGTGATTTCAGACACAGCTCATGTTGTGGATAAGCTCATGATTAGGCCATTCATAGAAAACGAAAAGACAAAAGCCGTGTTTTTACATTTTTGTATTTTAGACACAAAGGTTAATACACTGTAGATTTAGTGGAGACAGTAAAAGCATGAATAAATGAAGCATTTCAATCGTCATTACTGAACTGTCAAAATTGAACACTCCATGTGGCTAATCACAACCACCGGATCATGTGTGAAGATCAATTAGAGATTTAATACTTGATGACCCTAACAATTACTGTTATCAAGTATACAGTAGAGATGTTTCTGTAGTCTAAATACAACACTGGGACTGTAAAAGTGGATAAAACACTGCCAGACTCATCCAATAGACAGACTAAAACACAGAGAGTTTAAACATGACATGTCTTCTTAAATTCAGATACAGTAGTGAAAATATGCTATACTCTTGACAAAACAAAGCTGTTATATGCATTTAACTAGGTTTGTTTCTTATACACTTAAAGAAAAATAAAGTCTCTAGCATCGGGGGAAAAAAAAGTGTTTCTTCAACTTTCCTCTTGTAAAATAGTTCCTTCAGTATTACTGCAATCTGCCTCTGACAACCGCCCCCCTTCCCAAGTGCTCAAGGAAAACGAGAGCGTTAGTGTGAGCAAACTGAGATGCAGGTTTAACTTTTGGCAATATTTCATTCTCTACAAAAACGCAGATTGTAAACAAAACACGTGGACTCACAAAGATGGAGAAAGAGAAAAGGAGTATGTAGTTTCCTAACATCAAAATGAAGGGAAAAGAAAGAAGGTCATTAGAAGGCAGCAGGAATTTCTTAGTGTACATTGGGAAATGACTATGGATGCCGCTCTTCATCTCTCAAAGTAAATACTCTGGCATCTTAACAGCTAGTTAGTGGCGTAATTATAATTACAATTCAAGAGAGAGAGAAAGAGAAATATCTGTATGAATACACCATATCATTTCCCGTCATCCCCGCTTCCATTGTTCTTCTCTCAGGTGAGCTCAGATTGCAGCTGGTGCTGTGGGCGCAGTCAGTTCACAGAAGGAGACATCTTCTCCTCCTCCTCTTCACCGGAGGTGGACACAGCACTGCACGGATGGCTTCATCGAACACAGTTTTAAGGCCGCGTTGGGTTAAGGCAGAGCACTCCAGGTACTTCACAGCTCCTGTGGCCAAAAAAATATATATATACTTTTTTTACTTTTTACATAAGATTTTGTAAAAAAAAAAAATAATAATAATAATAATATAAAAAAATAAAATATATATATATATATATATATATATATATATATATATATATATATATATATATATATATATATATATATATATATATATATATATATATATATATATAATTTTTGCAGAACAACCCCTTCCCCAAAAATATAACCCCTTACAGATGGAAGAGTATGTAAAAAAAGCTGAAATTATGATAATGACTTTATATAAAAATAAATAAATAATAATAATTAAAAGAAAATAAGTAAAATAATTAAATAAAAGGTATTGCCATCAATTACTTTTCAGGGGATACATTTCTAAATGAAGTTAGGTCACCTCCAATTACAGCGATGATGGGTTAAGTATCCTCTAAATATTCACATCTAAATATGTCGTAATATTTTTCCACCTCTTCAAAAAGTAAAAAAAAAAAAAAAAATCTCAGTTTTTATTTGTAGACATGCTGTCCTTTTTTTCCATTATATCGACCTGTTTAAGTCTCTGAATACACTGAGCCACCTTTGGAGAACCTTCTTACATCCAAAATACTGCCATTATTTTTGCATAAAAATCTTTTTTTTTTGCAACAATTAATGATGTCCTTAGGATAAATCCGGTTTCTTTATTAAACATTTCTTTGGACAGTGCTTCCAGAAAGCACAACTGCATCGAGGGGTATTTCCATATCTAATATCTTACCCATTTCTTTTAACATTTTTCACATTTAGGACAGTCCAAACAAACAGGGGTATGATCTCCAATTTTACCACATTCCTTCCAACATAAAGCAACAGATGGTCCTTTTTACATTTGGATTACATTACAAAAGGAGTATTAAAAGTACCTAATTTGTACCTTCCAATCAAATTCTTTCCATAATTGAATATTAATTCCTTTATGACATCCCTCACACAACTCAATCCAGACCTCATCCTTAATTATGGCATTTAGTTCTAGTTCCTATTTTCCTTAAACATGATCTGTATTTTGTACAGTATTAGTTACTAATCTTTTGTATGAATGAGATGTGTTTTTAGCTGGAATGTTTTTTTCCTGCAATATTTATAAAGTATTCTTCCATTTTATTTGGTTCTTGCATGACTAGAGCTTTTACTTTATGGTTTGTAATGTAATGTCTTATTTGGAATAACCTATACATATCTTTCGGTGAAATATTAAATTGTTCTTGGCTGCTTTTTAAATGCATCTCCAAATGTATGCATTTCACAGTCCCAAAAACACCATTGTGTACAAGTGTATATAAATGCCCCTAAAATACAACTTTAGTCACACAGCTTAATTGATTGTATTTAAGACACAATAACAGAATTCACAAAGTTTACTTCAGGTTTTGTAACATAGCAGATGCTGAATGATTTCAATTACTGAACTAATGAGGGTGGTGCAAAAAGACATGGAAAGCCCAGACAGTAGCTGAAATCTCTCAGTAGCTAGAAAATAACTTTGCTCCTTGTCAGTGTAAATGGCACAGCCAAGGACCTCTTTGTCGTCTTCCAGAAAAGAAAATAAAGCTGCTAGAATGTTAAGCCAATTGATAAGAACTAAAGATCAGATTTCATAAGAGACCAACAGAACCATTGAGACTTCATTATAACCTTCTCCTTGTGTCATTTCACTGTTATTACAACAATGTTTTTCTGAACTTTAGTTTATTTGTTATCAGCTCCTTAAGAAAAAAATTAGGTAGATCATGACATGTTCAATACTCTTTTTAACTGCTGTATTTATGCAGGCGTTTTTGGTTGTTTATTCAATTCAATTAATATTTATATCTTTAGCGCTTTTACAATGTATATTGTGTCAAAGCAGCTAAACATAGAAGTTCAAGTAAATTGAAACTAGTTAGTTCAGTTCAGTGTGGTTTAAATTTCACTGCTGAAAATCCAAACACTGAAGAGCAAATTTATTGGTCAAGTTCTCTGAAAACAGTATACACTAAAAGACGGGTAAATTAAAATCATATGTATTAAAGCAATAACACAACTTTTAAAAGCGGTGCATTTAAATGAAAGTGCTGACCTATTTCTTTGGCCATAGCAAGGCCTTGAGGGTAGGTGATGGGAGTGAGTTTCTTCTCCTTTAACTTTTCGATGGTGTCCTTGTCATCTCGCAAATCAAGCTTAGTCCCAACAAGAATTATTGGAGTGTTAGGGCAATGATGTCTGACCTCCGGATACCACTGTTGGAGAAGACAAAACGTGAGTTTTGCTTAATGCAAAGCCAATCTATGCAAACAAAAAATAAAATGCACACTACACATTTTCAAACCAAACCCATGTTTTACCTGTAGATAAACAGCACAACCTACCCACTAGTGCAAGCAGTGACTAACAGCAATTATCATTTCACCCTTTGAAACAGACCTTGCTAGACATTTTGCAGATGCAGAAGATTAAAAAGAGCTCTCATCTCCTTAACTGCAGCATCAACACCCTATTTTGAGTCTTTAGATCAACATTTGCACAATAGCTCCCGCCAGACAGACTATTTTTACAGCCTGTTCCTCTTTTCCATTAAGTCAGGGTCTCTGCAGATATCATAATGTCAAATTTAAGACCTTTTAAGACTATTAAGTATTAAATATCAAAAACACGCGAGAGAAAATGTAAAAGCACAAAATTAGGGGTAAAATAAAGTTATTTAAATTGAACAGTAGTAAAGTCAGGTTAAATGCACCATTCATCTTAATGCAGATTTATACTTTCACCTGGCACCGCATTGCACAACTCCCGAAACGGATTAAGGCTTTTATACTTGACACGTTCACCATTGAGATATTTTTTTTTTAAATGACAGGGGGCGGTCCAAAAAAACAGAAAGTAAAATCAGACGAATAAAAAGATAATCATTATCATTGAAGATGTTTTTGGGGGCCTCTTTTTAGTTTTAACAAACTTATCCCTCAGAGTTTTTCCAAAGTTTTACAAAAACTGTCGTTCTTTCCCATGGCTGTTGCAATTTCTAGCCAATAATTATTGGTCATTCTGCCAAGCAGAAATGTAACTGTAATAGAAAATAGGTATAACTTGATTAGGCATTATAGCTTACTGTACTATTCACTCTTCAAATAAATCCAACAATCAATCCCATTTTATCACTAATATAAAGTGAACCAGTGTCTGCTGTACAGTGTTTTGTAAAGTACAGTAAAGTACTTCAATTACTCTGTTGTGGTAATGCTATAGTTGCTATGGTAACACAACAAGTGTATTAAAAACAAACTACCCGGTGCTTTATTTTTATTTTTTACAATATAGGATATATTTTTCTACAATTCAACACTTTACTGTAGTAAAACTACACTGCATTACATTTTATCAGTTCACTATTCTTAATACTACAGTATGCTGAAGCATCTCTGGAAAAGCACAAAAGGAGTCAGACGGAGTGAGAGCAGATCATTCGCACATGAGCAGCCAGTGTTTTAAGAGCTCACAAGTAGTTTTGTCCATGAACAAAGTAAACTGGCGCGTGAGCAGAGATTCGCTCTCTCGTATTACAGCGCTCCCAACTTATAAAACTTGCGACATTTGTCAGTGAAATAACGGCATACTCTGCCAGCCGAAATCTTGTCGCGCGCACACTCAAAGCGAACTTCCGCAAACACAGCGATGATGTCACATTCGCAGCGCGCATAGATATATACACACATATATCCAAGTATATAGGTATATATATATCTATGCGCCACGCACACTGAGTTTAATATCAGAAAGCGGATTGGCTATTGCAAGTTGACTTTTTTGTAGTTGTAATAACACAAATTACAATTGGGCTAGTGAAATAAAGAACTACAACACCCCAAAAACCTAGCAACAGCAACTACAAGAATTTAAATAAGCATTAGATGTAGCGTTAAATGGACATCGCAAAAATAAGACCTGTGCAAAAATATTTAAGACATAGAAAAGCAAATTTAAGACTTTTTAAAGCCATAAATTTCGATTTTTTAAATTTAGGACTTTAATACTTTAAGACCCCCGCGGGGACCCTGTAAGTGTATTCATTTCGAAAGTCGCCTACTTTGATTAAAAGCTTAAAATATTCAGCATTTTGCTTACCTTTGCACGGACGTTTTCAAATGAGGCCGGACTCACAAGAGAGAAGCAGATCAGGAACACATCCTACACAAATGAAAAACACAATCAGACAAATCTCTCCTTTTGTTCAGCTTTTCTTAAGAATTATTAAACTATTCAGTAAAAACAAAGCACTGGTTAGCCTGCTGCATTAATGAACTGTAAATTGACTCCACTTGTTTCCCTGAGTGAAACAGAGCCACAGAAACACAGAGAGGTTTGTGCCTGAATGACAATGACAAACAATTGAGTCATTCACACCCGCAGCCTTAGACAACAGAGCTGCCATTAATGCTCATTTAAGAAATCACTGCAACTTACCAGCAATTCAGCCATGAACATGACCGTTTATTGCGTTTCCAAAAACAGTATGTCACCAAACCAGTTATGATAACCTCTGCTCACAATGACTCACAGTCAGTTAATTACTACCTTTAAAAAAATCCTAAGTAAGGTAGCTCTGATGAAACCTCCAATAAAAATCTTATTTATTAAACATCATTGGCTTAAATGTTGTGATACACATTTAGGATTGATATAAATAATTCAACAATAATATATCAGAACATGATTTTGACTGATATTAAAAGTTGCTGAATAATTGCTGTGACTTTGTATTAGTTCTAAAAGAAGAATGTACACGATGTAGAATTATTTAAGCAACAAAGAATTTGACTGTTTATGCTTTTGGGAGAGCATGCAGATTTAATGACTTTCAATCACAATTTTTCATTTTTTTCCCCAATTACATTTGTCATCATTTAGATTTTAAATGTATGCTTGTGAAAGTTAAATAATTCAAAAAGAAATGGAAAACAATTAAAACACCAATAATAACTGAACTTAATTTTTAAACAAAATGTTAATTTATATCATATATTAAAAGTAACATCTGTATTAGCTTGTTACCGTCTGAGGGTAGGAAAGCGGTCGAAGCCTGTCATAATCCTCTTGTCCTGCTGTATCCCACAATCCCAGGTTTACTGGTTTCCCATCGACCATCACATTTGCAGAATAATTATCAAACCTAAAAGAAAATTAATAGTTAATAAATTAAATCAGCACAAAATGCAGCTTGCCGATATCCATGAGTGAAACCGGTTTAGCAGAGGGATTGGTTTTGAGAAATTGCCACTAGCCATAAAATCAAACAAAGGGCGAGAGGGGATGAAAAGTTTAAACTAAAGAGTCATAAATCACATTTCTCTCTCCCTATGAAGTAAACAATGGAAACAGTAATATGATTCATACATTTGTTGAGGAAATTGGTTATTTTGGCATTTAACCAATTTCATTCTTATATTTTGAAAAGCAAAATTGAAGCAACCTCCTGAGACATGAAGCCAACGTGTAAATTCAGTGTTGGTTGGCTGCCTTTACAAAGTGAGCGTTTATTAATGAGAAAGAGCTGGTTCAATCCAATCACCACAATAATAAATGAGGTTAATGAATGGGTGCTCTGGTTGTTCAGCTACAATCATGATGCAACAAACGCAGGTCAAAAGGGAACAATGAAGCAGTCAGGTTTCATTTCTTTAACATTTGCAGATAATATGAATAATCAGATACAGTTTAAGTCAGAATTATTAGTCCCCCTGAATTATTTTTCCCCTCTGTTTTCGGTTTAAACACAATAGTTTTATTAACTAATTTCTAATAACTGATTTATTTTATCTTTGCCATGATGACAATAAATAATATTTGACTACATATTTTTCAAGACACTTCTATAAAGCTTAAAGTGCCATTTAAAGGCTTAACTAGGTTAACTAGGCAGGTTAGGGTTTTTAGGCAAGTTATTGTATAACGATGGTTTGTTCTGTAGGCATTCGAGAAAAACATTAGCCTGAAGTGGCTAATAATTTTTTCCTTAAAATGGTCTTTAAATGTAAAACTGCTTTTATTCTAGTTTAAATTAAACAAATTAGACTTTCTCCAAAAGAATAAATATTATCATACATGCTGTGAAAATTTTCTTGCTCTGTTAAACATAATTTGGGAAATATTTAAAAAAAAGAGAGAAAAATATTCAAAGGGGGCTAATAATTCTGACTTCAACTGTATATTTGCATGACAGAATCCTTCCGTGGTGAGTGAAGTACTGTAAAAATGGTATGCAATCACTGCTTTATTATGGTTTGTATTAGAGATGCGCGGATGGGCTATTATTTCATCCGCAACCGCATGACAAAATTCATCATCCGTCCGACATCCATCCGCAGTAACATTTTTGACCAATTTTTAAAACCGCACCCGCCCGCCATCTGCTGATTGGGCTCTTTATTTGAATGGCGTATTCCTTTTTATTATTAAATGAATGTTTCTTTATTGATTATTATAGAATAGAGAATGACTTTAATGTAGACATGCAGTTAATCCAAACGTGCAAGTCATTAATTGACGACGCTTTGAAGTGACGCTAAAGATAAGAGGACGTGTCTTTTCACTTGATTCGATTCCTCGGAGTCTTTTCCTTGCGTCCTTCCCTCGTAACGTTATCCCGGTGGGGTGGAAACACGGGAAAGAAAGCAAGGAAAGGAAACGAGGATGCACAAATAAGAAATGAGAAGCACCCGAGCTCTCAGAATATCAGCAGTGAACTCCGTCTCCAATCGGCGCACAGGGACAAAAATAAATAAATAGCCTAAATTAAACGCACTGTACTGTACAACTTTTTTTATTGTAGCCTAATAGAAAACGCATTGACACATCATTTCAACATGCTGCTATTTAGCCTACTAATAAATTCCTATTTCACTTTATTTTTTAGTAAATAGATAGAATAATAAGTCATTTACATTATAGCCTAATAATATTTACATTTGTAGTTGTCCATAGCAACCCCAAAACCTGATTGCCTTGCACATCTTATTAATGGGCACAGTTTTTCGACTATTTATTTATTTATTTTTTATTTTTTGCTGTGGATGTTATTGAGCTTGTAGAAATCGGAAACAACACCAGTTCTGCGACACAGATGAACCTTTATTGATATATCTTTTAGACAATACCTATTTTATATGCCAAAAGAAACAACAGGCAGTAAAAAATATTAACATAAATATCTTAATGTAGGCATAGGCTATAGTCGCATGCTTTGGCAAACAGTTGAAAAACGTCATATCGTGCCTAAGCCTTGTAGGCTCAGTCACCCCCACAATTAGAAATTAAATTAGAAAAATAGATATGCCATCCCTCTTTGAGCGAACATAAAGTCTGACCAGGCTAAAGTGCATGTATGACAAGTGCCCCAATAACCCATGGAGGATCATCCCCATTCCACTCAAACTTGAAGCATAACGAAATACTACGCCATTAAAGTTGCGACAAAGAAATTCTGGCAAAATAACATTAGCCTCGGAACGTAAAAGCGAGGCCAACATGTCTAGAATAGAATAGACCAATATGAACGTAAAATTATCAGCTGACCGAACTCAAAAGTTTATATTGAACATATGTGTAGCCTAAATAACATAGGCTAATTGGTTTAATATGCCTGACCTTAGGTCTAGTTTGATTTTTTCTTGGCACAATGCAGGAATAAAATAGCATTTACAGTGTCAGGATTCAGACGGGAGCGCCTGCATAGCCACTATAATGCGCCCTGCTGCACTGAAGGAGCGCTCGCTCGCAGCACTTGTTGCTGAAATGCATAGAATTCTCTTGGAAAGTCGTGGGAATGCCTGGCCTTATTTCTCCCAAAATGAGAGCAGATTTTCCTCTGCTGATCCGTCTATACGGAAGTTTGTAGAGGAATACTTCTGTACTTCATCCAGAATTAGTTTATCCGATTCCTCCTCCCATTCTGTGAAGTCAGTCCTAGGCTTTTTCGTTGGTGCGCCAGCTATGCCTAAAACAGTACAACCGCCCGCCACACGCCCGAATTTAATTAAAATATTATTTTTTCGTAATGTCATCCGCCCGATCCGCGGTTTATCCGCGGAGTCCGCGGCTATAACCGCCAACCGCGCATCTCTAGTTTGTATGTGTGCAGCACTAGTATTTCTGCAACAGCGCAGAAAGTACATGTGTTCATGCACAGCTTTAGTCTTGAGGGGATGAGACAGCCAAAATTGGAAAAATAGGAATAAGATTCTTGTTCCACTTTAAAGTTGACAAGTTCACTCAAACCAAAACTTTGTTCCAAGTAGTTTGTGCACTATAGTAAGCATGCAGTGCACATAAAGGTAATTATCAGAACAGTACACAATTAAACTAACCCATTTTTGTGCAGAAGCACAATGTATACAGAGCTCACACTTAGCTTTGAATAATTTCTAAACTGTACTGTTTCAGTCAGAAAAGAAATTGAGACAGAAATAGTTTTTCGCAAAGACCACAAATCAACAGCTAGCTGCAGATGAACATTTGAGTTAAGGAATTATAAATGCCCTCAAATAAATTATGGGGTTAAGAATCCCCCCCACAAATGTTTACATTGCATTTCAAGTGTGTGTGTTTAAGCTCACCACCAAACAGAGTGGGCTCAAGATTTACAGATAATAGACCCAGAACATTTAACATTTTTTTAAAAACTGAGGTATTTTTGCTTTATTTTACCAAAGAGATAAATCAAGTTTTATTTAATAATTTTATGGCCAAGAAAAAACAAAGTTAATCACAACATCACAAAAATTGATCTATAGCAATGTAATGATGAGAATCTGATGACTAAAGCTCCACTAAAGTGCCTTGGAATGTGTAGCTTTGTGCTGTAGGAACTACAACTGAAACCTGAAGAGAGGGCGACACCTATAAAGCAGCCACACCCCTTCTTAAAAAATAGCCAATTGGCACACATGTGCTATCATGTATCCGGATCAGAGCAGCCCCCATATGCGACAGTTCGCATGATATTACAGTAAAATCAAACTCCAGTCACTGCAAAATTTCCATTGTACTCCATATATAGAGCACTCTGTCTTTCACCATCTAGCAAACTTTAACTACGCAAAATAAAAAGGCAATAATAATACTAAGCTTTTTAATTATCTACATTTGTGTTTCACAGTGGTAATGTGAGGCCAGGAAACAAGGTAATTTTGTGTGAACTGTTCCTTTAAGAAGCTCAGGGTAAGAGAGAGGTCAGCTTACACAGTGGGAATGTATTCCCCAGGAAAAGCATTGGTGGTGTAGCTGATCAGAAGGCATGTTTTTCCCACAGCCCTGGAAGAAGAAAAAAATATATATATATATATAAACACTTCATTGAATAAATTCAGTGACACATCTGATGATGCAATCTCGTATTTACTTATCCAACAAAGCATTTCTGTACTAAGAATGTGCAAATAATTATCATAACATGACATCCTTTAAATATAACGAGCCAGTTTCTCATATGCATCACAATAATGGGTTTGGTTAATGTCGGCATTAGTCACTGGCACTGCAGAATTTCACTGTAACGTGACGTAACGTCAGGGCTGAGAAACTCAGGGAAGAGCCAGTTTACCAACACTGGAAAACCGCTTCTGTGTCAGTCTGCAAACACTCGGATATTTAGAAGCTTAGGGTGAAGTTATTCAAAACAATTCATCAAACAACTGTAACAATTGGTAAGGTAAAACGACCAGAAAATGGCTAATTTACCAATATTAAGACAAATAACGTTAAAACACTTCAGTTTGTAAACATGTGGGTATTTATTAACTTGGTTTGTTTTATAATTCATTCAGCTTACGCAGCCAAAAAAACTGAACGTAGAAAACCGAAATTTAAAGAGCAACGTGTGTTTGTGTGTGAAGAGACGCCTTTTAAACATCTACAAAGACCGCACAAAAGTTCCCAAATCAAAGGCCCACAAGTTATCCAATCTCCAAACACTTGAATGCGATTCAAGAAGCGACCGAAACATGTACAACTTTATTCTAAAACCAATAAAGTACTTAAAAAAGAGAGTAAAACTCACCCGTCCCCGACGACCACACACTTTATGGCCTGCATCTGTGTTCGTTTAGCACGCTATCCCGCTAGCTGTATCTGTGAATGAATCAATAAAAGCTGCTGTGCCAGAGACACCCGCCCTCACAATTCAACACGCAAAACAAGAGCGGAGTCGATAGAAGTCGACAGAAAATGAGGAATTTCGCTCAAACTCGACGGAGAAAAGTTAGCTGGAATCCTGCATTCCGGCGCATTTACTGCCGCTGCTTCCAGTTAAACAAACAGCCACCACCCAAAAAATCTCAGATCCCGGTCCGCACGCACACACATATATATCCCGTCCCGTCCCGAACAATAAACAGACTCTCTGCTGCCTCCTGATGGACTGGAGAAGAGCTGCGTTCAGCCTAAAAAAACAGGGGCATTTCTAGGTCAGCAGGTAAACAGTGCTGGCTAGATAACTTACTAAACTAATATATTCTGCCCAACGGATTATTTTTGAGTTATTTTTATTATGTAGACTACATTTTTAACAAAACACAGAAAAAAGTAGAAGTGTGTGACATACTTGCATATCCAGTTTTTAATAAATATCATGTAATCCATATAAATTTTGTCTCATTATAAGTATTTTAAATCGTAACGTAATTATATTAAAAATGCAATAAATATATTTATTATAACACTTAAAATGAGAACACTATCCAAAACTTTCATGTCTTTTATTTTAAAGTTTGATAATATTACAAGCTTTAAAAAATGAGTTTGTGTTTAGACCGCTTCAACTGTTTGCTCAAATATACTAGATTTCAGGGTCTGGTTTGAGATTGTACATCAATAAAAATATTACGATCCAAACTGGTTTTGTTGTTGATATTTTTACAAAACAAATTAAATTTTCCTGTTATGTAACTTGCTGAGAATCTGTCTCAACAGTGTGATAGATTACCTTCATTAAATGCAGATATTTAAATGCTAACATGAAAATGTATTTAATTTCTTGGTTATATTATTAAAGCTTCTAGTAATCACTGTGGTAATCAATAAAATACAACGATGACAAAGGTGTCATACATTCATTTTCTTTTCAGCTTAGTCCCTTTATTAATCTGGAACCGTCAACCTATCCAGCATGTTTTTACACAGCGGATGCCCTTCCAGCTGCAACCCATCACTAGGAAACATCCATACACTACGGACAATTTAGCCTACCCAATTCACCTACAGCGCATGTCTTTAAACTGTCAGGGAAACCGGAGCACCCAGAGGAAACCCACGCGAACAGAGGGAGAACATGCAAACTCCATACAAAAACTGACCCAGCCAAGGCTTGAACCAAGGCGATTGTGCCATCCATTGCGCTACCATACAGCCCTTCTACAATCATGTTAAAGGCATTTTACTAAGTAAAATTATAAACCGTTAATCTGAGAACAAAAGGCGATTCCGTATTTCAGATGAGACGTTAAACCGAGGTCCAGACTCTCTGTGGTCGTTAAAAATCCCAGGATATCCTTCGAAAAAGAGTAGGGGTTTAACCCCAGCATCCTGGCCAAATCTGCCCTCTGGCCTCAGTCCATCATGGCCTCCTAACCTTCCCCATATCATAATTGGCATATCATCACTCTGTCTCCTCTCCACCAATCAGCTGGTGTCGTGTGCGGTCTGGCACAAAATGGCTGCCATTGCGTCATCCAGGTGGATGCTGCACACTGGTGGTGGATGAGGAGATTCCCCCCATTGTGAAAAGCGCTTTGAGTGCCCAGAAAAAGCGCTATATAACTGTAAGGAATTCTTATTATTATTATTATTAAAAAGGTCTTGTAGTGTTTTAGTAAATTTAGATTAGGTTAATAATCTTGTGGATGATAATCAGATCTTTATAAGGTTCACTTTGAAGAAATCTATGAAATTCTTGCACTTCCTACAACGAAACTACACAGATTTTTTTTGCATCAAACGTAACAATTGCATAATATTAGCCCTAGAAGGATCCATGAAAATTCATTCAAAGCTTACATGGGCCTAGAAGAATTAAATTTACTGCGCTTCGTCAGTGAACACATTTGTTTATCTTACATTTACCCTTGTATCCATCAAAGGTGCATGAAACACTTTATTTGTAGAAATAAGCTGATCTAAAACCCTAGGACTTGACATTAACAGCACCTTTAATCCCACATTTACAGACTTTAATTGTGAAATTAAACTCATTTCGGCAAAGTTGCAGTGTTATCCATCCAAAATAAATGCATCCAATCCTAAATAAAATAAAAAATCATGAATTTTATTTGAAAAGCCAGCCTATAAAGATCAAATGGCAATTACAAAATCCATTGCATAAAGATCATGAAAGCACATACAAAAATACACAATCCAAGTTGCTTACAACAACTTAAATCCACAAAAATAAATAGCAATTTTTAAATAGGGCACATGGCAGCGAGCAAAAACGAACAGTCAAATAAAAAACAAAACAAAAAGCACAAAACTGAAGAACTTAACAAGATTTACATTCAGTCTACAATACAATCTTCAGCGGTTTGCTTGTCATACAGAGAATTGTCAATGCATTTCTATGCTGGTGACAGTTCTACAAATATATAATAATTTTAATAATATATTAATAATAGATATTCCAAATAACTTGATAAAAGAGAAAAATGTGTGTAATGCATCAGGATGAGACGAGAGTGCAAGTGCTGAGTGTGGCCCTGAGGCTTCACAGTACATGTACCAGCATGCAATCATACACCGCAGACGTCCTGGGGTCATCTCAGGTCCAACAGGATAGCTCTATGGCACTTTTTTTTTCCTCAGTTCTTTTTGTCAGTCAGGTGACAAACTGTCAGGAGTTCGTAATGTCCCAAGTGCTTGCAAGTCATTGGGTTAGGAAGGTTTCCCATGCACCCGGAAACGGTACACACAGGTGTATTCAGGATTCCCCCAGTTAGACAGCACTCTCATCTCAATGATCTGGAAACCACTCGAGACCTCGTCCTTGGGGAAGACAGAAACACAGTTACAAGACTGGGCAATCAGTTAATGACTACAAGGACAACACTGTGAATCCCTGAAGTGGCATCACAACACCCCTGAGGCCTCCTGATATTAACATCCTTTCACTCAACATCCAGTGATTCCAGACCTATAGAGTCTCTTTCTTCTGTTACACACAAAGACATTCTGAAGAATATTAGAAATTGATAATCACTGACTTATCCATAGGATGAAAAATAAACACTATGGTAGTCGGAATGGCTACCGGTTTCCCGCATTTTTCAGATGAAAAACTCTAAATGTATTTGGAACAGGTTAAGGGAGCGTCACTTTTGTAGGAAGGGCAAGTGATACAAGTTGTAGAAAACCAGACATCCCAAGTTGGGAAGAGTCATTTCTGGGGGACACAGAGTTGATTTGCGGGACGTAGCGGGATAGTGGGTGCCTGAAGAGAGAGGGGGGAGGGTCTATGCATTTGAGGGATACTCCCGCAACTTCCGGGAGACTTGGGATGTCTGGAAAATACAGATACATTTCTGGCACTTTAACCAACAGTTTGCACAAGACACTTTTACAAACACTTCATAACTCTAGAAAAGCACTGTGCATTTCTGAAGTGTGCTTCACACAGGTGAGTGGGCTTGATAAACCACCTATGGAAACACTCTTCTATAAATGCATCGGACACTTCAACCAAAAGCTTAGAATGTCCAAGAGGCGACACTCAATAGAACGTTCCATTGCTACAGCAGCGCCCAGCAACAGCCCTGGATTCCGCCATTTTGGAGTGAAAGCGATCCGTCCATTGGATCTTATGCTGTCGCGATGGCAAGCAGCTGCTTTGTTTATTTATTTATTTATTTAAAAAGAGCATTAAAGCTGAGATACAACATGAAAGGCGACAATACAGCACTTACTATCACAATCATCAGCACTTTAATAGTTTCTTTTATAGACTTATAATATGCTGTCTATTGGAGTTTTCATTCCAAAATGGTCGCCGCGACAAATTGCACTAGTGTTGCCTCTTGGTGATTCTATGCTCTTTACTTCAATTCCATCTTACAAGGAGTAAATAAGGAAAACAATGTTTACATGTTGCACTACTTGCTTTCTTTAACCTCAAATACCTCGTTTGCATAATATTGTTCTGTATTATTTAAAAGTACTAGCATAGTCTGTCTGTGTGTTTATAGTCAAGTATTTAGAGTATAAATACAGCAAGTAGATATATATCCATTGTTTTTATATTTATGAAGCACTGTGGTCCTGCAGGACATGACATTTCGCTCCACTATATGTCCACATGTGTAGTGGTTCAACTCAACTTTCACCAAACTCATGTGGGAATGATTATGAAAGCAGACAAGCTTTTAAAGTTTTGAAACCCATTTATGCCAGTGTCATGTGATTGGATGGACAAAAATGCGTCTTAAAACCAGGTGCAAACAGGGCTTGTGATCCCAAAGTTCTGCTGGTTAGCATGACCCTTTTAGCCACTACTGGTGCTATGAAATAACTCAATCCACATTAAAAGCATCCATCTCCAAGATATTCTATTATAATTTATTAATTGCCACATCAGCAACTTATGGCTATTTTGTGGCAAAATGGATATACATAAAATATGCTAAAAATAAATTCGTATTATGATAAAAAAGTTACTTGGACAAATATAAAAAATATAAATAGATAAAATTTACACAAAAATATTTTCAAAAGTTAAATATGATTTTTCAGTTCAATTGTTGATTATTTAAAATTCTTCCTAGTGGCACCTTTTCAAAAATGTCCATCAAAGTACTTTCTGTAAAAACAAATTGTCTAATGGTATTAAAGTTCCAACAAAATACGTTTGATGGTAAGAGCAGCCTGTTAGTAATTACATTTAGGTGGTGCTTCATTATTTAGTAAACATAAATGTGTCAGCCTAGAATGTCCAATTCAACATCTAGTATAGACGGTCTGATCATGCTTGGTCCAAAATAATAATCTGCTTAATGTCTTTCATTTATTTAGGATTAATTCATGTAATTTATTATTTATGCAGTTGCCCCATTCTCTTTGCCATGTTTCGTTTATGTACAATTGATTGTGGGTTTCAAGTCTTCAGGTGGAATTAAACATTCTGTTACTTTCAAGGAGATAGCCTGTTTTGCTGCTTCATCTGCCAGTTCATTTCCATGTAGTCCCATATGGCCTGGAATCCAACAGAAGATAATGTTGAACTTCTTATTTTTTAGTGTTGTCATTTTCTTTACAATCATGGAAATGATGGGGTGACCACACTTAGAAGCTTCAAGTGCTTGAAGACAGGAATCTGTGCATATTAAAAGATTAGGGTACTGTGTCCTTCCCAATTGTTCTAACGTCATGTTTATTGCATAAGCTTCTGCTGTGTACATTGAACTTTCTCCTGGAATCAGAGTACCAAAAACATCTTTAAACGCTACTGCTCCACGATATCCTATTAAAATGGACTTTTTTTTAATTGGCAACATTAGTATACCAAAATGTCAATATGTTATGATGACATGATCTCCATTATATGCAGCTACAACTTGAAAACAGCGATGTTACATTTGTGAATAAATGGTTCTATTGGATTAAATTTTTTAGGTGAATGAATCACTCATTCACACACAGTCCATTGAATTAATATTTCTCATTTACTGTAATCCATCACATATACATGTGGATAATGCTGACATGACAAAACTGCAGTGGCAGTGCGCGAATCTTGTACAGCCATGTTACAATTTATTTACATTTAACATAATTTAAAATCAGTTTAGCACAAAGTAAAACACGTTTGATAAAAAAAAAAAATAAATAGGGGGTACACAGCTAAACATTTAAATGAATCGAAAAAAGAAGCTTGGCTCCACATTTAATTACAGATTTTAAGTGTAAATACCCTAATTAAAACCTTGGATTGGTTATTATCACCATTTATTTATTTATTTATTTATATATATATATATATATATATATATATATATATACATACTTGAACAAACGAATGACAAATTTGCTTGTCCGAAAGACAACCACATGAAGATGCTTAATGTCAATGCCTAAACCGTGATACACAGGAAATATAAGCTTGTGTAATACTTACAGAGACCAGGAAGGTCTGAAGAGAATCCCCATCTTCTTCATAAACATACTGTCCGAGCAACTGCCCCTCTTCCTGCTGCTCATCATCAAGACCCTTAAACAGAATAGTAGAAGAAAAGACAAGTTGAGAAGTTTTCCTAAAATTAATTTATACACAGTCATTCAAAGATATAATAACAATTTTAAATAGTCACTTCTACGTCTGGACAAGTATAAATATATAATGGAAAGACAATGGACACTTCTACAGTGCATAAACGATACTTGTCAGAAATGTTAAATTCAGTAATATCATGTTTTATCTGCTAAAAAAATAAACTTTTTAAATAAATGCTTTAAAAACGCTAGCATTTATTTAACATAAAAAAATCCCTAAAGAAACAATGGTTTCTAATAAATAAAAGAGAAGAAACAACAACAAAAAGTAAAAATATAGGTCAAAAGATGGGGAAACATGGTTTGAGCTCCCATGGTTTGGTACTCACATATACATTGAATTCTCGTGGGGCACTGCTGATGTTTCCAGTGGGCGACAGAGATTTAGCCACATGTTCCAGTGTAAAGGCTGTTGGCACGATCTTCATGGACAAACCGATCACTATATAACCAGTTGAACCTTTGAATGCCCAGCAGTTGCCTGGATGCACTTCTGGCTGCAGGTTCAAACACAATGACAAAGAAAGGAGGGTAGGAAAACGGTTAAAGGGTCATGAAACACTTTTTTTCAGTTGTTGACAGTCTCATGTGTCCCACACTGCTAAAAACACTATGTACACATATATTTCACAAAAAAAGTGAAAATTGGTTGTTTTTGCATTATTTTAAGCAAATTCGTACTTCCAGTTTGAAACAAATCTTTGAAGCTGCTACACGGCCATGATATCTTAGCGTGTATTCCAGCGTGTAGACTGGACGTCTGTACCCGGTAGGGTTGGGCATCTAAGCTATAATGCCGATCCGATACGCATCTCGATACAAAGAATACGATCCGATATATTAGCGATACATTTGTGACATTGCGATGCAACACGATACGATTCACACCCATATCACGATACAATGCGATAACTCAGCACTAACTTATTAGATCAAGTTTATGAGATGATGTAAGAAAGGATGCTGTGCCATTGAATGAGTTTGATTATTTATTAACCAAGTAAAACCAAGACTTTTTTTACAAACTGGCTTTTCTCTCAGAGCCAGAGTGTCAGTTTACAGTAGAGGGCCATTTTAGAACCTATAGCACATATTATTTAAGTATTTTCAAGATAAACAGAATGTATAAGTGCGCCATATATATTAAATGTATATATTTGCACTCTTTCAACATAAAGGTTTACCATTGCACAACAAGAATTGTGATTTAACTTTCAACTGTGAAAACAAGTTTTACAAAGATATTTTGCCACTGAATATTCAAAACTTAAAAGTCGTGAACTAGCAGTGTTATGTTGCTTTGAAACATCACTGTCACTGTAAACAACAGGCCAATAAAAATATAAATAAATAAAAATTAACAGGAGGAGGTGTATAAAACCTTCGTTCTCCATGACACTAGGCTGAAAATCTTTGCAGATGAACAATGCAATAGCAATCGTTATTGGCGTAGAGCGAGCAGAACTGTTGCGCATGGAGAAAACTTTCAGTGCTTTTCTCACCACTTTTGGAGCTGCTAGCTACAGCTGAAGCAGAGCAAAAAGCCGGGGATGCACGAACACTGGAAGATGCTTCCACAACAACACCGAGGCGCCGCTTCAAGTGAGATATCAGATTAGTCGTACTGCCCGTGTATTTTACAGATGCACGGCACATTTTGCAAATTTTATCTGTCCTGTCAAGTCGTCCATTCTTTTTGCAGAATCCATAATGTTGCCATACTTTAGATTTAAAACTCAGTGAGGAATAAAATGTTTGTTTTGCTTCTCGCACTTTCTGAGGGCGCACCACTAGCTTCATCCGCACACCTGATACACTGAGTTGTAGTGCAAGTGTACACATCCGCAAGCCCGTTGCTAAGGCATACTTTATGTAGGTCGATTAAATTATGCGCTAAAAACAGGTTGACAACACTTCTTAATAAATAAAAAATACATTCTATATTAAAATTATAAGTTGTATCTTGGAAAAACCGATGCATCTCGCAAAAACCGATGCATCTCGATTTGCTTCCAATATTTCATTCATCCTCTGCTGCTCTACCGATGCACTCGCATCGTGCATGCTCATGACCGCTAACGATACATATCGGTGAATCTTACCATCCCTAGTACCCGGGAGTACCATATTAAATCTCAGAGTGTGCTGCATTAATGCAAGATTAAGGCTTGGTTCAAACCAATCAGCGCACTCTATTGTGCAACTTCATTAATATTCAATAATGTTACAGTGTTTAGATGGCAGAAGATGGCAAAACAAGCTTGCAGTGTTGCTTTTATAATTTGCTGCAGTGAAGGTTGTTTTCATTTTTTTCTCTATGAGAGTGCAGCTGGACTCACGTGTGGATTACAGTGCGCACGGCAACAATACATGTCTAAGAAACATTGTTTACCCGAGAGCTTTTCTAATCTGCAAATGGTGAGATCCAGATTTGCTGCTCGTCTCCTCTTAATAAAGACTCGGCTATAGTTGCTGTTGCTTGTCCTGTCTCACCAGATTTGGTAAGCGAGCGACCAGTGGTCTTTGTTTATTCAGATGGAAAAGTTAGTTTGTATCGAACTAACTATTACACCGAGTATAAACATGTTAGCACCACAACCAAACTATTACCATCGTGTAAGATTTTCACCGCATTTTGTGACTGGAATAACACACACGGCTTTCTGACGCTACCTGCTGAGTGCATCTAAGTTTCTAGGAGGATGCAAACATTGCATGCAAAATAACCCCACTTAGAGCAGCTCCTCGAATCAAATATCTTGTTTGTCACGAGGGGCTTGAATGAAATTCCTGAATGAAAGAGCCAAACTGCAGTTAAAGTCCATCATTAAATAATGTTAAATAATTCGATTACTGATGTCCAAGTAAACACATTCACTTTCTCCCCTGTATGTGTGTTTCGACTCTGAAAAGCAGCGCGTGCCCAAATCGACACTCCCATATAATCCCTCTTTTGCTCCTCTGACACTCCCCCCAAAACAGAGATGGATACACCCACTTTCCTGCCTTTTTCCAAAGTAGTGGTGTGAAAACACCTAGCTGAAACAAGGGGGTTGCATGGCCCTTTAAGACATTTGCTTTTGCAGAATTGATATTTATGCATATTCATATGTAAAGTTTCAAACCTGTATGACTACACGTGGTGACTGAGAGAAGTACCACAGCGGGAGGCCAAACAGACTCAGCAGTGCCGTTTTGGTGTTGAAGGACTCTGAACAACGTGTGCTTATGATGCTTCCTCCTACAGACACAGAGAAAAGCAAACAAAATTCATTACACCACACCACACAGATAATAAATAGCCTAAAATGACAAGAAGATTATTACATTGGGTGGGAGTGTAAACCAAGCTTCCTTTTATTATTTAGCCTTTTCAACAATACATTTCAATTGTTTTGTAACTGCTTGTTTTGAGGAAAAGCACTTACAATATTGTTGAAATCACTCTCAAATGTTCTAATGCAAACATTTTATAGGTTTGAATTAAAGGGATAATAATACTGGAAAAACAAAATGAACTCTCCACAGTCGAATTTGATTAGAAAGAATATTGCTTTAGTTCACTTGAAAATTAACTGATAAATTTAATTATAGTATTAAGTATACTATTCAGGGCTTTACATTAACACCAGCCAACCTGACAAATGCGGGTAGATTTTAGCTTTGGCGGGTTAGACAGACAATCCCACTAGCCACTTTGGCTGGTTGAAAATAATTCTTAAATTGCAGTTTTCTTAAAAAGTAGGGTTCGACCATAAGGATGACCCAATATCCGTGCAAATGTGATATCAAAAATCGAGAAGCAGCATGATTGACGAAAATAATTGTGATCGCACGAGCAGAAGAAAGTAAGTGAATATCGAATGAGAGGATGATCACTCGCGCTAACAGCAAACGAGTGCCCGCTCCCATTTCCTTTCGTGAGGCAAGTGTGTCGGGAAATGCAACTGGTCTGTTCTCTTTCAAATAGACTAAACAAAGTGATGAACATGCACCCACAGTCCTGCTGCTTTCAAGAGCTCAAAATGTGTCTTTTTGTAAGTAGCACCGGTTGCTTTCACTTTAAACAGATTACTAATTGGCCTCAAGTTAACCGTGTGCATGTGATCATCCTTTCATTATCACACACAGTATTTTTTTTTTTACAATATTGGTTCAATGGGAGATCAACTCTATTGATGAGTAGTTAAATGGTGATTCGATCATCTGAGAGACCTTTAGCCAGGACAGATTAGTGTGCACAGTTTTAGATACATGACAATAATTTTTTTTTTGAGTAAATTGCTTTTTTTTACTTTTAAGAAATGTTTTGTTAAAATAAAAAGTACAGTATACAGCTATATTTTGACATTGTGGCTTTTGGACAGTGTGGTCGGAGATAAATTTGGTAAATCATTTTGAGCTCTGAAAAGTCATGTGAAATAAAAACTAATTGCAATAACACTATCAAACCAAAACCCATTTGCACATGCTCATTGAGGAAACTCATACACAACACACAAAAAGTGAAATGAACGAGGAGGCAAAGGGACATAACGCAAAATCTGAAATATTTTAGCTTGTCAAAGTCAAATTTATGCATATAAAATGTGTTTTCCCAACAACAAAATTATGGCTAGTGAAAACACAGAGCGGCTAGTACTGTTGGAAAACTACTGGCCAAAGTGGCCGGTGATCAAAAAAGTTAATGTCAAGCCCTGATCCTATTACAATAACAAAAAGATTATTACATTCACATTGGTCATGGCATGGTTTTAACAGATGCACATGAAACAATATAATTACATACATTCAGTAAACATAAAACTAGTAGTAAAATTGTCCACATGGGCCATGAGCTTTTGATTGCAATGCATGGTTGAATCATTATATTGAAAGACAATCAATTCACAAAAATTGAAAAGTGCCATCAATGGGTATTATAAAAACTGATGGTCAAATACATGGTTTTATGAAGTTTGACACTCCAGATTTGGGTCAATTCAACCAATTAAATGTTATGCTACATGCTGCATATCAAATTGCTATACCTCCAGATTCCAATGCATAGTCCACCATACCAATGCGGTCTTCAGAGTAGAGCTTTATTGCATTGGTGACAATCAGCTGTACATGCTGTAGGGACACAAAACAAAAACAGAATTGCATACATCTGACTACATTGAATTACTTGCTATTTTATGAAATCTTTTTTTAAAGACTTACTTCCTCAGAGAGGCCTGCCTCCCCTGCCGCATTTAGTACAGTTTTGGTGATCGTCTCTTTAGAAGGTAACTGACCCTCTTCTACCTGAAGGGACAGGTTGCCCAGAATGCTGCTCTCCAATGCACTGAGTGAGGTCTGCAGTTCAGAGGTGCTCACAAAGTGATCTGAGATCCACTGCAGGAGAGATTCTGGAAGCTCAAGCTCTGCTGCTCCAACATCATTGCCATAAAACAAAGATTTGATTTCCTCCTTCACCTGTGCAGACACCTGAAAGGCAGCCAAGCTGAGGGTTATGACTTGTAAACATGTGGGGGAAATCTGCCTTTTTGTATAATTAACTTGGTTGTTATCTTATTGCAAGCATGAAGACTGTTGCCTCAAGAGGACAATAAAGAAACGCTTAAAAACAAGCAAAGCTTTCAGCTGGTGGAAGGCTAAATCAAACCTTGTTGCCCTATGTTATTGTGACACTTTGTTGTGGTTGAGTGACCAGCAACCAACACATCTACCTACTTGCTGGAGGACAAATGTGCTGTAGTGAGTTGTAAAACATGACCAGTTACCAGCGCTATTGATCTTGACACGCAAGACTAAAGTAAAAAAGGAAATCAGCATATATTCATACTAAACTGACCCATATGAAATCCTCTAGGCCAGGATTATCTGAACAGATGATTGATGTAGAAGTGTTACAGAAGATAACATTAGAGAAACTTGTTTAATAGTTGAAGGAAACAAAAGAAAAAAAAATAACTGGATGCCTCACAGATGGGCAGGTACCAGGCAACACTGATCATAAAAAAAAAAAAAAAAAAAAAAAAGGTATATCTAATTTTTGGTCTTATAGGGAAAAAATATATACATTCAATAATTTGATGAAATGTGTGAATGAATGTATACTACAATTACAATTAATATAATTATCAACTAACTCTAGAGTCCATTTAGTCGACCAAATTCTTGTGAAATTTAGTTGAGAAGACTAAAAGTTAAGACTAAAACTAAAATCAAAATTTGCTTGCAAAATGAACACTGGTGAAGGTGACAGGTTTTGGAACATGCAACACACTACTCAGAGGCTCTCAAATCACACCATTACAACACCAAGGGTTGTCCACTCCTACATCCGGCTGTTCTCGAGAGACTGTATGCCAGAGGAGAACTGACGGATAACTTCATATCATGACTGAAGGGCAGCTGAATCAGCAGTTGGGCATCACTGTGCCCTCAGAACAACTCCATACCACCAGTAGGCACAAATTGTTCAAAAGGTTGAACCAGACTCTCAAGAGCATGCCAAGAAAATTTGAGATGGGCACGAGCAGAGATTGGAATAAGTGGATTCTTTTTTAGTCTCTTTGCTTATAGAGAAGTCTCACAGACATCGATGGGATTCTACAAGTTAAAAAGGAAAATACAAGAACCCCTAGGGCTGCAGAGAAAAAAAAAAAGGTAGGAGGAGTGTGCTACACCCAAGACCAAAGAGAGAGTTATTTATATGATACATACGGAAGGGATCAGTATTGGGCTCAGACAAGCGAAAACCTTAAAGAAAATCAACAGGCACAGAAAAGATGGTATGATCGGTTTAAAAAAATGAGGAGGTTTGAACCAGGACAGCAGGCATTACTGTTGCTACCCATCACATAAAATAAGCTGCTGGCAGTCACTTATGAGGTCCATCTTCCAGACAAGGGAGAAAAAAAAATAAATAAAAAATGCCGTAGACCTACCATGTCATCCAGTTAAAGCAGTGGAAGGAACCACCTGTAAAGCAGCCTGAGACAGGGATAATGGTGAAATGTGGAATAGGAAGATGGGTCGGACCAACTGCTCAACCAGTTGCCCCCGCTATTACGCAGATGCTATTTGAGCATTGATGAGGCACACCATCCACCAACTCTGGGACTGTACAACTTCTGGGGGAACTAGTGGAACCGTTAATAACCATTAACAAATGAGTGGAGCAGTCAGTTTATGATTCCACAGGAAGGATCTCCATATCTACATGAACTTTCGCAAGCCAAACTCCCAATCCAAGTTTGGTACTTACCCCAATGCGACAGATGACAAACTGGAGAAGATTGGAAATGTCAGGTCATCACAACCCTTGACCCATAAAAAGGATACTGGCAAATACCACTCAGTCCTGAAAAGCCCACACTTCAGGGTGAAATGTTTCTAAGTTCAAGTAGGTTTCTCTGCTGCATGGGTTAGTCCGGGTTCAGGGAGGTCAATAGGAATAACTGTCTACCTTATAAGCAAGCTTCTGCCGAGGGAGATTTGCTATTCAGCAATGGAGGAAAGAGGCCTTGTCATCAAGTGGGCCTTAAAAATCTTATTGTAATACCTCATGGGGATGAATTCATTCAATAATGGGCCCTATACCTCTCTCCTGTTTTTTGTTGTTGTGTTGTTCAAGTGCAAACAAAAACAAACATGAATACCAAAACATCTGGAATTGCAATAATTTTCTGAAAGTGTTGCATTTTCTGATAGAATTTAATGGGTGCCGATATTTTTGGCCATGACTGGTGTTAATAGTGTGTCATTTTTCAAAATGATTTAAGTGTGAATATTTATGAGTGAGCAAATATAAATTTTTGGTTGAGCCATTCCTTTAACAATATTAATAATTAAACACTCAAAGGTTTAGAAAAGTGAAAAACTTACAGCACATTTAAAGCATAAAAATACCATAATGTCTGCAGATATTTAAGAAACATGCTAAGAGAACATTCTTGTTTATTGAAAAAACAAAAGTCAGATAGGATGCTTTGAAAATGTGCATTCCGTGGTAGAATGTCTGTCTTTGTTTTGGTCCCTTTAACCCACCCAAATGCCAGTTAACCCAATTATATTTGAGCACTCTGAAGCAAATCACATATTTGATTCAATGAGACACAGATTCAGAGTTCCACATGAGGTGGTTATTGATTAGCAAATAATATAAATAATAAAAAGGTAAAACAGTTGAGCAGGTTACATCGTAACCCTGTGTCCTAACAACACGCTACGTGACCAGATTTACAGTGAAGAAGCAATTTGGCTGTTTGCACCAGGCGGAACATTACAAATGTAAAAAAAACAGCCATTTAGAAGTACAGAATATGTGTACTTAGTACTGCCTTCAACAAAATGGTAATGTTTATAATTTAATTAATACATATTAAACGTCTTTAACATTATTAAATGTAGATGCTGAATCACTAATATGTGTTGGCTTTCACTGAGTCACAGTTTTAATGTTCGATTTCAAAAGGTTAATTTTATTTTCAAACTGACATTAGCATTTAACACGGATTAAAGCACATGGGACGGTCAACGTCATAGTTTTCTGTTGTTCAGCTGTAAGAAATAGAAGGTTTCTAAAATATAAATTTTATATTTAAAATATATTTAAATATTAAAATATATATTAAATGTATGTAAATATATCAAAATATAAAATTGCTGTAGCCTTCATTTAAAACACACTTTAAATCAGCCTTTAGGCACGATAGTCAGGCACACTCCTGATGATTTCATCAATCTGGCAACCTGTGCTTACATGAAGTTGTCAGAGGAGGGGCAGAGTAAAATTATTTGGAACCAGGAGTGCAATACCTACAGTAGTTCAACCACTGGGTTTAAAATGTATTGTACTCCACATTTAAAACCACTTGAAGTGCTTTATTCTGTTAAACATTAATAATTTATTGAAGAAAGCTGACAACCTGTAACCATTAACTTCCATAGTAGGAAAAATAAATACTAAGGAAGTCAATAGTAACAGGTTTCCAGCTTTCGCATTTAACAGAAAAAAATGAAATCCAGTTTTAGATTCACTTGTTTCCTGACTTGAATTTGTTATCAGTTTATAGTTTTTGTTGCTCATGCAATTCCATGTTTATTCAGTTTCGGATCAAGTAACAGAAAAGTAAAACGAAACCAAAACAAAGTAAACCCTCCCTCCCCTCCTTTTCATAAAAAAATGCATGTATTACTGGCATCAAACCTACATGGAATTATTGGGATTTAAAATCATTTCACTTAATTATAAATCATAAGCCCTGATCAAAAAAAAAAAAGAAAAAACTTATTATTAATTTAGCATATTTCTGTTTCTTCACTAGGTGGCAGAGAAGTAAAAAATGCAGCAAGTAAAAGGTTTGAAAGTCAAAATTCAGTTTATTTTCTCACTCGAGTTTGTCAGTTTATAGTTATTGTTGTTCATACACTTTCACGTTTATCAAAGTGCAGTCCTAAAAATGAGAACTATGACAATGAATGTTTTTAAATCATATGTTTTTTAGAAACTAGTTTAGCTAAAACATTTTTTTTAAAAGTATATTGTAAGTAAATATATATGCAAGTAATTTATGAATAATATTATGTGCAATGTCCATAAGCCACATGTGATCAGGGTCAAGTGTCCTTTAGATGTTTTTTTTTAAACCGTTTTTTTCCCCTTGATCACTAATGACTAGGCCCACACGGAATCTGCGCGCACAGAATTCCGCAGATTTTCCACAGAATTCTGCTTATTTTTTAGCCCATCATTAATTCTGTGTATTATTTGAGTAAATGTGTAAATCTGATTTTATTAAGTTTTTATTCAGTAATTTATTACTTTTTATTTCATATATTAAGGTTTTAGTTATGATACTCCGCTGGATACTCCCAAAATAATTCAGCAGAAATCCGCAGATTTTTACCAAAATTCTCCGCAGAAATAGCAAAAAACGTCCGCAGATTCCATCTGGCCCTGCTAATGACCTGAATGCAATGATATTAAAATCTTAGTCAAATCAAGAGGAGAATGGTTTACTTACTGAGCCTGAGAAAGAGTCCAGTTGCTCACATTTGTCTCTGCATTTCATCAGCCCCTGTACATCATCTCTGATCCTCTCCAAAGCATCCTCTAGGCGCCTTACCTCTACCAGAAGAGCCTCAGCAGCGCTGCTCTCAGCTTCCTCGCTGATGAGAAAAAAAAAACGCATTACTACAGCTGTTTACTTTAAAAGACCAAAAATATTATTGAGCGAGAATTTAATATTCACAAGATAACTGTAATGACCTTTGAGGATCAGGGCTAGGCGCCTCTGCCTCAGGAACCTTTCTGAGTGTGGGCTCTTGTTTTCTCTGCAGCTCCTAAATAAAATAAATAAATGTATATGCTTAAACATGTCAAACTTGATACATTTATATTAAATGACCAACTTTTGTGTCTGACATTTTAGAGTCTTACCTCAGTTTTGCGTGCAAGTGTCTGGAGTAAAGCCTCAGCTTCAGCGAGTCGAGTGTTCTCTGACTGACGCTCTTCTGCATGCTTTTCCTGACGCTACACAGAGGTAGAAACATTAGGTCTGGAACCAACAAATTACTTTGCACAATGGATCTTAAGAATATGAATAACCTGAATAATTTATATCAATAAAAACAGATACTGCATAATGTACAGCTGGAAATAAGCATCTTCACAAATGCTGACCATTCAAGAATAAGCTGTATACCAGTAACTTAATGAAAAATACAGAAATATCCATGCCCTACTGTTTAATGTTTTGGGCTAGAAAAAAAAGATTTAGGGATTCTATTATTAATAAATTGATTTTATCATTAATAAAGAATGTCCTAACAATCATTTATGCCCAAAAGTTCAATTTAAAAAAAGTTTGTATATCTGCAACACTGTGGCTGAACAGCATAAAGAGAACCACCACCTCAGGTGATGATTATGTGCTTTATTTAGTGTTGAAGGCTACCAGCAAAGTGTCTGAATACCATTTTGGGTTAGATCTATTGCAACAGACACTGACAGAAAAAAAAGAGTTTTTTATTTTTTTTAGTTATTTAATGAGAGAAATGATGTTACCTGCTGTGTGTACTTGACCTCTTTCTGTACTTCTCCTTTTAGTAGGCTGAATCTCTCCTCCAACATATCTCCAATCCATTTGCCCAGACTCTCTCTGTCAGTGTATCCGTGAATCTCTGAGCGCAGGGTGTTATACAGACTGAGCATTTCAGTGTGCTGCTCTTCCTGCCTGAGCAAACCTCCAGCCACTCGATCCCACAGCTGAGACACGCTCTCCTCCAAGCGCATCAGCCTCTCTGCCTCTACTGAAGACACCACTGATGGCCTCTAGGAGGAGCAAGACATAGGGAAAGCATCCATTACGAACAATGTGGTTCCCACTTGTATGACAGATTGTCTGGGTTGGTATTGCAAATTATAGTACAACACCCTGGTAATAAACCACCAGAGATTTTTCCTGTTAATTTTACAGACGTAATACTCTGAAACAATATATTGTATAAGAAATCATATTTAAACTTCTAAAATATCAAAAAAGTCACTTTGTTATTCTGCAGAGTTGAATTTTTGACATCTTGATCTCTGCTCTGATCTATTGGTCACAAATTGAAAGTGATAACCATCAATGAACAAATTATCCATCAATTAAGAAATCTGTTGATGTGTTTTTACAGTGCTGCTAGGACACATAAACAAGTGCTCATCTGGTGTGAGACACTAACTTGCCATTGATAACAGAATTACGACAAAACTAGCCATAGACAGTATTTTAACTGGTTCAGTATGGCGACTGCATTTGATTGGTGGCTGCCAAGCAGGAAAGGAAAACAACGGCAGTGAAAAAAACAGCCTAACAATTACAAATAGGCAAAACTACGGTGGCCGAGAGAGCTTAACACGCTGCAATTCAAGAAAACACATGCAACTACAATAAAACAACAGCAAATAAAGAAACTATCTTCATCAATTTGACAGCACACGTGTTGCAAATTGGTCACAGCACAAACAACTGAAGAAAAGTGCTGCAAATCGGTCACAACAACTTAAGCAAACAACTTGCAAATATGCACATAACACCACGGAAATGTTTCAAAAACATGACAGACCCTGCTGAGATATGGATGTGTTTTTTTTTATATATCATGCATTCAGGATTTTAAAATGAATGAAAAACAACTCCGCCCCCCCCTTTCAAAAACAACCAGTCACTTCACTGATCAACAGTAATGACATGATAATACATCCATATCTCAGCCCATCATGGTTTTGGGTCCCCTAGAAACAATTTCGTTGTGTTATGTGCATAAGTGTTGTGACCGATTTGCTGTGCGTTTCTTCAGTAGTTTGTGTTGTGACCAATTTGCAACACGTGTGCTGTCAAAATGATGACGAGATTCTTTATTAGCTGGCGTTGTTGTGTAATTGCATGTGCTTTCTTAAATTGCAGATCGTTAAACTCTCTCGGTCATCGCACAAAACACTTAAACATGAAAAAAAAAAAAAAACATGGTACAGGAAAAATGCATTAGAAAACGGGAAACAATTATTATAAATTGCTGATATTCAATGACTTGTACAAAAACAAATCCTAAATTCCTTGAATTTCAATATCTGGAATAAACCTTTTAAAACACCACTATACTACAGAACATTTTGTGACTGAGGAAACCCTGACTTAAGTTTAGCATGTGCAGAAGAAATATACATAAACCATTGTGTTATTAGAGAAATGCATTAAATATTTGCTTATTTATACAGTATGTTCTAAACAAATTGATTTTATCCCCACTGAGGTACTTCTAATCAGGCAAAAGTATTGGATAATATTACATTTTTAAATGTTATCAATGGTTTACTACTAAATATATTCGTATTAGTTGTAATACAATGATTAGATACTAAAAGGCTTTTAAGTAATTGACAACAGAAAGCCTCCTTGTTTAAAATCCTTGCGTAAAATCTATTCTATGACTTATATACACAAGCCAATTAACATCATATTACTTTTTATTTAATTGAAGTTATAATTGCAATATTACCCTTATATAGTCCCACTCAACCAGTCATCCAGCCTAATTTAGAAGCTGGAAAGTTAAATACTACCTGAGAGTCTGTGTCAGCTGTAGTTTGTCCCTCATCTAAGCCACCCATAGAGGATGTTGGAGGACTGAGGTGGGAGTTGTCCCTCATCATACTAGTTGCAGGCAGCATGGCTATCAGTCCAGATGGCCCCCAGTAGTATAGAGCTATAAACAACAGCACAGAAAAATAAAAGTAAAAATAAGAATACAGGATTTCTTTTCCATTTAGACAAGATTACTCATGAAGAGTGCACTCACCGAGGAACAGAAGTAAAGGTACAAGAAACAGGACTTTTGAAAGCATAGGGAGACACCTAAAGAGAGGATGAAGACAGGTTATATTTAATCACAAGTATTTCAGACTTGCAATGAATGACTCCCTTTTATTAAACCACATGGAACTCTGACAGGTAAAGATTTAATGCGAAAACAATTCAAAACTCACGTTGTAAAGAGATTGACTAGCCACAAGATGCTATTTGAAGCTGCCTTCCCTGGAAAACAAAACACATATAGAGATGAATATTAATAAAAACTGACTGTGATCAATAAAAACATTTAAGGGCACAATGCAGAGTTAGGGTATATAAAGGTCACAAACAAGATCGTACACACACAAACAGTTGCAGAAAAGCTGGCAAATGCACAGATTAAGAGACAGGACCCCTAAAACTCTAGTTAAGACCACAGCACCCAGAAGAACAATTTTCCATATTTTAAAATAAAACATTTATTTGTAGTTACTTAAAACGATCCCCAATGTATTGCATTTGGCAAGTCCACCTTTTGTTTTAAAAGTCCTTGAATGAAGAATAACATTTTATGCTAAAATGCTTTAACCTACATAACTTTGAGAATGCCCAATAATTGAAATGAAAGGTTGAGGCCCTTTAAAGTTCCTTTGGAGTTGAAACCTAACTCTCTGCATGTGCAGCAATGCACCACTTCTCATTTCACATGCAAAGAAGAGGTTTACATAAATGTCTTACAAAGGCACAACAGCAAATGGGTTTTTATAAGGATAAGGATTGATTACAAAAATACATTTAAAATACTATCTGGATGAATGATCTCATTTAATGCCACGGTTTTGCTTATATCAGACTAGACTTCAATAGCACAGCACACTGAACATTCATTCATTTCCAATGTACTTCCAATGTACTTTATGCAAATTTGTCATTTGAAAAGAGTCCTATAATACCTTGAAAAAGTCTTGATAATGACTGAGCACGTTTTCAAGATTGATCATTTAAAAAACACTGTAGCACCTCATCATTCTGACTTAAATCCTATTGGAAATAATTCCTCTTGAAATATGGTCTAATTGGTTAGCTGGCTTACACTTGGTGAACAATTAGGATAAGTTCCAGAAATATAACAGCCCTTAGAATAACCACAAGTTTCATCTGCTCAATTGTAAATATTAACAATGGCTACAAATTCAGCCTATCAATAAAAACCTGACTTTGATTTATGAGCGTGAGAAAACTGCTGTGTATTGTCAAATCTCACAACAGTCTGTCTTCTAAATTACCTGAAAAAGGGGACTAAATTGACTTAATCTCTTTTTTGACATTGCCAGTGAGCAAAACTTATGTAGACAATGGACTTTATGAAGCAAAGGCACAATAGGACCGTTTTATAGCCATCTCAGATTATTCATCCCACTGTAATGTGTAAAGACTACTCCAAGACTACGGTTTGGTAATCTTTGTCCTTCTAAGGCTGTTTCTCAATTCAAAGAACGCAGAGAACGGACTTGCATTCTTGTGAAGAGCGGTCATGCTAGGTCACCTCGGAAGAACGAACTCAGGAGACTGCGAGAACAGGGAACGCGTCCTGTGAGAAATGAGATGCTGCGTTGTTCATGATGGTCACATGACTATCACACATCCGAAACAATAATTTAAACATTACAGCAATTTCATTCAGTTCATTCAGTTTGTGCTGAAATTTTCAAAAATTCATACAATAATAATTGATTGTTTTTCCCCTTTTAACAATATATACTTTGCATAAAGACTTTACAAATATACGTTGCACAATACAAATAAAAGACGAATTTCAGCAGATAAACACCCTTAATGTGTTCCCACCTTTATTAAGATTTTCATGGTAATGTTTATATTCATTGTTTCATTTGAGGAACTCCTGAGACAAATAATTTACATATCTGAACTTAAATAATAAACCTATATAAAATGCTGCGCTTCCCACATCCAGTCGAAATGACTTCTAGAGCGAATTCAATGCACAAGTCTACATCCATGCCTCCGAGATATCAATAACACATCTGTGAAGTTTCACGCGTCCTCTGTTCTCGCGGTCTTTAGGACTGTAACTGAACTTTGGCAGTTGATGATGATGTTACATGAGAACATAAGGACGCAACATCGCTGAAGGACGCAGCCACTTTATTCTCTTTATACCACGAAAAGTAAGGAAAGGGAAAAGCAAAAGCAATGCAAAAAGCAAAAGAAAGGGCAAAGAAAATAAGTTTCAGCAGTAGTAGTACATAACTGACAAATCAATATTATCCTTTGATGTGAAAATCTATATACTATAAAAGGACACCAGGGGTCCGTTCTTCGTACCTCGCTTAAATGATCTAAGATGATTTGGCAGATCCTGGATCTTTTAATCTTGATAACTGATCTCTCGCTTATTTGGTTCTTCAAACAAGTTCGCGAATCAGATTAGAATGTCTGGATGAACTGATCTGAGATCGCTGCGTGTGTTGTGAAGGACTGATCTATCGATCCTCGAAATCATGATCAGCAATGCAACGATTGGCTGACGGCATAGCAGCGTAATGACATCATCTGATTAATATTCAATTATCCATGTGAGCAAAATTACATCAAATTAGCAGTAAACGGCTTGTTAAATATGACACGCAGTAACTTCACATTTGTTGTGAGCTGCAGGCTTTACACTTTCATTTGTCAAGACAAGAGTATTCATCATGTATTTCAATGCAAATCAATGTATTTAGTTCTACATTTAGAAAAGATTTTCTTTATTATAGTACAGTTTTTTAATCAGTGTAAAGAATAACTGGTTGTTTCCAAAAGCATTTTGATATTGGTAAAGGCGTCTGCAACTTTTGTGAAGCATCAAATCACTGGCATATTAACTGTCAAAACATGTTTATGACTGCATAAATGTATTATTGCTTTTAAAAAAGTCACATATTGTGCATTTCTATTATACACAATTTGTACTAAGCGATCTAAAAAGTTCATATCAATAAATTTTCTCTTTGCACCACCAGGTGGCAGTCTTTGTACTTTCATTTCGAGGGTGCAGATTGCATACGTTTTATTAATATGTAAAACTTTATTTTTTTTTATTAATGACTATAACTTTAATTATATAGTTAAAAACTACTATTTTCCCAAGTGTATATAACTTTTACTGTAAGAAAATATCAGAATTCGAAACATACTTTCTGTATTAACTTTGCTTGAACTGAGCCGATCTAATCCTGTTTATATGAATTGAACCTGCTCCCGATCAGGTTTGACCTAGCAGATCTGTTGCCATGACAACAACTCTCGGATCAGCTTTGAAGAACGAAACGATCCTGGATCGTGTCAAATCGTCAATATCCAAATGCAGCTAACTGAGTAATCCATGTACGAAGAACGGACCCCAGGTATGTAGACAAGAATGGTATTCTCAAATAGAACCAAAGCATCAGGTCCTGGGAAAGATTGAGAAGCAAAAGGAAGCAAACGTTGGCCACACAAGGCTGTGAAAGCTCTTCATTAGGACTAACCCATACCAGGCAGGGAATACAACGCAGGGGAAAAAGCTCATAGCAACATTACTTAGCCTGGAAACCATTTTCAAAAATGGGAAGCTCTTGGAAGGCCAGAAACTTATAGAAAGTAGTGATCAAAACATAACCTGGAAAAAGTATAAGCCCCCATAAGATCCCTACAGGCTTCTGTTCCTGGGAAAACGATTTGTCCATAGCAAAATTCTGCTTCCTTTTGCAATCATCACCTGTTAGAATCAAGTGTATAGTTGGAAAAAAAAAAAGTAATAATAGATGGGCTAAGACTCAAACTCCTATAGCCCTTCTGTATTTTCCTGACACTTTTTAAACATAATTTCATCTGCAAAAATTGCTACAAAAGTACAGGTTCAATGATTAATAAATCAAATTCTGGTTTTATCACAAACTCTGACTAGTTTAATTGCTGCCATTAAAAGCTCATCAGTTTACTATTATCCAATGCATAGGAGCATAATATCTCTTGGCAGATGGCTATATATGCATATTATTCATTTAGACAATCAATCAAATACAGATCCTTTACACCTGCATATAAAAAGCCGTTAACCATCTACCGAAATATGTTCTCAATATTATGACCATCCCAGGATGAATTATAAGACTGCCTTATCAACTGATATGCAATACAGCCTCTGATACTGAAATCATTTGTAAACATCATAATCATGCCAAAGATCATCACACAAACAAATGACAAAACAATAGTGTCCATTCAAAATGCAGAAAAAAAAAATTGCTGTACTTAAGATGATCAATTTCTGGGGTTTAAATTAATTGTGTGGACAGACAACATTTTATCTTCAGCAGAGAACAAAAATATAAATATCTTGTAGTCGGAAAAGTGTACTTACACAGTACGCCGCTAAACTTTGGTTGCTCCTTTTGAAGCACCACCTCTTTAACACTCATAGTGCTGATGTACTTCTGATTGCCTACAACAGATCAAAAAGAGAATAAACATCAGATAAAACCCAAGTGCCTCTCGCAATTCTGGACCAGTGTCTGTCCATTCCTCCAATCAGAGCTCTGAACAGACAGACTCAAACAAAACAAGATTTGCATGTAACCAAGGCAGTGCTCCTGGTGGAGAGGTGCATTTGTTTATGCAGTGTAATCATGTTTCGCAGAAACATCTGCAAGAGAAGAAATGATTAAGATTATAGTCAAACACCAAAGAAACCATGCTGCTGATAAAGCCACCTGTTAAAAAAAGGGTTTAGAAATGGTTTCTGTATATTAAGCTCTAAGGTGTCTTTGGACGCTTGATGATGGGTCAAAGACCACAGAAGCCACTTCTGAGACAGACTTTAAAGGGAGCGAGTAAAGAAAGTGAATAAAGATAAGTGCTCAAATGCAAATCTGGAGAGAAAGAAAAGTAGTTATTGTGATTCCGTCGCCTTGAACAAAAACTGATTTTAAGCCTTGTAAATGATTAAAAATGGGACTTTTCCCTTTTCATTTGCATTTTTTGCTCAGTTCATTTTTAGGCCCACAGCAGTGCTTTTTATTAAAGTGCTCTAGATATTTCATTCACTAATAGTGGAAGAGTGATGGTCCTTTTCACCAATCCTACCAACGTGAACAGAGTAATGGTGAGGATTCAGCATGCTTTAAAACACTTTCCTTGATGTTCGCTTCAATGCTGCAGGTGATGCGAAAGACACTTCTCCTTCAGAGTGTTATAATTAAATGTGCTAACATGACACGGTGATGAAAACCACTTACTAACCTGGTTTATGCACAGTTATATCCTTTATTGAAACTTCAATTTCAAGACGACGGAACACTGGTAAACCCAGTAACTTTCGCATGAACCCTGCAAGGATACCAGAGATGGCCTGTTTACACCAGAGTGCCTTCATTTCATGTGCTTTGAGGGCCAATTTTTTAACTTAAAAATAAAAAAAAAAGAGGCACATATTTTCCTGTTGTAGCCACAAATACATTAGCCAATGATTGAGAAACAATCATGCATTAATTGTTTGCTGAATAACACAAAGATGCCAGAGAAGAGCTTAACTGATGACCAGTGATGTTGAAAAGTACTAATTACACTTTTTACATACAGTAATATATTACACTTATAATACTTAGTCAAAAATGATTTAAATTTGATTTAAACATGGCCTTTAAAATATCTATGTAATAAATTTAGATAAACTAAACACCAACCAAAATATTCTTTAGTGAAAAAGGAAAAACAAACCTGCACCAAACAATGAACCGATCACAATCGTCTGACAAAATGTAAACTTTGACTGAAACAGAATATTATCATGAACTAATTTGATTGAGTGTATGGTTTCTAAAGCATGGGTAACTGTCTTTAGTTGAAAAATGAAAATATACTGCTAAATATCTGGATTATAACTATAATATTAATAATAAAAAAATTAAAATGCTTATTAAATAATAATAATAGTAATAATAATAATAAATTCTGCTTCTCTGAATTGCTTTACATAGTAATGTTGTTCTACTTACAAGTAACTAATTATATTTCCTACAAAATGAACAGTAAGCTCAGACTTTAATAATTTCCTCTAAGTAAGTTACATTAACCCACTTACTTTGAAAGGTATTACACCCAACACTGCTGACGACACAAATGTTTTTCAATATCAATTATATGAAACCAGAACAAAACAGATCCAAAATACACTATATGATGTTTTTTAAGAGTGACATGAGTAAAATGTACTGTAGTGAAGCCTTTTCTGGCTGTTTGTAGAGTGTGCACAAAGGTTATATTGGTTTGTGAACAAAACAGGCACCAGAAGACAAAGACAACAATACCTCTCTTAGCACACCAACAGGCGGCTTTCATTTGCCGCACAGACATGAGTGTCTTCCTCAGAAATGTGGCTGCAGAGTGAGCAATTCCCTTAGCCACTCGCACACACCAGAGCGACACCGATAACACCAGACCTGGGGAAATATGGACTAATAAATGAACACGTATAATTTGATGGTTAGAGATCTCTGAATCTTGAAGCACTCTGGAGAGACAATGAAAAGAGACAATGAGGGACAGAGGCTGCTTTGCATGCATGCAGTGAGTAGCTCAGTTCCAGTATATGAATGAAAACAATTAGCTATACAAACTAGTTCACATGTAGTTGCATTCATAAATGGCGATGTTCAAAATGCATAGCAACTTCTGCTTGACTCTTTAAAAGGTTAGTTCACTCAGAAGTGGAAATGATGTCATTTATTACTCGCCCTCAAAAACAACAACTTTATTTAACAGTATTTAAAATCAAACGATTCTTCAGTATATAGGCTGCTGCTGACACATTACCTCAGATGTGTGTGTCTGTGCTTTAAATCACAGGGTTGCACATGCAGGCATCTGGGGTAGACATCAGTGCATTTAGCTCATGAACGAGCGCTCTATACTGACTGAAGAGAAGAAACTGTTGAATATAGTAGTTAAGGTAGGAGTTTTTGCTTCACATGCATACAAACGTATTCTCGTAACTTTATAATATCCTGATTGAACCACTGAATGTTTTTTTGGCTGGACTTTGATCAAGCAGGAACTGTTGCAACGTATGGAGGATAAGGGAGCTCTCAAAATTTATCCAAATCATTTTGATCAATGAAGGTCTCGGGGGCTTGAAACAACATGAATAATTAACAGCTTACCATTTTTGGGTTAACTAAACCCTTTAAGCCCCCTTGGTACAGACATGTCAATACAAAAATGTGTGTACTACTGCTGACTTTAGTTCAGGCATGCCCAAATGCCATAATATTTTACAATACATTTATCAGAACTTAATAGTCATCGTGTTTATGCTTCCATCTATTGATAAAAAAAAAACTGAGCTGGACACTCTGCATGCTGCTAGTTGCAGATCATCTGCTTGTGCCTTAAAGAGAAAGAGTGCACAGGGTAAAGATTAGACAAGAGCTTCCCATCTTTTATATCTGGCCCTCAGTGATGCCACTACTAAAGTGAAGAAAGCATGGGATTTGCCTCCAGTGGTAAACTTAAAACCAACTTGAATTAGAAACCCGAAGAGTTAGTGACATGTTCTGACAATTAAAAGGTTCCATGTGCAAGACTGATAACCATGCAAAGAGGAGCACTATGGACATGAGATGGGGAAGGTTAGACTGAGGTTGATACCTTTGAGCAGAGTCACTTGTATCAGCAGTGTGCATATGTACACTACAAGTGCAATAATTCTTCTGCTGAAATGAAGGCACATCTCAGACAACCTCCTCAGTACACCTGCAGACACATTTAAGTCAATCCTGCTTGTTCCGATCATCTTCACTTCTCACTGAAAATAATCTTTTATTTTGGAGGAACACATCCCACTGAAAACAGCATCTTGATGCAATTTGCCTGACATGAATGGAAATGGGATCATTCACTACAGCTGTATGTGCATTATCAAATTCTCTCACCTGGTTTATGTTTGCGATTCTTGTCCCTGCAGTAAACTGTTGTGGCGGTGCTGGGAGCTTCTGTTAAAGATGCCTGATGTACAGCTGTATTATTAAGGGAGCTGTCGTTCTTGGTGGGAGACGGGATGGGATGGTCTTTAGAGATGTAGCCATTCTGTGTTGTGGAGGTCTGCATCTTGGCTTCCATTGTGATGAGTTGTGAAACGATTGGTTGGTCTGAAAAAATAAAAATATATATAATATATATATATAAACCAATTTCAAAAAGGCCATTTACACCAATTACAATAACTATAAAAGGTAAAAATAAAAATAACTATTATTGTTCGCAGCAGCAAATGACTAGAAATAGATTATGCTTTTATTTTTGCATGACTTCCTTTTAACCAGCAGGTGTCCTCAGTGAGCTACACTTTCAAGCGCACCAGACCAGTGAGTTCAGCTCGTGTAATTAAGTCAAACAAGGAATTTAGCAATTGCGATCAGTATAGGGAAAGAAAATAAAAACGAATAACTTTTCCGCAGCATTTTCAATGAAGGGAAGACAAAAACATCAAAACTATAACAGATAACTGAGGCACATTTTTACATAACATCATTTTAGGTTCCATGTCATTTTTTAACCATTCCCTCCCAATGGAATAACCATTTCTTTCTACAATCAATATCTTTAAACAATCTTTGAAAAGAGGGCTTTTTTACATAACAAGTAGTGTGCTTCTCTAAAATGTATGTACCTTTAATCTGTGCAAGCATTTATATTCAATGTATTCTGACTGGCTCTCTGTGTTTTGCTTATTAGATGCAAGAAATCATTCTGAAAGTGTTTAAAAGATATTGTTTTTCTACAAATTTATCATTACAGTTGTGGTTATGCTGTTGGTTTACATTCAGGGCACTTTAAAACTGATGTCTTTATCACTACCTTATAGACATAATGCTTGATTTAAATGGGCCTTGACACCTTAAAATCAATTTTAAAATGAAAATGTATCTTAGTGTCTTTCTGTACCGCTATCCATCTACCTATGCATCCCTTTCTTTACATCCTCGCTCCCATTCATCCTTGAATATTTCTGACCATTTTCCAACCCTCTTCCTGAACGCACACCACCAGCACATATCTTCCAAGTCTTTATATTAAAGGACCTGAATCAACTTATCAATTTGTTGGCGGTGTTCCAAGTTCCAAGACTATAGACATATGTTTTCTGGGTGTGGGAGGGATTCAAAATGTGCACTGCCGATGTGCCTCTAGGACCACTGTTTTTTCTATATATTTATCCATTCAACTATCATTATCCATACACTTATCTTTAGCCATCACATCCATCCCTGTATCTCAATTACTAATCCAGCAGTGCTCAACCCTGTTGCTGGAGATCTACCATCCTTTCCTACAAAGTTAAGCTCCAACAATGACCTAACACAGCTGAACCAATTACTTAGAATCTGAACAGTACATAATAATTACAGATTGTGTTTGTTATGGGTAGCAACTGAAATCTGCAGGAAGGTAGATCTCCAGGATAAGGGTTGGTCACACCTGTACTAACCCATCTTTCTATACATTCTTTAATTTTTAAAAGTCATTTATCTACACCAGTGGTCACCAAACTTGTTCCTTGAGGGCCGGTGTCCAGCAGATTTTAGCTCCAGCCCTAATCAAACACACCTGAACAAGCTAATCAAGCTCTTACTTGGTATACTTAAATCACCCAGGCAGGTGTGTTGAAGCAAGTTGGAGCTAAACCCTGCAGGGACACCGGCCCTCCAGGACCGAGATTGGTGACCCCTGATCTACACATACTTTCGTTTCTCTTCTATCTTTCTATGAATACGTTCATCCCCGTTTCCTTGTGCATCTATCAATTCATCTAAAAACCTCCTAAGACCCATGCAATCATCTTTTCGTCCATTTACCCATTCCTTTAACGACACTTTTGTGTTCCTTTCTACCCATTTACCCCTTAATCCATAGATTTCTCTTCTTCAGTAAACTATTTGATCAAGCATCCATGCATCCCAACCTCATATCCATCCCTGTATCTTTCTATACATCACCTGTCAACTATGGTCTAAGAAAACGAGAATTCAACAATAACTTACCATGGATTTCACGTTCTTCATCCAAACCTAATGCAAAAAAAAAAAACAAATTGGAAAAAAAAAATCAATGCAATCAATTAAGATACAAATGTAAAGAAGATGGGCTAGCACTTACCCCAGAAGCTGTCAACAAGTGTGCGCTCCTGTATGGAGGACTCATCCAGCAGAGAGGACAGCAGAGAGGCATCACTGGGGGCACAGCTGTTCAGGGTGCTGTTATGTGCCTGCAGGACTGATGTTGAGGCAAACCTCGGCGTTTGAAAATTTGGTGCTGACTCTAAAACAGAATGACAAGATCTTCTGCTCTTCAGAGTCCTGTCAGTGAATGAGAAAGAAATTAAGACTTTATTTTGGTTAAAATAAATGTCGATAGGAATTTAAAAAAGAGACAAAAGAAATAAGTGGAATTCTGGAAGTCTTAAAGACAGTCATGAATGAAAAATATATTCCTGATGCTTCCTGAAATTTGCTGAAGAGAAAAGTGACCCTTTTGGAATTTACTAAAGAACATTTGGGTAGAATTTCCAGGCAAATAAACCCAAATGTGTAGGACACTTACCAATTTACTAAACTTAAAATGTACAGCTTTGTAACCAGTTTAATTAACTTTCTTTCACATCGTTAAAAGTAACTTACATTTTCTAAAAAGATTTTAGGATTTATAATGCTCCTAATAGTCTTTTCACTTTACCCTGATGAATTTCATGGGGAAACTCACTTTTCACGGCTGTAGGAGGCGCTGTGGTGGTCAAGCAGGCTGTCGTCCCCATAGTGACTTGCGCTGGTGTGCAGACGGAGACTGCGTCTGGACATCCTTGGTAACTCACAGATGGGCTCAATCCTGAGATCCCTCTCAAAGTCAACGGAAGAGTAGCTGGATCTGAAACACCACACAAATTCCCACACTTAATCTCAAACACCCACTAGAAACCCTGACAAAGGTCTTAAAAATATCTGTTTAATCCTCCTACACCTTGAGAAATGTAATGCCTCTGCACGAATTGTGCACTCAGAGGAAAACAAAAGCCATGACGCATCAAGCCAGCAATAAAAAAATCTAACTAAAGCTGACTGTGCAGTCTGTTTGTCAGTCAAAGTCTAGATGAGCTCGACTACAGAAATGCGACTTATTACCAGCAAGTTTGTGTAGTCTATGCTCTTAATTTAAAAAAAGGAAACAAACCACAAGCCAAAATACACAGAGAAACCTAGACAAATCAAGATAGCTTTATATTGAGCATCTCAATATTGCTGATCACTAGGGCCAGACCAGGGCCGGAGTGGGACTCCTTTTCAGCCCTGGAGTTTCAAGCCTCAGACCGGCCCACCTCAGTTCACGACTGACTATATTAAAATAAGCTCATTTCCAATTCAGTTGCTAATTACACTATCACGTCTTTTTTTTTGAGAAAACAGCTGCTTCAGAACTTCAAATGTTCAACAACCCTAACAGTATTATATATCTTAACAATAAAAATGAAAACAATAAATTACTCTAACGAGGATCGAACCCGGGTCCGCGGAGTCTTAACCGAACGTGCTTACCACTGGACCACAACAGCTGTGAATGTCATGGAGACACATTTAACTTTTATTATCATTAAAATAGATAAAAAGAGAAGAGTTGCGATAAAATAATGAATAAAAAGGCTTTGGTCAAGTAAATAAATAAATGTAAAAAGTGTGACTGCTGAGAGCAACAGATTCTGGAGCTAGGGACACCGGCCCTCGCGGCCAAAAAACCGACCGGCCCACCGGGAATTCTCCCGGTCCTCCCGATTAGCCAATCCGGGCCTGGGCCAGACGGAATCTGCGGACGTTTTTTGCTATTTCTGCTGAGAATTTTGGTAAAAATCTGCATATTTCTACGGAATTATTTTGGGAGTATCATAACTAAAACCATAATATGTGAAATAAAAAATAATATCTTTTTAACTTTTATTTAATGTTTCAAAATTGCAAATCCAATTAGATTCCCTTTATTTGGTAAATCAAGCAAGTTTGTCATATAATATCTCTACTTAAAGACAGACAATATTACTGTACAAACTGCATTGTACATAAATCAGATGAACATTTTCATAATAGTTCATATTTTCATAATAATATTACTGAAATTAATAATAAAAAAAACACTGAATAAATATAGATTTACACACATTTACTCAAGTAAATAAACAGAATTAATGATGGGCTAAAACCCATTTAACCTGCGGAAAGCTGCAGAATTCTGCACGCAAAGATTCCGGGTGGGCCTACTGATCACTTAATTTCAGGTGACTGATGTTATTAAAGTGACAGTGAAAATGCAACATAAGAACAGTTTTCTGTCTGATCTATTTTTGACTCAAGGTTAGGTCCTGTGTAGATTTTGAAACAACATGAAGTGATTCTGTTAATCTTGAAATAACCAGTCAGAATCTTTAAATGTTTAAAAAGACCAAAGATGTGTCCTGGTAGAGTTGAAACATACCTAATCCCCCAAATGAGCAATAGTGATGGCTGACAATTGCTAAAAACAAAAGGATAACAGAGCATAAAAAACTAATTTTATTATTATTATTACTATTTTAAAATCAAGGTTAAGTGTTCTGTAAATCAGTAAACATTAAAAATCCCATTTGGAGTTCAACACAACAGCTGATCAACTAAAAACAGCTGAAGAGCCTAAGCTTGAACACACTACTGTACACACAATTCACAGATTTTATTTTTCTTATAAAGTGCTCACCACTTCAAAACCAATTTCAACGAGGCAGTGCCCCAATAGTTAAAACCAAAAACAAGAGCAACTGCCATCTCTAGGAACAATGCAGTATTCAATTTGGTGAACTTTAGAGCCGTTCTGCTTGTTTGAGGTTTGACAGTGAGACAAAGGCCATTCAGCCAGTAGCTGCTGAGCAAAACGCATGCTAAACAGCAACCTGTAGATGTATAATTAACTTCAGCCTACCGCTGCTACAATTCTAGCCTTAAATCAATACCCAAACAGCACTAGCATTCAGGCTAATGCTTTATATCAATGCAATAAAAAAACAGGTGTAATACACACAGCACTGTCCAGCCCCAGCTCTCCAGATTCCATGTGTCGTCACTAGTCATCCCATGGAAAAATCACATTACTGCACAATCATGCTCCTATGGGCAGAAGGAGCTCTGGACGGATCAAGCGAATTAAGAAGGCTTGCTCTACTTCCTGTGTTCAGCTGTATACGTGACACATGAGCCATTAAACATGCCCTGTCCCTCCCTCATTATTCTCAGGATCTCTGCAGCTATCTTACTCATTTAAAGGTGCTTCACTGCACTGCACTTTGAACATGGAATGAATTGCATCTGTAAAACTGCAAAACCTAGAGAGGAAAAATCAAAGTCAGGTCCAGTTTACACCTGCTATTAATCTCCGGTGATCCAATCACATGTGATAAGCTAAAACACATCACAGTTTAGTTGCATTTTTTTTAAATGATCCAATGCTAGTGTAAGTTTTATTATTATATAGTGCTTATATATTGTGAGAGAGAATTGAGTTTAATGCCATTTCAGCTTCTTTTGCTATGCTATGGCAAAAAATAATATCAAGTTTACCACATTTTATCACTTTTCTATAATTATATAAATATTCTAACAATTAAGTCACCAACAGCAATAAATAAATATACAAGGTAAAACACATAATAATGATAACAATAAAAATAATAATAATAATCATAATAATAATAATAATAATAAACAAGATAAAATTCCCAAACCTTTTTTAAGGTTTGCTTTTGATAAAAACTTAAATATTTTAAAAGGATTCACATTCATTTAAAAAGTCTCTACTGATAAAAATTGTTGTCTGATAACATTAAAAATAGGGCACTCCACAAGAATATGTTTAACAGTTTGGTTTCTTTTGCAATATTGACATTTTGGTGGTTCTTCCCCTTTAAGTAAATGTTCATGTGTGAGCCTCGTGTGTCCAATGCAGCATCTCCTACACTTCTACACAATCTGCTTGTGTAAAAAAAAAAAAAAAAAAAAATTATATATATATATATATATATATATATATATATATATATATATATATATATATATATATATATATATATATATATATATATATATATATATTTATTTATATATTTTCTTGCCATTTCTGGCTGAATTTCTGGCTGAAAGAGCCTTTGCTTCCGCTGTAAAAATTAAGCTTTGATTTGCAATGCGAATGCTGTAGTGTGATTGACCCATTACTACTGCTGCAGAAACATGACTGTCCTTTTTTGATCCATCAGTGTGTATAGGTTTAGGAGTAGGATCCAAATTATGTCAGCAACGTCTTGTTGATATGTGGAAAAGTATCAGCGTTTTTATGCTTTCTCACATCCAGATTTACATGCAACTTATTTAACCTCCATGGTGGAACCAGGCAAATAAGAATCTGGTGAATGAAATCAAGATTTAGATTTAGGTTTATGCGTGTTCTGATCCGTACACCGAATGTTTGAATATAACTATCTTGCCTCATGCACATCCAGATATTGAGGTTGACAGATTGGCTTAAAAGCTGGGTTGTGTTGATTTACTTTATTTTCAATGTACAGAGAGACAATTCCAAGCGCCTAATATGAAGAGGTGGTGAATTCAACAGAATAAAAATTATTTTTTGTTAATAGTCAACCTATTGAATATGTTAATAACTTTAATTACAGTATAAAAAAAAAGGAAAAAGAAGGAAAAATGTTGAGTGCATTGTGTGTAAGGTGCTGTGTACATGAAACATGTTTACATAAAAATAATGGTAATATAAGATTTGGTCTCATCTCATGCACACGCATGCACACTTATTGATGAACACTAGAATTTGCCAGCATTTTCATTAAAAGAAACTGCAGTTTCGAAACTTACTAAATCTATGCACAATTATTGTTTTTCTGTTGTTTTAGGAGATGATTAGATAACTTTAAGTTTTAATACAAAAATGTCCCAATTATAAAGTTTTACATTTCATTATTTATATATATTTTTTTTACTCAAAAGACGCTATTGAGTTCTGTAGCAGACTTTACAAAATACTGTTTAAAATAATTATAAAAATAACAGGAATAAGCAGCAAGTCCCAGCACATGCTCAACCAAAGCATGTACAGAACCATTATTTCAGTATACCATTTCACCCAAACTAGATACATGTCAAAGAACTTTACCTATTTTGTTGTGCACACATATATACTATACATACTCACACTCGGACAATAATGAAATTAAACGCAAGCAAACAGTCTAATCTAACGTTTAAATAAAACATTTGTGAACATAAACACTCAAAATATAGATTAAATAATACTCCTTCATCGTCCAATGTATGCGAAAAACTTATTTTCTTCTTTGGTTAACCAGTACTTAAAATATAAGTGTTACTATGATCAGGTTTGTTTAATCAAAGCTGCAAAATGGGTAAATGAGAGTGGTTTGAAATGCTCTGTTACAGTATAAAAATTTTAAAATGACAAGCAATGGACTAGAGAGAAATGTCAGATATCCACCTTTCTTCACAATAAACAAATGCATTAAAAACGATGTAATTCCAATTTGGAGAACTTCTATTCTAAATTAACAAATCATTTGGAACAGCAAGGTTGTTGCACCACAAAACAATAATCCAATAATACACCATGCTATTTATATTAATGTAACAGCATCACAAGCATATTCGTGGCCACTGTTCTCTGTTTTTTTGTATTCAAAATTACTTTATTTTTTACAGTATATTAATATTTAACACTCATAACACTGCCGAAGAAAGACTTTGAGGTTTTGGGGTTTTTCACGGTCTGATAAAAGTTTTTAAACTTGACCATTCTATATGTACTGTGAGGGGAATGACACCTCATTGTACTCAGTTTTTCAAAATACTAAACAGGGGTGACATCATGGGGCATAGGAAAAAGTTGGATACATTATTTATGGAAAGAGATTAATTTACATTTCAAACCTCTGAACAAGCTAAATCTGCTTGAAATTGTCAATTTGTTGATACAGCAGGTATGACAGGCCACTGTTACACAAGATGCAAATGTGCATAAAAAAGTGATGATAATAATATACTAATCATAATGCATCTTGAGCATGCAGGAATGAACCAATTACTATAAATGAATGCAATGTAAATATTTAGCCAGATATCCTTAAATTATTCTGAATCATGTCAAATAAAGTTAGTGGTTATGCATTTACACACACAATTTGTCTTTATTTTGTAGCACTATAACTGTAGGGTACATGCAACAACTATGGTCATCTTCGCTGTGCTGTTGGCACAACCAAATAATACCTAAAATAGCAGTAGGTGGAGAAGAGAGTAGGTGTTTAATAAATAGTGGTGTATAAGGCTTTGTAACTGATAAATATAACATTTTCTGCCTGAATGCATCAAAGATACATTTCAGCAATAGGAATATGAATCTTATATGCAAAACGATGTTAAAAGCAACCGCGCAGCCTGTCGACCAGCAGCGTGTTTTATTATTATTGCCCGAGCAGGCTTCATGATAATGCGCGCTCTCATACAAACGCAGCGTCACCGCTTCATTTATGGACAAACAGAAAACTTACACAAAGGGATCTTGAGCCCTCCAGCCCCAGAATATTAGTCTTCGACACGCAAAACACCACCAATATCGCCGTTAAACCGCTATAATCCATGCGTGTCCGCCTTTGGCAGCTCAGATACCGCATCATCGAGAGAAAGCAGCTGGATGAACCAATGAGAGTAGCACTAGCCTTCCGCCGCCAAATACAAACACTCATTTCTCTATTCGGACAGACAATATAACATCCAGCATTACATACTGGACACTGAATGACTTTGATTCATAAAATGTTGTTCTCACACCTTGCGCTAATAAAGAACCAAACTGCTAAAAACCTCTGTAGTGTTCGACAAAGAATTTCAGGTAAATATTGACTCGGCAACACCTGTCGGAGCTGACTAGCCAGTTAGCAGTCCAAACATGACTTACCAGAACGTCGTTTATTTTCTCTCAGATGCAGATGTAGAATAACGGAACTGCAGTTTAGGAATAAGGGTTGTTTTTGATCGTTTCTGTTGTTTTAGCGCGATACAGCGCGAACGGTGTAGAGTCGTTTTTCTAATGATCACGCATTCAGGTGGCTATTTAAATATCACGTCACGCACTTGAGCTTGAGTGATGACGTCATATCCGCTAAGTTCAACGTCTAATAAATAAATAAATAAATAAATAAATGGCTCACATTAAGTTTTTTGTATCGAATTTGACTTCTTTATTTCTGCTGTGAAATTGTTGAAAATCAAATAATCTTAGATTTGCATCAATTGTTCTGACACTATGATGTACACTATACTTTGTGTAATTAAATTAATTTATTTTTATTAATCTTTGTTTTGTTTTTTTACTATTGGTATTTTAGTTTTTTTTGTGTTTAATATTTTGTATTGTCTTGTATGTTTGTTTCTGATGGTTATACAATAAAAATAAATAACTAAATAAATGGAGGTTGATATTCCTGGCTGCTCATTTTGTAAAACGGAAGACGAAACCCTGAATCACATATATATTCAGTGTGAAAACACAAAAAGCTTTTGGAATAGCTTAAATCTCCACATAGGTAATTACATCTTCTTCCAGACCCTTTCAATTAGAAGATTTTATTCGTTACTATAAAAGGTAAAATTGATATATCAGAGAACCACATTATTATTTGCAAAATATGGAAAAATATTTTATGGAAATAATTTATTCACATGAAAATATTTTATTCACAAACAAAAAAAAAAAAATCTCAAATCACAGCCTTCTTTTTCACATTTTTTTTTATTGAAATTGGTATTTTTATTAAATCCCTTAAACTGATTAAAAACAAGAGAATTTATAGATTCTTGGATTATTATGATAATTATTTTTGGAAATATCACGGATACATAAGTCTATCTTTCCTCTTGCTGTATTTGTGATACGTGTCTGTTTAATTTGTTTTCGTTCTCTCTTTTGTTTCTCTCTTTTTTTTTTATTACAGTTTTATGTGTGTTTTTAATATTATTTAACCTGATCTGTTAAGTTATTATCGTTGTTACTATCATTGTCCTTTTTTGTAAGATTGGAATTTGTATGTTTGTTATTAAAGCCAATAATTTTTTTATAATAATAATATTAATAATAATAAAAATTATATATATATATATATATATATATATATATATATATATATATATATATATATATATATATATATATAATAAAATATAAGAAAAAAGTGTAAGATTTGATAAAGATTTGTTTGTTTTTGTGGTTAACAATACTTATAATACATTTAATATAAATTGTTTTATTTATATGGTGCCTTTACTTGAATTGGCATTCTTTATTTTTTGTTCTTCACTTACTTAATTGTCTTTTTTACTCATTTTATGAGGAGACATTTATTACAGGTTCTGCCAGAGTAATAATATAATAAATGATGTGATATTATACTAATAAATATTAATTATTTTATTATTAAAAGTGCACTGATTTCACCATGAATGAAAATGTAGAAAAGTTTGTACTTTTGGCTTATTTACTTTTGAATTAAAAATTCAATATGCAAAATATGACATGCCAAATTATCTTTTAATTATAACTAAATAACTCAATTTAATTATCTGCGTTTAGCTCTATTTTTATTTAATTCTTTCTAGTAACGCAGCTTTTTAACTGTAGCATTACAAATGAATTATAATAATGCATTACTGCCACCTACTGTTAACCAAGGCCAGAGGAATCTTTTTTCTTATCGCAACTTTTTATCATTAAAACCATATAATTTCCTATTTAATAAAAATATATGTAATTATAATTAAGTCATCAATATTATTTATTTATTTTTTCAAATCAGAGGTTCAACAGTACAAACTATTTAATCTTCCAAAAATCTGAAAGTCGTTTTTTTCATTCATTTTGTTATTAAATCGTTGTTAAATAGGCAACACATGCGGTGCTTTGCGTGTATAATTAGCCTTGGTATGAATTACCTTTCGTTTCTGTTTTGGCATCTATTCTTAGCATCAAAATACAAAATAGAAATTAATAATAAATAAAAAATGTTGCACTGACATTTCCAATACGGCGGCTTGTCAGGGGAGCACGTTGCAGTGTCAACAATTCATTTATTTTGGTTACTAAAGCTATGTTTGAGTACATGATGCCACCTTTAATGTTTTAATATCATATGCTAGATAACACCTAACCTAATTTTAGTACTTTTTTAATGCGAAAAGTAAAAATATACAATCACAGTACATTATACAGAAAATAGAAAGACAAAAAGAAAACATTTTGAAAAAAACAACAACAATAAAAAACAAAAACAAACAGAAGGGGTGCATACATCACACATTAAAGAAAAGGATTATATCATTTACAAATTTCAGTTGTTTTTAAAGCCTTTTTTTGTTAAAGAGTTAGAAATAGTTTCAAAGTAATACTGCATTTCAGTAATCAAAATATATCTAATTTTTTTTTTGTTTGAAGTTTTACATCCATGTATATAACATTTTCTTAATAAGAAGTTTAAGAAAATATATTTTCTTTTTATGTAAAGCTTCTGTTTTATAATTAACTAAACCAAACAAAACATTTTCCCATAGTAAGGAAGAATCTTTATCAACATTCTCAATTACAAAAAGGGAAAAATCTTTCCAACGCAAATTCAAATAATTGCATTGCCAAAATAAGTGAACTAGGGACTCGGGGTGTTGCTTACAAAATGAACAATATCAATATCTTTTTTATCTTACTAAGAGAGTATTGACTGGTTATGTACGATGAATAATTCTAAATGAAATTTCTTTCATGTTGTAATTAAGTAGCTATTTGAGATAAGCCATATTTTTCTCCAATCAGTATCAGAAACAAAAGAATTCCAATAAAAAAAAGTAACATTTGGAACTGATACGGTATCATTAAGAAATAAAGATTGTGTTAATTTGTTTGAAGAAGTTGCAGAGAAACAACATTTGCCTACCATTGTGGATGAAGGGTCTAAAAGAGGAAACACAGAAGAATAGGAGATGTCTTGAAATAACCTGATAACTCCAGAATCTGGGGTGACCCGCGTGGATCACACGTATTGCCCGCAGGCCTGTTCTAAAAATAGCTCACCATAGTGCCACTTACCAGTAAGCTTCATCTAATATAGAAGTAATCATTTAGAAATGTAAATATTTGCAGAGATATATAAATATAGTGTTGCACATTGATGCATTAAATACAGGGTATTTCCTACCCTGTTAAATCATTGTTGATAACTTTTGTGAGAATCATTAACATGATCAGTGTCTTCTCGTGGAAGAATATCATTAACTATTACCAAAAACATAAAGTATAATTAAAAGTAAAATGGGCAAATTAGTGGTTTGAGAAGTGTTTATCAAACTGGTAGCCCTCCACATTAATCCGTACCCAAGAAGTAGCTCTCAGTTTCATAAAGGTTGGTGACCCCTGTTCTAGATGGTATGGCATCAAACATAACAGCAAATTCTTTACGGAGGATGGGAATATTGAATCGATAAATAAATTATTTACAATTTAACAAATGGCCATTTGAATTAAATAATTGACTAACAAGCAGAATATCTGCTTCAAACCAGCGTGGAAAGAAATGAGGTTTGTTTGTGTATAAAATATTTTGGTTGTTCCAAATAAAATATTTGTGAGGAGAAAAGTTGTGCTTGTATAATAGTGACCCCAGGCAAGAATAAATTGCTTATGAAATTGAGACAGTTTAGCTGGTATTTTATCAACATTATAGTTACAGAGTAATAAGAAATGAAGCCCTCCAAATTTATAAAATATGTAAGTTGGAATAAAGTTCCAGATTGAGGTTGGATTTTTGAGAAAGATTTTGCCCCATTTAATTTTGAGAGTATTATGAAATGTACAGAAATCCGGCATATTTAGATCGCCATCCCAAAGTTATTTGATTTTTAGATTAATTTTAGTACATTTCTTTAAGACTGTGGTAACATCATTCAATTTATCATTCAATTTATCATTTATCATTCAATTACATAATTTTTATTCAATTATTTTGATGTTATATTTTTTTCTGCTGCTCGTTTCAAAGTTAATAAAAAAAAATGTAAACAAGGCAAAAGTAGCAGTCTTGCTGCTAGGTTGTTGCCCTCCTACGGCCTCTTCCACATCTCCAGATGTACTGGCCTGTCGTCTAATAGCGCTTCCACGGCAGACAAAGCAAATCTACTGGCCACAGCTCGCATTGATGTGCCATCCTGGATGAGCTGCAGTACCTGAGCCACTTGTGCGGGTTGTAGACAGTCTCATGCTACCACTAAAATGAAAGCACCGCCAGCGTTCAAAAGCAGAAAGCATAGGAATTGAGAAGTGGTCTGTCGACACCACCTGCACCACCTCTTTATTGAGGGTGTCTTGCTGGTTGCCTATTATTTCCACCAGTTGTCTATTCCATTTGCACCACAGCATGTGAAATTGATTATCAATCGGTGTTGCTTCCAAAGTGGGCAATTTGATTTCACAGAAGTGTCATTGATTTACAGTTATTTCGTGTTCAAGTATATTTTTACAATGCTAAACTCTACCACTAATACCCAAGGCCTGTGGCAATGTTTCATAGAAAGCACTTGACATAACAGCACTTAACGCAATTGTTTGTGTTAAAATATAAACAAACTGACTCGTACAATAATTTTAAATCAAACATGTTAATATCTTTATTCAACAATTTCATATTTTATTTTAACTAACAAACTTTAAAATGATCTGAGGTTATAATACTATAAAATATTTTTTTTCACAAAAAACTTCATGGTTTGTGTCCAAATGTGTCTAAATTTTAGTAAAACCTGAACCACAAAAGTGAAGATTTATGATTAATATTGGTGCAAAATGTGATTAATGGCAAACGTCTAAAGAACCAAATGTAACAGGACACAACAAAATGAACACTGTATCGAAGGATGTGCATGTGATTAACAACACAAACAAAACAAACCATTTCTGTTATGTATCGAGATGCGTGGAAGAACCCAAATCATGCCAAAAACATGGATAAAAACGGCAAGAGGTTAACATCCTCCCTTGATATCATCCCTTAGCTCAACTGAAGGGTTTGACGATCTTCATTGAAATGTAGTTCTGAAAAAAATGCAAACATTCATTAGCATTGTAGGCATTACATCGCAAGTGAAAGTTTGTGAAAGGAAGTATTATGTTCATTACCGGTAATGAATAAAACAAGATCCCAAGGAACAGCAGCACTAAGATGAGCACAACCAGGCCGATGAACAGCCACTTAAATCTTCGCCACACTATGAACTTGCACGTCTTGCATGGATTTGTGAACCAGAAGAAAGAGGTTTCAGGTCGCCTGGGAAGTTTAAAATAGAAACATTTCTTATGATCTTCTGTTAACCCACAGAGCGATAAACCATATAAAGTGAGTGCTCAATTACTTGGGAGGATCCAGTTTCGGGTTCATATTGGGCTCATCTCTGCCTTTTCCAGCAGGCCTCTCATCTGCTTCCTTCTCGTTCACAATCTCCAAAGTCAACTCAACCTTTCCCTAAAAACAACATAAATAAACACAATTAAATCAAGCCTTTAGGAATCATTTTATGATGAAATGTTTTTAACAGCATCATGCCTTTCCATGTGTGGCATATTTAATCCTGCACGCAAAGTTGACAAATAGATGCATTTTGAAAAAGTTGTTTCAAATTTACTATATTTTAAACAATGTTGATGTTTTGGTCAACACACTGAAAACAAGTCAGATTAAACAACATTAAACCTGAAAAGTTTCATCTATAGTAGATTGACAAAGATTGAAATATGAAATGCAAGAAAACTACGAAATTCAATTTCCATCATGGGATAAAAGTATAACCTAAAAATTTCACAATTTTGACAGAAATCATCCACCTAGAAAAAAAATTATTTCAACTCGGAATTGTGAGGGGATGAAATCTAATTCTGTGTTATATCTAGGCATGTGCCAGTATAAGATTCTGACTGTAATATAACCTTGGATTAAATTATCACGGTTTGACAGTATTGTGATTACTGCTCTAAAATAAATTCTTTTTAAATGTCTGGGTAAAAAACAAAAAAAAACAAAAACGTTTTTTCTTTTAAGTTTACATCATGCAATTCTCAGAACAGAAAAAATGTATATCTTGCATGCCTAACTGTGTCATATAAACTCAAATTATATATATATATATATATATATATATATATATATATATATATATATATATATATATATATATCAACTGCATTCACTTTTACAAGCTTTGTATTCCTTTGCTTTTATTTTTAAATAAATAAAAATGAATACATTTATTTACGGTTATCAACTTTTGTTGCAATTATTTGCTGTAGCTTTTAAATCACAACATAATTATTATATTCAGAAAAGCTGCAAAACAATTATTTTACCGGTTATAATTACCAAAAAAATACTTTGTTTTGCTTATTGTATATAGATTCAATAAATGTTTTAAACAAATGTAACTGCATAAATGATTACTGTACAACAGGCAACACTTTACAATATAGTCTCATTATAAATAAATATTCCCTATTAGTTATGTTAATAAACACAATACAACTGATTTGTATTAGTTGCCGACTCAATTTATTAAAATGATTACGACTCTTGATTTTAATTCATAATAAGGCCTTAACAATTAAAAAAAGTTAACAATCGATTTGTGCCGGAACAATGTAAAATTCTTTCTGAGCAATTATTTCACATTGTTAAATATCAGTATACACTGAAATTTTTATTTCTGCTAAATTGTTGCAAACAATTCCTTTTGGTTGATTATAAACCAATTAAATTTAGTAATGTCCTACTTGATTTGTTTGTTTTAATTCAGCCTAAATAAATTGTTTACAACCACTTAACGTATTATTTAACGTAAATTTAGTAAATCCAAGGAATCAGATTTGAATCATTTTTTTCATTGATGCCTGTTTGTATCATAAAATGTTAAAAACAGATTCTAAACACGAGTTAAACTTACACCAAGCTCCTTCTTCCCGTCTTTTTCCATGTAGCACGGCCACCATCCTCTTACTGACTTCTGATCAAAGAGAGATTTGTATTGGTCTGATTTTGGATGTGCAGGTCCATCCGGCAACATGCTAAGGCTACATTTCTCTGATGATTTAGAAGGGCTAATAAGGTGGTGCAGATCAAGTTCAACAGCACCTGTAATACAAATTCAATAAATACACAGAAGAACTAAAGACACACATTTCCAAGAATAGCTACATATACATGTCTTCTCACCCAGATAATCATCCAGTGAGAATTTATCATTGTCCCATATTTGAACAGTCAGCTTGGGTGGTATTCTGAACTCTGATTTGTCAAGACTCCAAAAATGTTCCTTATTAAATGAAAAAAAAAATGTTTTAATATTGCGGAGCGCTCCTAATAAGAAGCTAAACCAAATTTGCATTACCTTTTTCGATATGTGACACAGCTGCTCCGTGGGCAGATAATCAAATCCAAAAACAAATCTCCAGTTAAAATTCCCATCGCCATCTAAAGATCGGTAATGAACATCCGTTTTCTGCTTATCTTCCTCCATTCCTTGCATCCAACTAATCACAAATAAACATATGTATATTATCAAAAATGCTAAAAACCAGCTGGAGGGGGAAAAAAAAAAAAAAAAAAAAAGAGGAGAGGCATTTAAAACAAAAAACAAAAAAACTAACCTAAGAATATGTCAAACATTGCATAAATATGAAAAAAAAAAATACATAAACCACTGTAAAAATATGTGTAAAAATAAATGCATATTAGATATGTTAAGCAATTTTTTTTTTAAATAAAAAAAAAACTTAAGTAATTGTATTTGGGCACAAAGAAAATTCTCTGTTAGATGTCAATGTGGGATCCTTGGCCCCACATATTACCCAGTGTGTAAGAAATCTGTTATCTTTGATGAAAACTTAAAATTTGATAAATAGATAAGTATCGTCTTAAAATCCTGCTTTTACCACCTCAGACAACTGGCTAAAGTTAAGCCCTTTTATCCCAGAAAAATGTTCAAACGGTGATTCATGCCTTCATAACAACACGTCTAGATTTTTGTAGCGATATTTATTTTGGTATTTCTCAGTCTTCTCTCTCGTCTGCAGCTGGTTCAAAATGCAGCAGCTAGACTACTTTCTGGCACCCACAAATATAAGTCGGTAACTCTAATCTTAGTTGCACTTCACTGGTTACCTATTCAATACAGAATTGATTTTAAAATTTTATTTTTCATTTACAAAGCCATCAATAATCTTGCTCCTCAGTACCTAACTGACTTGCTTTGTCCATATACCCCCTCTCGATCATTGAGATCTTAAGATGTCAATTTACTCACAGTGCCCAGAACACGCCTTAAAAAAACGAGGTGATCGAGCGTTTGCTGTTGCTGGTCCTAAACTCTGTAACAGTGTACCAATTCACATTAGACTTTCCCCCTCAATCTCTGTGTTCAAGTCTGTTTTAAAGACCTATCTATTCTCTCTCTTTTAATACTCCTTGATTACCGTTTTATTGCTTTTATCTGTTAAATGTTTCTTTTATATTCTGCTTCTGTTTTTAGCACTCTTATGTACAGCACTTTGGTCAACCGTGGTTGTTTTTAAATGTGCTATATAAATAAATATTGTATTGCATTGTATATGTATAAAAGCAAGGAATCCTGCACAATATTAATAGTTTCTGTGTGACATATATTAAATAAAAATGTAAAGATTCATTCTCAAAACCTTCACCAGACATTTCAATTACTGTTAAAGAAGAAATTGAGAAGATAAACAGATTATTTTGTCAAAAGTGAAACTTTTATGATGCTCTCTTTATTTGACTTAAACAATAACAAAGACTTTTACCTACCCCTTGACATAGATGTCACTCATATTTTCTCCAGTAATACTTTTTTCGTCCAAGACTACATCAGTTGTGTTCCAAACAATGACGCGTAGGAAGTACCTGATAGAAAAAAAGTTTATTAGTCAATCATTGATCAAACAAGCATAACTTAAAGTATCCATTTCTTCTCACTTTTTTGCTTTGCGTGGAGATATGTCAAAAGGTGGTCCAGGAGCCCCTAAGCTTTTTGGGAAAATGTCAACCCACATCTGTAGTTTTCCCTACAAAGCACAGATAAAGCAGAGTTTTTAGCTTGCCATCAAACAAAACAGATCTTTGCAAAAAAAAAAAATAAATAATAATCACAGAAAGAACCAGACAGTGAGCAGCATCAGACCTGCGGGAGAGTCGGCTGGAAGCTACTGTATAGAGTTCTGGTTTCAACATGCTCTGGAACCAGTCCTTGAGTTCTGAGGACATGCAGAGCAATCCGTTCACTTGGAGGTCCCAGGTGTTCATGAATTTCCTTGTTTGCTTCTAAAATGCACACACAGAAAAATATACAACAGCACATCAAACATAATTACATGACTTGCATGCTGGCCTGACAAAACACTGTAGTTAAAGTTTCATTTAAGGTTATTTAGATTTTGGGTGGTTTTTAAATGGGACCTATTATGCAAAAATCACTTTTATAAGGGTTTTGTGTGGCACAAGTCTGTGAATATAACCAGCTTCTAATGGTAAAAATGTATTAATGTTATTTGTTTTATAATCACACTTTTTAAAAACAGTCTGCAGAAATGCTTTGATTGACAATCTTCTGTTGTACGGAAAACCCAACCCATTAGTGGTGACCCCTAATTCATTAGCATAGGATGTCAGGCCCCGTTTACACTAGTGCGTTTTAGTTTTAAAACGGCGTTTTAGAATGAAAACGATCTGCGTCCACACTCGCGAATTACCCAGCGTTTCTGAACTGCTCTCAGTCCACACCAAAACGCTGAAAACGCACATCACGTGACCACACACACACTCTTTGGCAAGCGCTGCAGCCCATCTACCCAGATGAGAGCTCTGCTAGTCGGACTTCTCATCAAGCATCTCCCGCTGGATCTAATCTCACTATATTTATTAATCGGGATATTTCATTCATCTTGTTGTCTTTAACAACACGTTCCCTGACTTTGGTCATTGGAATCTATTACTTGTTCTCAGGTAACGTGTTTTGGCAGAGCGCAAAGATAAGTTAATGATTAATGTAAGCACGTAGCCCATTCTGTATATTGACTGATCGCTAGCCTTTATTTCCTATAATGTATAAACTTAATAATGGCCATCATTGATTATTAAAACTGATATTCAGCAGAAGAGAGGGTATGTTTCGTATTTTCACTGAAATTGAAAGGAGGCAGTTGTTATCGGCTCCGTTTTGTTATAAATATCCACACAGTGAAGATGACGCTCATATATGCAGCACGGCGCCTCAACATGTCTGCTGTCTGTTTAGTTGTCAATATTAAAATGAAAATAGGCAGTTATATCATGTGTACATTTTATTGTTGAGAAAGTGAAACAACGTAGCCAGGGTGATGTGAATGAGGTTATAAAGTACACTGACTGTTCCCTTTGAAGATTTACCCATGTCCTCGGTATAGTCTGTTTTCCATATCAAACTGAATAGAAGAGACTGCAGCCTTGATCAAACGTGTGAAGTCTGAACTTACACGGAGAAGATGCAGGACTGAACTGTGTGTGTTAGGCTACTTAATATTGAGGGAAAAGCCCCAATCAGAGAGGCGAATGTCTGCAGCCCCGCCTCCGTTTTCAGATGTCTCCGTTTTCCATCATCCACATTGAGACGGAGCAGCAGCGTTTCAGAATGAAAACGGCCTCTCCAGCGTTTTCGGCGCTCGAAAACTCCGGCGGAGTGTGGACGGATGGCGTAACCGTAGCAAAACTTATGCGTTTTCAAACTAAAACACATTAGTGTAAACGGGGCCTTAGTCTTGTTTTTGTATCTGCCACTATGCCGACACATGGGCATTTTTAACTCCACCCTCTCATGAAAAGAGCATTTCATTTAAAATTAAAGCAACAGTTACCAAAAAGGCACAATTCAGATTAAAGCCTAAATGGGGCAGTCTCAAAGACTCATAAAACATTACTTGTGTGGTATCTTGTTTCATCTTATCTGGGTATCCTTAGCACCAGAAAAAGTTAAATGTCTTTCTTGAAGCACAGGATTTATTTTATAATTTTTTGTCTGCTAAGGAAAAATTGCCCAATTTGTTCAACAACGGTCTTATGGACTGGTTTCTTTAGCAAAATTGTATGTTAAAAATATAATAAAAACAAAAAAGGATATCAATTGTAACTCACATGTAAAGCCAAACTCACTTAAGCGACTTTTTTTTATAGTCAGGAATTGGAATTTTTTACCTCAAATGAAAATTTGAACACATAAGTTCCATTTAAAATGCCTGGATTTCCCCCTCGAAATCTCATTGAACAAAGGTAAACGTGATCATTGTATTGTCCACTAAGGGACAACTGTATGTGCAATAAACTAGAAAAGATCTTCAACTTGACAGTACAGGCTAAAAGGACAGTTTAGTTTGGTTTATATAATGCAACAACACTTTGTCAAGCAAACATAAGGATGACAAAAATTAGAAATAAATACAAATCTGAAAAATTACCAAAGTCAGAGAGACTATACAGTTGGCCATTAAAGGATAAAGTGTTGCCATTGTCTTCACTCCGAGGAGGACTCAATCCTTTCCAACGAGCATGATGCTCAAGAATCTGAGATGGTTTGAGCTGATCACGCCACTGATTTGGCCCAGATCTATTTGATGAATAATAAGTTAGTATTTATAGTATGCAAGCCGTTTCTTTAATATTGTCCTCAAAGAAAAAAAGTCAATAAAGTGTATTACATGCAGTATGTCTGGGCTAAACCACAGTTGGATCCAAAGTGAGAAAGGAACCGGTTTTCCAAGTCAATCACTGTTTCCCCAACTTTCTCATCACGGCTTAGCAGATCAAAGTCATAGACTGCAATTTTCAAGTCTTTGTCTTGAGGGAGGAAGCATGTAATTTCAAACATTCTGTTACAAAACAGAAAACAGTTCTCGATCAGTCCTCTTCAACAGCTTGACATCAATATCCAAGACAAACTCTTAATCTTACATTACCTTCCGAACACCGGGTTGAGAGTCAGGGGCATATAGTTGTCTCTGTCATCAACAGACTTTTTTCCCAAAGAGATTTTGATGTAGGGATCACACTAGAAAAGATAAGGAACCATTGCTTCTTGTTTACCAAAAAAGTAATTGGTAAATAAGTAGTTAAAATAAAAAATAATTACTAATGCTTTCTGAAATGCTGAACAAAAGACAGTACTTTGCCATTGTTGTCTTTGGGTTGCAGGTCGATGCCTTGAACCACGTAGATTCTGACCACACACTCCTGAGAGACGCTGTCGGGCAGCTCTCTAAACTGACGTGGTGGAGCCAACACCGTTGGGTCATCAGGCAATGGGTAGACCATAAAAGAGCCCTGAAAACCATCATCAATTGATACAATGGAATGGAAAAAAACACAAAAGTCAACATAGAATGGTGCTCTCAGCTCATTTTACTTTTGGAAATGTGACTTTTTCAACTAATGCAGGTGTAAGCCGAGAAAATATATACTTTTCCTTCTATGCTAATGAAGGACTACTGAGACATTCCAAGCATGGGATGGGTCCTGCTGGTGAGGCAGAGTTCCTCACAGCTCCAATTGACCTTATTCTAAAATGCGGAAGTGCGCCTGTTTTCGCGATTGTCTTAGAACTTCCGATTCAGTCGCCTATGGGAGAAATGACTAGGAATAATAAACGGCAGAAAATGGCCAAACTACTTGCTCAACAAACAAATGTTTGCATGACTATACAGACCAAGTAGCATAATATAATAAGAAAATATTAAATTGCAACATCAAGCAGCGTAACGAGCAGTTGTTAACGTCAAAAAATGAATGGAAGTGAATGTGACCGGAAGTCGCGAGACAAAAAGATTCAAATGGCAGCGCCCGCTCGACAGCTGAGAATAAGGTGAATACACATCTCTGCCATTTGCTTACAGTAACCATGTGCTCTTCACCATACACAATTCATCTGCCTGTGTTCTTCTTTCAGATAACTCTGTCATGTTTGGTGTCAATTGACAGTTTATGACTTCAGTGTTGTAGTGATGAAATCAACAGAGACATTGATTAATTGTATTTCGATCTATAATATATTTACTATTGTTTAGTCATGGCCTGAGGAGAGTATGTTAATGTTCTTCTCCCCCACTTTATCTCCTCAACTTTGCTCTCATGTCCAGCTGGTTTTGGGAGTTAGTTTTCACTTATGTTTGACAATGCTTTGCTCAGGGTATAATAAGGAAAGGTAGCTGTTGATCTGGGAGAATGGCTTTTACTCTGCATCTCCCGCACACCGGTGCGTAGACTCATATGCTAACAAAGGCAGTTTCACTGTCTTTGTTGCTCAGCAGTGCATATGTTACAGCTAATTTCTTTATACAGTATGTTAGTTTGTTTCATTCTACTGTCTGTATATTTAAACATGTATCTTAACAACTTTGCCTGCTTTAAGCTTTGAGATTCTTTCTCTTTATCAACGATGATAACAACTTTAAATGGAGTCAGATTAATTACAATGGAGTCAGATAAATAATGGATTTAAACACGCCATCCTTCAACTGCTTTCCCTTTCCGATTATTGGTTCAGAATAGCAGCGTAAGCTTCAAGCCTTACACAGGAAAAACAAGACATGCAAAACGTGACTTGTATAACACCAAACCCAATTAGAAAACACCTTGCCTTAAATTCTCCAACAACATTGGGGTCCTCATCATCGATTTCATTTTTCCCACGTTGCAATTTGAAGGTTTTGCAGAAATCAGTAAGACCCATGAACTCCTTCACATTTTCAAGCTCATGCTCATAAACCTATGAAACCAGAAACAATTACAGTGACAGTCTGTGAAAGCATATCCTACTCCTAATGCAGATACAATTATAGATTTTTTAAAGCAACACATTTTTATGTTAGGTGCAGTAGGTGATCTTTCACAATGCTAACAGCTTAGCATAAATCTCTGAATCACAGTCCCTCCCTTGCCGTCTAGAGCCACACCTCCTAGCACAGCAAAAGAACCCTCTGTCATGTGTTAAAAGCGACTAGTGCTTGTCCGGCGGCGAGCAAGCCAAACTGACATGCTATTTCAGAGTGAATATTTAGAGTTGTATGGTCAACAATATAGGGAGAGACTATGCAGAATAGCGGTATTTACTTGTGTTTTGTTGTTAAACTAATTAAAATCTACATCATCGATGCTGTAAAAGATCCCTTATAAAACTGAGATAGTCTTATTAATCTTTTATCGGAAGATTTAAGTAGCTGAACAACACTTCTGTGAAGATATAACTCGTTTGTAACAACATCTAACGTTACATCAGCTTTGCATGAAGCTTAAATAGTTTTAAAACAAAACATTACCCGTCTAAGAGAAATCCTTTAGCCATTGTTTCATCCTTCCTCCAGCGTGCAAAGGTAACTCCAATATTGATTCAGGTTTTTAAAAAGTTTTGATACAGCATGTTTTTACCGATCTTGCGCGCGCACCCTCTCTCGTGAACGCACAGCACCAACAGCGGTCGGCGGAGCTACGTACAAACGCCTGCGCAGTTGTTCAAATCTGCATTTGGTGACAGAGAGTTTCGCCTACTCATCGGAATTATGAGAGATATCGGTCCGACTCTATTTAATTGGATGAACATTTTTTAGTTTTAAAATAAAAAAAAATACAAAAAAATACAATTAGATCATTTATTTTAATCCCTATTATTAGACTGTGAAGAGACTTTCAACCAGCACAACAAAAAATGCTTCTGAAGACAATCACCTACTGCACCTTTAAGAGTTTAGCATTCCTAAATATCAGTGTATTTACTGACTTAATTTTACATAATAATGCAAATCTATATTGCTCTGCTACAGTATAGACACTCACCTCCAGTGTGTCATATCCTTTGTCAAGATATGGACGGCATTTCTCACTTTGTCCAAGGGAAGCATAAAACTTACTCCACCAATCAACAGTCTCTTTCTCCTGTAAGTTGGACAAAATTAGCAAGTTATCTATATGAACTAATATACATATTTGTTGATAATGTAAATCAAGATCTAACTGGTTTAGGTGGAAAGAACTCAGAAAGAACTCACCTTCTCACGCTGCCAGGTAGACCATGTATTGAACACACACACACAAAAAAAAAAAAGATTATATGTTAAGGTTTGGTAAGCAGAATTATTGCTAAACTAAAGTTGGGATTATATAATTTTATCAGTGCAACATCTAGGTGGTTTAATGACATGTTATTTCTATCAAATCTATTTAAAAGAATTCTGAAATTCATACCAGTATTTCAACAGCTAAATCTAAATGGAACTGTGCACCCTGTCCATATACTTCATGATTACATGCCCATATCACTCAAAATACACAAAGTTAGTTAAAATGGGTGAAGCTGGCTAAATCTACATTAATCCACATACATTTGAAAATGACGTTTTTGTATGGAAATCCTCATGTACACCAAAATGTCAGAAGTTACAAAAATGACAGCAAAATTTAGTCATTTTCTTTTGGTCTTTTCAATCCTTTTGCATTTTGTTTATTTAAAAAAAAAAAAAAAAAAAAAAAAAAAAAAAAAAAAACAGACTTAAAATGAATTTAATTGGACAGACAACGACCATTGATTTTACAAGCGTAAGTTATAAAAATTCCCCATTTTCAGTAACAAAACAAGACATCTGAAGACAAATGTCCTGCAGTATTTCTCCGATAGGGGAAGAAACAATTTAAAAAAGGACATAAGTCTGTGTTTCTATCAAGTATATGATCACCAAGCATACAGTGCATTCGGAAAGTATTCATAGTGCTTCACTTTCTCCACATTTTTTTTTTTTTGTTACAGCCTTATTTCAAAATGAATTAAATTAATTTATTTTCTCAAAATTCTACTCAATACCCCAAAATGACAATGTGTTTTTTTTTTGAGGTTGTTACAAATTTATTAAAAATAAAAACCTAAAAAATTCACATGTACATCAGTATTGAGAGCCTTTGCCGTGAAGCTCTAAATTGAGCTCAGGTACATTCCACAGATCACTTTTGAGATGTTTCAGCAGCTTACTCTGAGTTCACCTGTGCTAAATTCAGTTGATTGGACATGATTTGAAAAGTCATACACCAGTCTATATAAGGTCCCAGGGTTGACAGTGCATGTCAAAGCACAAATCAAGCATGAAGACAAAGGAATTGCCTGTAGATCTCTGAGACAGGATTGTCTGCAGTAAATTTGCAACAACTTTTGTCAACAGTCTTTTTTCACATTGTCATTACGGGGTATTGTGTATAGAATTGAGCAAATAAATGAATTTAATCCATTTTGGAATAAGGCTGTAACATAAAAAAAAAGTGGTAAAAGTGAAGCGCTAGACACTTTCCGGATGCACTGTATGTCCACCATGCTGAAAATATCAGCACTTTAAACGTACAACTGAGAAGGATCCTTTAGTGCACTGTGTAATGGGGCGATCTTGTTGAGAAAATAACGGCAGCACAGATTTCAAATATTGTTTTTCTGAATTGGAAAATGCTGACAATGACTGAACCAGTTCAGTCGAGCATTTAGATGTCCTCTCAATTGGATTTGAAAATGTTTTAACCACCCCTTGTCCATTTGAATAAAATTTCACCTTTTTATTCAAACTGGGCTATATCCAATCTCAAAGAAGTGATTTAGGTCCATGTGAACGCAGCTACTGTGAACTGCACATACTGGCTATAAATGTGATATCAACATGTTTATAGGTACTTTACATGACTAAACATGAATCACTGTTTTTAAAAATCTTGATTTTCCAAACCTGAACATGAAAAAGGACAACAACATTAAATAAATAAAATGCAATTTCTTCATTGACATAGAATGTGCAAAAGTTCAGTAAAGTTTAGTGAGAAAAAAAAAATGTAGAGAAAGATTCATTTTCAAATCTATTTGGGTTAGTGGAGATGTAGCCTCAGAAAGCCAGTAGAAAAACAGAACATGTACACAACACACTTTCAAGAATGTTAGTATTCCATATAAAGCAGGTCAGCTGTACAAATCACCTAAATGGGAAATGAGATTGATCATTTGGAGCACATTAGATTGATTAGATATACCCTCAATTGGACCCATTTGTAAATACAGAATTTTAAGATTGACAATTAAATCAGGGTCAATGTGAGGTACAAAGTACATTTCATTGGTGAAGTTTGTAATTTCAGTGCCTCTACTGGTGAAAAAGAGAATTGCCATTGTTTCTTTTTAGCAAGGAGAAGTATAAGCATAATAAACAAAGCAATGACACTCACTCTGATACAGCTAGCACTAAGGCAGAAGCTACACACCTCATAGCATTAGCTCATGAATTACATTTAATTACTAGATTAAGGAATTTTGATTAAAGTGCCTTATTACTATACATACTTGACGGTGACCAGCAGTGGCTATTTTGTCAACAGCAGCTGAGATGCCATACATGTACTGAAATTCACAAAGTAAATAACACAGATGTGTGTACCAGTGTCTATTATGTACATAGAGTTCTCTCACAAAGTGAGATTCAGTACCTAAACCAGTAAACTAAACACTGACTTGTCAACAGCAAAACATCAGGGACAGTACCTGAGCTTCTAGAAGCTGCTGTCTGCTATCATCAATGTTTACTGAGAGGTGTCCTGGACTAGCTGCCATCAAAGACACTGCAAGAAAAGAAAGTGAAAAGTCAACATTGTTTTTGCTTCTGGATATCGACATGTTATACAGTTGATTGTGAATGTAAAAGTTCAGACAAATTTCAAATACATGCGTGGTACAGGAAAAAAAAAGCAAGAGTAAAAAAAAATTAAATAAATAAAACAGACACACAGGGTAGGGGAAGTGAATCATGACATCATTACTGCAAAAAAAAAAAAAAACAACCATTTTTTTTTATTCTGTGTAACTGCGACATGTAAATAAGCGTGGCTAACTGATGTGCAGAGTGCATGAGCCTGGGCAAGCAGTTGCATACAAGACTAAGGGTAAAATTCTGAGAAATATTTACATATTTAAGATTTTTCATTGTTATACAAATAGAATTTTTATTTTTAGATGTTAAAAGATGTAAATTGAGGGAGTTTATGCTAAAGTTTGTGTACACACCAGTGAAATGTAACATACTGCTGAACTTTATATGGAAGGGTTAATCCAAGTTCATATTTCTATTTAAGTGCATTTATAAAGCAAATGAAAAAGTCATTTTTTAAAAGTATTTAAGCACACTTGCAATTAGAATTATTAAACCCCTTTTTTCTGTTTTAAATATTTCCCAAATGTTGAAGAACAAGACATTTTCACAGTATGTCTAATAGTATTGTTTTATTTCAGTTAGAATAAAAACAGTTTACATTTTTAAAAACAATTAAGGTCAAAATTATTAGCCCCTTTAAGCTTTATTTATTTATTTTTTCAATAGTCTACAGAACAAACCATTGTTATACAATAACTTGCCTAATTACCCTAACCTGCCTAGTTAACCTAATTAAGCCTTTAAATATCACTTTAAGCTGTATAGAAGTGTCTAGAAAAATACCTGGTAAAATATTTACTGTCATCATGGCAAAGATAAAACAAATCAATTATTAGAAATGAGTTAAATTAAAACTATTATACATTTAGAAATGCGTTGACAAAATCTTCTCTCTGTTAAACAGAAATTGGGGAAAAAAATAAACAGGGGGCTAATAATTCAGGGGGTGTAATATCTCATATATATATATATATATATATATATATATATATACACACACACACACACACACACACACACACACACACACACACACACACACACACACACATATATATATATATATATATATATATATATATATATATATATATATATATATATATATATATATATGCTGACCATCCCTATTTTCTGCACTGTATGCACTGTAGAAAAAAAAAAAAAACTAAAGTCAAAGGCATTATTACTATTAGTATCAGGGTTTAAAAAAGTGCTAAGTATGCTTCTGAAGCTGAAATTCAGATATGGGGTCCATTCTTCGTACCCCACTTAAATGATCTAATATGATTTGGCAGATCCTGGATCTGTTTATCTTAACTAATCTCTGGCTAATTTAGTTCTTCAAACAAGTTCGCGAATCAGATAAAAATGTCTGGATGAACTGATCTGAGATCGCTGCGTGTGTTGTGAAGGACAGATATATCATCCTCGAAAACATGATTAGCAATGCAACGATTGGCTGACGGCACAGCAGCGTAACGACATCATCTAATTAATATTCAATTATCCATTTGAGCTAAATTACGTAAAATTAGCAAAAAGGTTCGTTAAATATACGAAATAACTTTCCACGTTTGTTGTGGGCTGCAGGCTTTACACTTTTAATGTGTTAAGAGTGTTTATCATGCATTTCAAGGCATATCAATGTATTTAGTTTTAGATTTAGAGAAGATTTTCTTTATTATAGTAGCCTAGGCCTACTCAATTTTTTTATGGCAATCGGCGTATAGAATAACTGTATAAATTAATTTTGCATCAAAAAAGCATTTTGATATTGGTAAAGTTGTCTGCAACTTTTGCGAAGCACCAAATCATCGGGTTATTAGCGGTCAAAACACATACATGACTGCATAAATTATCCTTTTTTTTTTTTAAATGCTGAATATTGTGCATGTACGCGTTTGTATGCGTTTGTATGTAAAAAGTTAATGTCAATAAATTTTCTTTTTGAACCACCAGGTGGCAGTACTTGTACTTTTATTTCGGAGTGCAAATTGCATCAAGTTTTATTAATATATATATATTTTTTTTACTTTATATGTGTAAAAACTATATATTTACTATTTTTTCAAGTGTACATAACTACTGTAAAAAAATTTAAGCATTTGGTACACACTTTCAGTATTATCTTTGGTTAAACTGACCCGATATGAACCTGCTCCCAAGCAAGTTTGAACTACCAGAACTGTTGCTATGACAACAACTTAAGATTTTTGAAGAACAATATGATCCTGGATCGTGTCAAATCATCAATATCCAAATCCAGCTAACCAAGTAATCCATGTACAAAGAACAGACCCATGGTGTGGCAGACCAAAACAAAACAGACTGAAAGATCTAACCAATCAGAGCAGAGCAGAAGCCCAGAAAGGCAGGGTTTAAAGAGGTTCCCTAAATTAACCATTTGAGAAACTGTGAAATAAGTGATCCTGCAATATAAGCAAATAAAAAGTGTTTTTTTTATACCTTGAATGGGTGCACACCTTATGAAAGAGATCTCCAAAAATAAATCAGTGAAAGGAAGGAATGAAATTTAGCCATCACAGACGAGGAAAAGATGACGCACCTTTTGAAGACATGGCAACTTCAGAAACTGTGACATACGGGTCACATCGGAACTCTTCCAGGGAAGTGATGGTGCATTGACCCACCACAGGTTTCCGTCCAAAAGGTCTATGGTCAATGACTTTCAGCACTATAGGTGGAGTATACATCTCTTCTTTTGGTAGAAGCTTTTGGAAGAAAAACAAAACAAAACAAAACAACAACAAGCTGAAGATATATAGACACGTAAACCACATTTATATAGATACTTAAACCACATTTAAATATGAATGTCACTGCATTAAAATATCAAAGTCTTATTGCCTACCACTTTTAAAAAGAGGACATTTCCTTGGAAATTGGGGCATTTCTTCATGTTTTTGATGACCGCTGTCTGAACGCGCTCTCCTCCACACTCCACCACCAGACAGGGTGAAGTCACTGGAGCCAGCTGATACATCTTCATGTTTCGCAGTCCCCATGCTAGAACCTGCAATTTAAAGTCAAATTTTAAATAGTATTTTCTGCCTTAACAAATACAAGATTTACTAATATTTATGGTTCAACTAAAAATCAATGTAATTTCATCATGCAATCAACAATTCAATAAAAGTAATTTAGAAAAACACAAAACATTAGGGCTGCCACCAAATAAAAAAAGATTTATGGTCAACCAGTTGTTCATTTTAACAATTAGTCATTAGTCAATTAGTTTATTAATAAACTCAAATCATAATAAGTCAGCCTTTAATTGCCTGTATAGCCTAATAAGTGCTCAAGCGCATGCAAAAACCTTGTCAAAGCACCAACTAGAGATAATGATTGTAAACATGCGAGAAAAGAAACAAAAAAGCGTCTGCTAAATGACAATGTAAATATGCATTACATTATCTCAAAATATTTGTTTTCAATATAAATTGGTTATTTTAAAGTAAACATTTTGATCTCTCTCTCATATATACACTGCAAGCCAAATATACATGGTTTCTTTCCTTCTGATGCGCTCAAGTTCACAAGGACAAAGAAATTAGATGAATATTTTAGAAAAGCACAAATGCTCTGTTTTTATTGCAAGAAGCAAATAAAAAAATGTCTTTACAGTTTAGATGAGGATATGCATTTTTCTTATCTGTAGGACCAGAAATTACAGAAATATAAGAGCAAATGATTAAAGCAGTTGTGCCTCCATCTGTCATGCAGTGAACTTCGAGTTTCCACCCTCCAAATAAACAATATAATATCCGAAACTGATTCCAAGGCACCTTTCTAACAACAGTTTTAAATTTTTTTTTTTTTGGAATTTATTGTTTTTTTGAGTACGTTTTCAGATTTTTTTTTTTATCTTGGAAGATCATATATAGATTCATAAACCTCCCATAATTTGAAAAATTATAGATAAACTGACCTCTATGGCAGTGAGCTGCACTACTGGTCGCACCCCTTGAGGAACCATATAGAGACTATCTCCCCGTTTTGGGGGAACAAGGGGAAGTTCAGTGTCATTTCCCTGGAAGAAGCAACAAACACCTTAATTTGAAACAGATTTTGGCGCCATTGAACAACACCAATGGCCAATTCACTATGACAAACCATACCTTTGTCTTTAGAATCAGCTCTGCAGCTACCAGAATCTCCCCAGCCGAAGCATTTTTGTGTGTTACAGGCTCCCAGAGAAGTTTGGGAGATCCATCCATGCCTGAAGCCAACTTCACCAAAGGTACACATGTACTTCTTCCAAGCATTTCATCTTTACCCTACACAAAAGCATAAATAAAAAATTCAATCATTCTGTATATACACTTGCATACTAAAAAGGGAAGTACATACAGTAGCGATAATTTGTCTGGTATTTTACTTATTTTTAAATTCATTTAATTAAATTCTTAATTTTTCCCTTTTAAATGTCCTGGTGCAGATTCAGAAGCTGATGACAAATGGGTGTAATGAAAGCGAGAGCATAAATCCGTCAGACTAACCACTTGATCACGGTCAAAGATTTCCATAACCACTACTGGTGAATTCTGAACCAGAGATTGGGGATCACCATAGATTTCCACATTTTTAAAAATAAGAGTTTGATCCCATGTTGGGTTCAAGTTGCTTTGGATCGTCTCTGTTGTTTGGCTGTGATGCAAGAAGGACACATGGACGTATGGATCTGGAATTTAAACCAATGCAGTTTCAGATATAATAGAAGCCTTGTCACATTTATTATAAACAAAGGAAAACTGCTAGAACACCTGAAAAACTGTCTTGGTCTAGGGCAGTAAGGTTTCTGGCCTGGTAAACATAGACTCGCAAATGGTACGCGTTGGATCCTGCAAGGAGACCAGGTTCAATATTAATAAAATGAAACCTTTTTAAATAGTAATTTTAAAAAAATATATTGAAACTCACGGTCAAATGTACATGAAATCATTGGTGTGTTGGCTCCAAACTGCTTAACAGATGAATCTGCTTTGGTCCCTTTTTCTTCACTTTCCATGTCGACTCCCTGTAAAGTAGATAATCAAACTCATCTCATGTGGAAATTAAAGTGTCAGATAGGTATTAGGATAATGATATAGTTCTAGTGCTGACCAGGGCACCCTCTAGCTTGAAAATGGCAGAGGCTCCAACACGACCAGCGGGTGCCATTTTCCTTCTCCAGCGGCGCCGACGGAAAGTGTCAGATGATCGTTGCTGTCTGTGGAACTTCCAGCCGATGAGTGAAGAGTATTCCCATCCCTCTGCATTTCCTGTATCCTTCTTCTGCATGTCAAACAATCAGTAAACCCACTGTACAAAAACATAATTTAACTAAAACTTTTAAAATACACTTGCATCAGCTGTTTTGGCACCAGGAATCTTTTTGCGAGGTCGGATCATTCTTCTGCGACGATGAACATGGTACATCTTCTCACACGCTACCCAGGATTTGGGCTTTTCGTCAGGTGGAATGGTGATGCCATATTCCCAACCTAAAAGCATAAATACATACTATTCATATATCCGTACAAGCCAAATATTTAAATTTGGGTTCATTTTAATAATCAAAAATTCAAAATCATAAACAGTTAATAAATGTAATGTAATAATTAAAAGCAAAAGTAGGTCCCCACTTCAAGCCCTGGCAGAAACGAAATCCTTTTTATGTGCAGTTTACATTTTTTCCCTGAATCAGTGTTTGCATTAAGATTGCCCCTCAACTGAATTGTATATAGAAAACCCTTGTGTATAAGAATGACCTGTATATGGATTAACTGCTGCCTGTTAAGTTCTTTTATAATTATAAAATATTGCTTTTTACCTATAAAGCTTTAAATAATGTAGCTCCTGTTTACCTAACCAACCTTCTGTCACGCTACAATCTAACCTGCTTTTTAAGATCTCAAAACTCAGGGCTTCTGGTAGTACCTAGAATAGCAAAGTCAACTAAAGGAGGTCGAGCCTTCTCATTTATGGCTCCTAAACTCTAGAATAGCCTTCCTTCTAATGTCTGAGGCTCAGACACACTCTCTCAGTTCAAAACTAGATTAAAGACCTATCTTTTTAGTAAAGCATACACTCAATGCATCACATAACGGTATGATGCATGAATGTGCTCCACTAAGGTGAGCTGGCTTGACAACCACCAGCAGGACACACTCCCCCTCATACACCAGACAAACTCTCATTTGCTTTACATGTTTGTTTCTATGTTAGGTTATATAACTGCTATTTTCATTTATAAGACTCCGTTTTTGCATCTTGTTTATATACACTATGAACAGCAGCGACACTAATTATCTTCTTTATTCTCTATTTCCATCTGGGGATACTCATTCCTAGGTCCCGAAAGACTATGTAGCGCCATTGATGCAATCTAAAACCTGTGAAGAGATGATCCCAAGGTATCCATAATCCTGGACCAGGCCATATCTCGAGCTGATGCTGTGGTCTTCAACGAGGAACCACCATGACAACAAGCCCCCGCATTGATCCTGTGGGCCAGCCTGATCTCCTGTTGGTGCCCTACTCAACCCTGCAGCTTTTTTACAAAGAAACGTCCAGCTTTTCCAGCCTCCGGCGCCTAGACTGCAGCTCCACACAAGAAGTTTGGCCGGAAGAATAATGGTCGTGCCCAACAGAGTCTAGTTTCTCACAAGTTTTTTTTTTCTTCGCCACTGTCGCCGCTGGCTTACTTGGATCTGCACTCGTGGAGCTGCGCTTGGGTGAATTTGCTCTACACAGTGTTTGAACTTTTAGCAATGAAATTTGAACCACACAACTAAACTAAACTGAACTTCAACTCTGAAATCTGGACTTTACCAGAACTCAATTGACACAATGCACATTGTGAAAAGCGCTATATAAATAAACATGAATTGAATTGAATTGCCTGCCATGAATATAGGCTTAGATGCTGGAATGCAGATGCCATTCAGTGCAAGTAATCCAATAAGATCTTTTTATGGTGCTATTTTTTTAACATTTACATTTAACATGTTCTGTACTTTATTTTCTCATAAAATTCTTTAAATTTAAAAAAAAAAAAGGTTTAAAGGTGTCAAATTTCTCAAACCTAAAATAAATAAATAAATAAAAATAATAATCATTAAAAAATAAAATAAAATAATAATAATAAATAATCAAACTAGAGATTTACGACTCAACTAGATGTGCTATAGTTTGAAGTAAAAGTTGGCTTTAAACTTTTGGCACTGGACTTTTTTCCATTCATATTTTTTTCTGTAAAACAGAAGTACAAATACAGGCTCACCTCTTTCATCTACAGCACGGTTGACATCAAAGGTCCAGTTATCCTCCCAGGTCCAGCCAGATGGGCACTCAATTTCTTTAGGGCCCAGAACTTTTTCTCCATTCTGTAAATACCAAAACATTTTTTTCCAAACTGTACAAGTACTAGTTCCATAGAGGCCATTCACACAGAAATCACAACAATTTAAACTTAAATAAACTAAATTAAAAAAAAAAGTTATGTGCATTTTTTTATTTTTTTTATTTAGACAACTTTAAAAAGTAATTGCCAGATTTCAGATTTTTAAATAGTTGCATCTCAGCCAAATATTTCTATAAAAAAAAAAAAAAAAAAGAATTATTTATACCGGTTTAAACTTTGTTATATGTATAAATCAAAATTTTTAAAAACAAATTGACATTCATCACAAAATATTCATAACTTCATAATCTTCTCACAATAGACACTATTTTTAGGCAATCAAGGCAGTTTTTTTTTATGTGCATGTTCTCCATGAACTTAAGGTCAAAGCTCAAATATAAAGCTAATATTTGGAAGGTGCTTTTACCACATCAGTGTAAGTCTCTGTCGCCAGCTTCCATTCTCCTCCTGGGAATCGAGTCTCATTCTCATACACCTCATCCACAAACTCTGTGTGTCCAGCATCAGCCTCAGTCAGCAGACTACCCAACCACCCCCAAAAAAGTGAATGTCCATGTCAAACTTTCCATGATGCCAAAAGTTATTTTGAAAAAGCTATACAAATGTGAGACTCAAGTCTTATTCACATCAAGATGACTGTTTCTACATATTTTATTGCAAATAGATTTTCAAAACTTTTTACTGATTGCATGTCCGAAAACCGGTTGAGAGAAGTGATTTAACAAATTTGTTTGTCCATTTTTGAAATGAGCTAAAAGAGCACACAAGTTCGCTCTCAAACTGAAGGTGGTATTTAATATACTAATCCATGCTCCACAACTTGCTTACCCCAAAAAGGTCAGTAATTTTAAAGATCCCTTCAGGCAACGCTAAATACAATGGTCCAGAGACAAGACAGACTATTTCTAGAATCTATTCACTGTTTACAAGCTCAGTTGTAAATTTACGTAACAGTAGGGGGTCAGGGCATGTATTTAAAACACTTGTCCTTCCAACTTTTACACACTGACAACTAAAACTAAATATTTAGGTGTGAACAAGCCTCAAGTTCAACATCTAGTATTGTATTTCTGCAACTCACGCTTTCTCTGGATCAACACTCCAATCACCTTCCCACTCCCAGCCAACAGGGGGCATGAAGTACTCATGCTTCAGTTTGATTTTTCCTGTAACATCAGAGAACTTGCTTCGATTCAGCAGACCAGTGGTGCCCCATTTTCCCAGAACCTGAGCCTGATTTTCATACTGTAAACGGGACAAGTGATTAAAATCAGCTCCACGTTTATGACTGCTTCTCTGCAGAAAAAAGCAAACGCATTTACCAGCTCTGCAAAGACATTGAACATCCCTTCTGCATATTGATTGAAGTTCTTTTCCTCTGTTGCCAGTCCTAGCCACATGTTCACACGTATCTTAACCGGTATCTTCAAACCGTTTTTGCTGTCCATTGGATACTGTTAGGAGAATCAGTTATCATGGAGTCATTTACATCGAGCAGAATAAGGCACTTTAACAGTACTGTGATATATACTCCCAGTTTACCTGCATAAAGACAGTCTGGGTCTTCCCACAGTATTGACCACATGCCTGCTCACAGTAGGACGAAAAGAGCACTTGATGGGCTGGGATGCGGGTGTACGCTATCCTCTTCTCTCCTCTCAACATCCAGATATTGATATCAGGCATGCTGTTCTGAGGCTTTGGAAAGACATGCTCTGAGATTAATATACACATAATTTGTCACACTTTACAATGCATTTACAAACAAACTCAGAATGAACAATATTTGTCCAGAACTTACTAAGAATAGCTCAGCATTTACTAATGCATTATTAAAATCCACATTTTAGCTTGTTAACATCAGTTAATGCACTGAGAGTTAACAAGAACTAACAATGAACGACTTCATTTAAATTTTTCTATCGTTAGAAAAGATGAATACATAGTCGAGGGCTGCATGATTAATCGAAAAAAAAAAAAGATCATGATCTCAATTTGTCCCCCCACATTATCTTAATCCAGCAGGTCTACAATTCAGTCAATAATATTTTCAAGGTCAGGAGAGTAGCATAAAGGTGGTCTTTACATGGTTATATATATATATATATATATATATATATATATATATATATATATATATATATATATATATATACATATATATATACATACACACACACATATACATATATATATATATATATATATATATATATATATATATATATATATATATATATATATATATATATATATATATATATATATATACACACACTCCATAACGTGGACACCTCTAAATGGTGTTAAAAGAGTTGCATACTGTATTTATAAGATATAATTCCTCCAAAAATGTCCTTTCTGTCTATGTAATAACGTACTTGTGGCCGCGAAATCAAACCTGAGCTGACCATGAGCTGTGTGTTTACCACAGAGAGGACGTGTGTGCGCCATCTAATGAAGTCTGCTTTGTAAACAGAACCTCCATAGGCTTTGAATAACAGGTAATAGGGTGTGCATGCTTTTGGTTTCACTTTCACTGCCTTGCTATTACATTACTATCATGACTACAAGCATAGCTTGTTAACTCAAGCCTATATAACGTTGAATATAATGCAGGGGGTAATCTGATAATGACAAAAGTCTCATTTCACCGGTGAAAAAAGGGTCTAAATGGTTGTCAATGACAGATTGCAAGCATATGCCTCAAATATAATAACTCAACTTCAGATTTATGAATAGTTGTATTCTGATGCAATTGCTTTACTGTGCATTGACAATCAGGACATATTTAAAAGTCTGTTCAAGTCCACCATTCCAAGTCTATACAAAATTTAGTATTTTAATGAACAGCAGACCTGCACATAAGCCTAAAATTTTTACTGTTGCTTAACTATATGTTCACTACATTAAAGATTTTTTTGTGTGGCAGTGTACCGATTTTCTTTGGATCTTTTGCTACAAATGTTTGTTTTTTGATCGAGCACCTGCCTTGAAGATTTTCTAGATGTGCGCACATTTCTGTTTTTCACTATATGTTGGGAAATAACAATAATAATATCCTACTCATATTAACCTTTATTTCACCACTACATAATTGTGAGAAAATGGTTATCTTTATTTTAAGCCAAAAAAACAACAACAAAAAAACAAACATTATTCTCATTTTAGCCAGACTCGTGCAGCCATAACATAATCTGTAACTGTTTTTTTTTATTGTTTGAATATATTAGTAAAAACATAAACATTACTAAATTACAAGTGTGCGAGCAATAGATATTTATGCATTTCATTCAAGTAAAGGAGCTGCATACTGAAAGATTATGTGCATTTTAGTTCAGTTGCATTTACAATGATTAAACTCTGATGTGATATGATGGAGTGACCTGTGCCTCAACCCCCACAAACTGATAGGTGTGAACTAAATGACCCCTTTACAATCCCAATGGGTATTAGCAAAACAACAGTTGAAACATCTGAAGAGGGTCCTGCTGAGCCTCGTAAACAGAATGGTTTGTTTGATGCTAGTATAAAGTACTGTCTCACAGACAGTACTTTGGGTTAAGTTACTTGAAGACCGACGAGTTTAACATCACTGCTGAGGAACTACACTATTGTCTTCAATAAAGTCTTCTCTCCATAAGAACTTTCGTCAGCTTACTTATTTTATGTATTAGAGTCATCTAATACATTGGCGAGCCACCCAAGAACGGTTAAGCCAAATACAGCAAAATCTAACAATACTTGCATTCAATTCAAGAGTTCACACTTAGCCGATGATTAATTATAAAGCCCTGAGCTCATAAGATCAAATTAAGTTACATGTTTTTGGACAGTGGGAGGAAACAGGGGAAACCCACGGGAGCACGGGGAGAATGTGTAAACTCCATACAGAAACGTTGGCTGGCTTGGTAAGGACTAGAACCAGTGACGCTCTTGCTGTGAGGCAACAGTGTTTACCACTGGGTCACCGTGCCACCCATCTAGGAAAAGAGGAGGAGTAGGGGCGGAAGGTGGGTTTCTCAAAACGGAGATGGCTGGAATACGGAACTTAGGGTATTTATAGTGGCTTAGGAAGGCTTAGTCTGATTGGTGAATCATAAATTGAATAATGTGGGACCAGCCATGAGCAAGCAGAAGCACGTGATCCTCTCGAAATTAGTTTATAAATACACTTCACTTTGAGGTGATCATTTCCCATTATTATTCCACCTATTATGACCAATAAATACTACAACAGCACATACGAGCAGCTGAGTGGTGGCTGGGAGGTTTTTCACCATTACACACCGGTAGTTTACATACACACTTACTACAGTGTTCAAACACCATTAAAAATAGAATTTTGCATAATAGGTCCAGTTTAGTGTAGTTTAAACTGATTTAACTTAGATAACATCAGAAAATGTATAAAATAATAGGAAATAAAGCAAATAAAAAAAAGGATAATATAAATCCCTCTGCATATTTACAACTGTAGCACCATTCCTACACAAACTCATTGTACACACAAGCCAAGCATCATACCTCCTCTGCGAGTTGCCTGAGTTTCTCAAGCCAGCCTTCAATGATAGTCAAGCACTTATTAACATCTGTGGCCTCTTCAAACAAGCGTTTGGCCCCTTCCATGATGCCCTCCAGTGCCTTATCCCGTAACTTCTTTATCTGAATATCCAGTGATGTGAGATTCGGCTTTCCTTCCAGGTCAGGAATTTTTAAACTGAGGACACAGGAAACAAAACATTAAAAAAAATGTCTTGCATCCAAGAAATTTCCTAATTTTACAACAGAAAACCTACAAAGATGCATGTAGTGACATGTTAATGATGACCTATAGAGGATATTACCTGCTGATATCTTCCATCAACTGGTTGATGAGCTTTAGCCAGATTTCTACAAGTCGTGCATCTGTAGCTTTGGACTGCACTGCAAACTTTAAAGCACTGATGTTTGTTTGCTGCAAAAGAAGGAATTGTATTTGATTCACAAAGTATACATTAAATACATTTAATGCATACTAGTAGTGTAATGGCAAACACAATTTACAGCTCTGTGTGTACCTTTGTTTTGAAGGCACAGATCGGTATCATTTCATAGAAGCAAGGGGAAAAATTAAACATAACATTGCTTATTTTTTATTAAACATTATGAAATGTTTCTGTGTCTTTATTATTATTCATTCAGTCATTTTCTTTTCAGCTTAGTCTATTTATTAATCAGGGGTCACCCCAGTTGAATGAACCGCCAACTTATCCAGCATAAGTTTTATGTAGCAGATGCCCTTCCAGTTGCAAATCCTCACTGGGAAACACCCATACACTCATTAACACACATACACTACAGACAATTTAGCTCACCCAATTCACCAATAGCGCATGTCTTTGGATTTGTGGGGGAAACCGGAGCCTCTATTATTATTATCATCATTATTATTAAAAATTCCTAAAAACAAAAACTAACGAACTATTATACAACAATTTATTAGTTATTATCTGCACATTACCATTATATTTTAGGTTACAAAAATGAATTTTACATTTTAAGAATTGATAATCAAGAGATTTAATTAAGTTACATCTAGAAATACTCTACTCATGCTGTACTATAGAATGTATTTGTCCAGTACACAAGAGGTACACCAAAAATAAAAACTGTATGTGTATGGTTACACTACTAACACATAAATAAATAAATAAATAAATAAATAAATACATTCACTTACCAAATGGTTAGATATATACAGTAGGATATTCAGAGAGTCTAACCGGTGACTGATATCCTCCCAAAAAGAAGTAACGGCAACTACAGGTTTAGTGTCACCCCAGGGTAGGTAGTAGTAATTATTACCTGAAGGGACAAAGTGAAAAACTCAGTTTCACAGATACTATATGTAATTGCTCCTCAGTAACAAAATCAAATATATTCAATGAGCATCACCATCAAAAACAGCACAGCTGTACTGTGTAGTTGAAGCCAGAGGTTTGCACGTTAGGTCCATCTTGTTGCCATAGTTGCCGATGCTAACTTCAAACTGAATGGGCTCGCCGGGTTCTTGGATCATAGTTGCACTGTGAAACACTGCGCACAGACAATACTTCCTCCTGCGCTGGTATTTCTAAATTTAAAATAGAAAAGAAAAAAAAAAAACAGAAAACTGTGAATAAATGTTTCAAGTAGAAAAAGGGAGCATTGAAAGCAATAAAAAGACAAAGAGCTTCACTTGAACTACTAAGATATCATCGCTTGATATTTCTTCCACAGATTTGTCAGCCTTTCCATCAAGTTTTGTAGAGAGTTCAACAAGAATTCTCCCTCGGTAAGCTGCTCCTTCACCCTACAAATGATCACACATTTTTTAGCCGATTTGAAATGATTTTTCAATATTGAATTGAACATTATTGAGATTTTTACTGATCACCCCCAGAGACTTTTTTAGTGAATTGAACTCTGGAAGAGAGACTTAAAATGCATTACTTCACTTACCTTGCCTAAATTAAGGTCATCATATGGGTCAGGTAAACCTGAGAACTCCCTCAGGCTGCCATAAAGATTTATATAGCACGGCCCAAAGGTAGGCAGGAAGCCCATCTCAGATTCTCCAGTGTCTCCTGTGGAAAACATGATCAATAAACTGCTCCCAGTGACATTAAATTTGTTAGATCACCTTAAGTGTGATAGTAGTTAAAGCATCCTGGATACCTTTATGTTAGTAGTTTGGTTAGTATAGCACAAATTTAAAATGTTTGATCATTAAAGTCATGCTGTGATTTCAACTATATGAACAAGGTTGCTGATGGGCGTCATCACAATATGATTACATATAACTGATTCTTTTGCTGCAAAAACATTTTTACAAAGGTTTGAATTAAGTTTTTTTA